TGAGCAGGCCCAGTGGATTCTTGTCAGAGAGGATATTGTAGTAGGCTGCAGTACAGAAACCCCTCATTATAAAGTTGAACGCATATTTGACAGTTCAGTGGTGTAAAAACCATACAGGCTCCAAGAGAACAGTTACAAGCCTGAATGTTGATCCCGACAGTGAGAGGATCCGGTAGCTCTGTTATGCTGTGGGGGGCATTTTGCAGGCATCGTTTGGGTCCACTTGTCTCCTTAGAGGGAAGGGTCTCTGCAAACCAATACAAAGTTGTCCTGAGTGATCACCTTTATCCTATGAGGAAACATTATATCCTGATGGGAGTGGTCTCTTCCATGATGACAATGCACCCATCCATAGGACACGAGGGGTCACTGAATGCTTTGTTGAGCATGAAAATGACATGAATCATATTCTGTGGCCTTCACAGTCACTAGACCTTAATCCAGTTGAACACTCTCCAACTCTCTGCCCCCATATTCAAAACACCAAATGAGGGAATTTCTTTTGGAAGAATTTTTGTTCATTCTACCCGAGTTCCAGAACTGTAGACGCAAAGGTGCATTGAAGCGCATTCTAAGACACTTTTGTTTTGTTTTTGCTTTCATTTGTCACCCGTCTGTATGTGTTTGTTGTCTGTGGCTGCCAATATTGAAATTAATTCAAATTGATATTTCATTTTCCATTTGTGTGCGCATGATGTCCTTCGGCAATTAAGATTCAGAGTACTGCAAAGTATAAAACAGCCACAGTGATAATGGAACCGAGTGTAAAATGGACATTTCGAGCTCATAAACAGGGATCAGTATTAATCTGAGACTGTTGCATAACCAGTTACAAACTCCTTGTAGTACGTTTAAATGAAAATGGTCTTGAAAATGAATGAAAAACTGAAAAAGGCCATCTCCAGTTCATTGTCACCTCCTGTCCTAGTGATAATTAGCAGCTATTAAACTTCCATCAAATCCATTCCACCACAAAGCCCTAAAATACCAAGAGATGAACCAGGAGTCCCTTCAGCCAACTGGTACTGAGACTCAGTTCCCTAACCTCTACCAACCCTAACCCTAACCCCTAACCAAACCTCAGCACAGGCCACAGACAATCAACCAACAGACCTCTTTTAAATGGGTATAGAAAACCCATGGAATCTTTTCCACAGAGAGGCTAAGGGTAGGGGATGTGGCCTTGAAATATTCACAATATCACATAAAATAATGCAGTCAACTACTATTCACTGTCTACTGACAGGAAAACACAAGTCCAGCTGGTCAATATTTAGATATGGACTAACTATAACCTGACTGTAATTGGTAAGACGTGCCCAGTTGGAAATTGAAGTAACTTCAGCCTGGTGTTTGGCCTGAAGCGCTGTCTGCTCTCCTCTGCTTCTGTGGTGAATTTTTTCTCAGGGCTGTTTCTAGCCTTTTTGGTGCCCTATGCCAGCCACTCCTGGTGTCCCAGTGGAGACTGACTTTCTCATTGACAAATTATTTAATAATATTGTAGAACTCAAATTTAATTGCAACATATTATTGCTCCCAACTCCTCAAATACTGCAGCCTCTAGTGTCATTTTTGGAAGTTAGCAAAAATTGAGACCGGGTTCTCTGGTGGCACCCTAGGCCTGGGGTTCCTAAACAGTTCCATGCCAAGGCCCATAAGCACTAGCTTATGGCCATCGCCCCCATTTTGCAAAAAACTGCAGCAAATGTAAAATAAAACCAAACAAATAACAATATAAATAAACAGTATTTCCTTACTTTTATTAATTACATTGTATTTCAAATCTCTAATCATTCCATCATTAGCTTCAGTATTTCTGTTTATAAGCATTGTTTGGTCAGTTTAGTTATACATTCAACAAATTAAGCATAGCGTTAGTTCAGGTAGGCCATGAAGTCAGGCTCAGCTCTTAATTTTAGCTATATCACATGATCACAGCTAGTTGTAAACACACATCAGCTGATGGATCAGCTGATTCCTCCTAAGCTTCCTATTGGAAATCATTCCCTCAAGCATGCAATTGGCAAATATCATCATGGCGCCTTATTTAAGCTGCTTTAGCCTGCATATCTTCGCTGCTTCCTCTACAAGATGTTTTGCAACCCACCTCCACCCCAGCTCCTCCTTTTATGTTGTATCTTAATAATCAATGTCATTTTCTGATTGCCATTGATGCTTGCTCTGTTCTGTACCCTGGGGTCTCTGCTGCTGCTCTTCTTGTCTTAAACTTTTCCATGTATGCACATGGAAGGGCAGGGAGGTGTGCTCTCCCTGCCTTAAGGTTTTCCATGTAGGCACGTGGAAGGGCAAGGAGGTCCCAGAACAGAGCCATAATGCCAAATGTAACATTCTGCTTTGGAATAAAAGTTATTTTGACAAAAGTGGTCCTGACTGAACATTGTGTGTGTCATTTTTGTGAGGACCAGCTAGCTAAATTTCAGGAGCAACAACTTTGTGTCAGGCTCAGACCGTTACCGGGTGAACAGCGACAGTTAATGTGATCAATGATGTTTTGACTGGCAAGCCATTAAAAAGATGGGCATGGCAAATAAGATTTTTACATGTTATAAATTAATATAAATGATATGTTTTAATAATTCCCATAATAATGGGGATAAATAATTCAGTTGTATTTCTCTTATCTTCTCCTTATCTCCTCCTGAGGCCCCCCGGTGGCTCTAGCTTCCACTTTGAAAAACACTGCCCTAGGCAACTGCTTATCTTATCACATCCCTGATTAATTGAGAAAAACACAGGAAGTTGTCTTTTTTTTTCCCGCTGAGTTGAATCAGAGAGATCCCATGGCGCCTTGTCTTGTGATTAGCTTTTAGATGACAGGGTATGTGGCCTTTGTTGGATGTAGAGCCTCTGTTCTTTTTCACTGAAGGTTACTGATATCAAACCACCTCCTCGCCACAAGATCTTGGAACCAGATTACTCTTACTTTTAGCCATAATCATCATGTAACTATGACAACATGTAACATTAGTTATTACGGTACTAATTTTCTAATTTTTGTTTTGTTTAAATTGCATCCATCCCTATTTTAACTATTCTTGTTTTTTCTTTTCTTATAAAATATTTAAAAAACTGCCACACCTTTTCTTTGAAACCAGACCCTTCCTAAATCCCACCCCAACAAAGGTGATGTTTCACTTGATCTTCAGTAAGAAGTCACATACATTTTCTTTAGTCTTTATGCTCTGAGCTCGCTGAGTGAATGACTTTATTGAATTACTTGAACACTGGAAATGCAACACACTTGATGCCATTGTTCCAGTAAGTGAAGAATAATCCCAAACACAGAGATCCCTTCACAGCCCCTCATTTGAAGAGCTTTGGTGACTCTAATCTAGCATTTAGCGTCTCTGATAATCTCTTTGGATTACAGACTGTATAGAAAAGTGATGCAAAGTGGTTCAAATCGCCTGTAAATCTTCCCTCCACTTTAGCTCTATCTATGCAGTGTGTGCATGCTGACTGGTGATATGTGAGAGGTTCACATGTAATGTTGTTATCCGTATGCAGAGGTCAGAGGTCATGGTATATATAGTAAAGAGATATGGAACATTTACAAGAATCCAGTCACAGTAAAGCTGAATGAAATAAAATGAGATGCAGTGAACAGAACACTGGCGCCTCATTTAGTTTGTGAACTGTAGGCATGAGGTGGTTGATATGAATAATGACTAAATGTGTACAAAAACATGCAACAAAGGATATCCCAGCAGCACTTGCAGTACACAAAAAACATATCCTCTGTTTGCAACAGGATTCCCTCTTTCCATTAAAATAACCCATAAACAGAATTCAGATCTGTTTCTGTGGGTCACTTGTTCCACTTCCTGTGGACTTATGTAATGTGTTCTGATCCCTCATTTATACACAGCTAAAGTGACACAGCTGCTAATTCCTGGATTCCACATAAGTTAAATCACACTGAAAGTGGAACAAATGTCACCATGAGTTCACATGGATAAATAAAATTGGTGTCACAAATGCTTTTGTAAAATGTAAATCCTATTCCCTGTATTTGGAACCCCAAAACTCATATTAGTATTTGGCATTGGCATCGGAGAGATTCACCTGGTTATTGGCTCACTGAGTGTTGGGAAACAAACTCTTTATTTTACAAAATGATCTGTATTCTATGAAAGCCCATTTCAGCTAATGTGACTGGGAGAAAAAAAAAAAAGATTATGTAAATCATTATAATGAGAAACTTTCTCAAAATAATGTCTTAGTATTTCAAAATAATGAGATAGTTTGTCAATATTTTGAAATAGTATCATAATAATTTTTACTTAGAATCACAGTTTATTATGAGATGCAATGAAGACCCGCCTTACTTACTGATCTCTGATAATAATACACAGATGTTTAATGGGCTACAACAAGGATTCTACCCAAAAGGTTGAAGGTCAACTTCACTGTGCCATCTCAATGTCCTGGAAAAACACTTATTTGGCCATTATTCAACACCCTAACACCCAGGAATAGAAGGGCAGATTGTTTCACAGCGACACTGAACTGGTGACACTTTTGACTCAAAAGTCAAAGGTCATTGTGATCTAAAAAATATTTTAAGGTCCAGTATGTTTTAGATTTAGTGGGATCTAGCGGTGTAGTTGCAGATTGCAACTCTGTCACTTCACCATCCCCTTTCTAAAACAAAGTAAAAACTACGGTGGCCTTAAAAAAGGCGAATGCCCCTATCCAGAGACAGTATCTGGTGTGCCCGTTCCTGGCTACTGTAGAAACACGGCAGACTCACACACATGTTGACTAGGCCCACACAATGAGTAAACAATAATGAGTACAGTAAGGGCTTGTCAAAGTAGGAAACTCTCAAACACAGTGTGCTCACACTCAGCAGAGGAAGGCAGCCAGCTGGTAGAACTCAGACAGTTCTCTCATAAATCAGCTGGGCAGCACTGCCTGCTGTTTCACAACAGGCTACTTTCACATCTATGTGCTCATGCTGTACCTTTGTCTGGCAGGTCCTGCGATTCCTGTTGGAGTGGACGTTCAGGTAGAAAGCTTGGACAGCATCTCTGAGGTTGATATGGTAAGAAAACTTTTTTTTTTGTTTATCCACACATGTAATGTGACATAATAATCTGAGATAAAGACAAAATGAAACTTTGTAACTGGAAAACAAAAACTAGTGTAGTTGTGGTAGTGTAACAATAGGAAGGAGAAAGGTAAAATAGAATGATATAAGTTTTTAATGATAATAATAGTCTAACATTTATATATGGAGTATTTATCAAAAACAGCAGTTACAACATGCTTTTCAAAAACACAAAAAAAATAAAAATAGTGAAGAGGAACCAAGTGAACTATTTAAAAAAATTGATACGGTAGCAAGAACAAAATGAGGAATGAAGAGACTAATGAAATATCAATGAAACAGCAACAATCATTTAAAAAATCAGTTCCTACAAACAAACACATTTACTAATTAAATGTTGACAACTGAGGACCAAAAGCAGTTAAAAAAAGCAGTGGCCAGTGTTTCCCAACTTTTTGATTGTCTAGACTGCCACCGGTGTTTCTCCCTGTGTGAATTAAGGGTTACTACATTGGGTTTCATGACTTATTAGCATTTTGTTGGTTTGCAGCATGATAGTGGACATTTATCTGGTCTTCACGTATGGTCACTACATCATCAATTATATAAAACTTGCATTTACTTATATGTTTTCCACATGTGTTCAAGCAGGGTAACAAAGAACTCAAGGAAATGGACCCAAATGCAGACTAGGAGAAAGAGGTGGTTCAGTTTAGTTGATTTAATATACAAAATCAAAAACAAAACGCTTAAGGTATCATCAGACAAGCACAGGTCAAAACCAAAGAATAAGACAAACAAGTCCTTGTGAACAGGCAAAAGGTGTATAAAGCAAGCTAAAGTTCAAGAAAACACAGTAGAAGTCAAACCACACTGCAAAACAAAACTGCCAGACAGACCAAGGCTCCATTCCAATCCAGCCCCTACCCATCGTGTGGAGGGTAATTGTCATTCCAAACCAATTTGCCAGAAGTGGAAGTGGGTTACAAGGCCCAAAACAAACAAAATCCTGACACTTACAGATAACTATCTTCTTGTTTATTGAGGGCGCAAAAAGACAAACAAATGTGTTTCAGCTCTAAGCCATTATGAGCATAGGGGCCTCTAACACCATGCAGGCTTAAACATTCACATTCCTCTCAAGAGCAGCAGCTCTTTTGTGTCCTGGTTGGAGGAAACGCCACATACCTACAAATGTGAGTTCTGTGCAGTTACTTCCAAAGGAGAAGTAATAAGTTGTTTACCTCAAATAGACATGTGATATACTATTTATGCAAACATTACAGAATTAGAGGTTGAATTTTGGAAAGAAATTGCTGGTGAAAACAGTACACATGTTGAGTCAACATAATATAAAAGTATTATAATTATTATTATTTAACTTGACTTGATTGCCTGTGTTGTGCAATTTGAAAGACTGTGGAAGAAAAACAAGGACATAATCAGCTTAAGTAAGTGCAAACAAAAAAAAGAAATACAGCCAAAGAAGTGTGGGAGTGAGTTTTCCCTCTGACAAGCGCCAAGCGAGTGTGTGTCGTTGCCCTTTATCTTTATTTATCTTAATCTTATACACAGAACTTAAATTAGATTATTTTGGGTAACAGGTTTATCATTAAGGAACTGGACCTTGATGGTCATGTGTCCTTGAAACAGGCTTCTAAGAAATAGGAAAACCTGAAAAAGATGAATGGTTTATTGTTATGAAATGCAATATTGCTGTTCAAAAGCTTGCCGTATTTATACCCTCGACCTGAAGAGACCCTCCACAGCCATGAGTGTGACTTTGCACACTCATCATTGTGTGGGAGGAATTGGGCCTTAATAAACTTGTGATTGTAGGATAACAAGACACAGGGGGAATCTAATCAGGGTGGGGGAGACAATCAGAACTGGTGGGAAAACACACAAGTACAGGAAGTGGTATAATCACCAAACCCGCCAATAAAAGCAAAAAGTGTGGAAATCTGTAAGGAAATGGCTGTTCCAAACTACACTGTAAAAAAAAAACTAGTTGTTTCAACTAACAAAAGTTAGTGTCCGGGCTGCCTTAAAATTTTAAGTTAGCTGAACTTGTGAAGCTTAGTTGAGACAATTGTGTAATGATTCAAAACAAATAAACTTTTCTAGTCAAATAAACTTAACGTTTAGTTCACATAACTTAATCAAAATTCAGTTCCTATAGAATTCTTTAGTTGAGTCAACACAATCTTAATTTCTTTCAACTGGAATTCCAAAACTGTAAATAATGAATCTACAGTTCAGTCTACCTACAATATCTAGTTTACCTAACTTTATGTTATGTCAACTTCATTATACATTTATATTTGAGTCAACTTTCATAATTTAGTTCTGCTTAAGATTAAATTTATACTACATATTTGGTAATTCTCTTTCAACTTTATTTTAGATTATGCTTAAAGAACTTATCTCTATAGGTTATTGGTTGTTCCAAAGAAACCAAATCAATTCCAGTTCTTCAAAGCTTTAATAAACCAGATCGGCAAGGTAAACACATCAACACATCCCATCAAGTACAAAAGGTTTTGTCCCCAAAAACAACACAAGCTTATGGGTAAAACATCTCTTTAGAATGTGCACAAATGAGTACTCTCTACTCATTACTTCTGTCGCTGTCTTTCATAATGTGAAAAAAATATAAAATAAAATTATGCACACCCAAACGGGTCAAAAAGACTTTCCAGGAAAGACCTCAAACTTAAATTAAATTAAACTTATATTCTTGCAACTGACAATGTCAGTGACCATTACAATAGTGGAACAGAACTGAAAAGAAAACTCTCAGTCTCAGTGTAGTGTCTACACAGTTTTACGAAGAAGTCTATTCCTCAGTCCATGAACCCTTGCAGAGCAGTGCTCACCGCCGATGCTCATGAGAATCTTCTGAATGGTAGTCAATGTTATAGCAGACCCATTAACATAGCTACCGCATGCGAGTAGTCCTTGATGCCATGCAGAATGATCTGTTCCTCCAGGACCACCGATATGTCAAGAAGATCCTCTCCTTCTTTTACTAGGACAATGCCGACATTCATTCCCCTCGTCATGCTGTCCTCCATGTCTGTGGGCTTCACAAAGAAAGGAAAAAATATTTTAGTATTGAGTATTTTTTAGTATTCTTCAGTATTTGTCAAACCGTCTATGAGAAACAAGAACATGTTTCGGCATTATGGCATGCCGTTTAGGAAATTAAATATATATGGAATGAATGTTTGAATATATGGAATGAAAACCGACGTCATCAAGGCACTGGCGCCATCTTTAGTATAGGCCTATCAGCTTCTACCTGAAGTGTTATTTCCACCAATCTCTCCTTCAAGAAAGATGCACAATGTTCTTTCAGCAATGTTTTGTTGAACATGATTACTCATAAGAGGGTGTCCTGGCTGGGGGCTTCGCAGCCTGGTTCGGCGGCTGTGCTGTCCTCGGGCGCGGAGCTCTGCAAAGAGTGATCGGGTCGCCGGGACTGGGCTGCCAGCCGTCTGGGACCTGTACAGCCAGCGCTGCGGGGGGAGGGCGCGGCGCGTCCTCTCTGGCTCCGGCCATCAGGCAGGTGGTTCAGGAGCATCCGAACCAGGACCAGCAGGTTCAGAGACAGCTTCTACCCGCACGCCATCAGACTACTGACCTGCTGAGAAACCCTATACTCACACACTCGCCACGGTAAGCTCTCAGCAGGTAAACAGTGGTCTGAGTCTTAAATGGCGTGTTGCAGCAGGTCAGTGGTCTGATGCTCATTCACAAAACATTGCTGAAAGAACATTATGCATCATTCTTGAAGGAGAGATGTTGGTGGAAATAACACTTCAGGTAGAAGCTGATAGGCCTATACTAAAGATGGCACCAGTGCCTTGATGACGTCAGTTTTCATTTAATATATTCAAACATTCATTCAATATATTCTAAGTTAATTTCCTAAACGGCATGCCGTAACCAAAATTGATAGGGTGAATAAAATGGGGACAGTTTTCCACATACATTGGCATTAAAACATTTACAGCCAGCAACAGAGTTTCATCAGTTCATTCAGTAACAATAACTAAGCTTACCTCTGCAGTCCTGAGGAACTCACAGAGTTTCTTCACGGAGGAAATATGGCAGGCCCCTCAGAATGACAGCCCTTTTTGTTTGGTTGGAATTCTGTTAAAAGACAGAATACATTATTAAAGCCACCAGCAACTCAAGTAGATGTGGCCATGAGGACACCTCACTTTAATAACAATCTATGGCGTGAACTTTGAGAGATTGATTTCAGAGAGATGACAGTGCGTTGTCAACCCTGCATGATGTTAAAAAAAAGTCTAAAATGATGCTATATTACAAGATTTCAGCATTAAGGTAAAATTACATTCATGAGTTTGCACAGGCATACTAACCTAAAAACAGCTTATTGGGAATCATGAGAAAGTTTCAGTGTGACAGAGACACAAGCATCCTCTCAAGTACAGTAACTCACTGTCACTGCTGTGTGCTCACGGTATGAGAGGAGAGCCACTGCTGCTGGAAGAGTTTGTGACTGAGATTACTCTGAGCACGGGAATAAATTACACTTTACTAGCTTGTGAATATTTCTCTTTTCTCTGAATAACGTAACAACACAGACAACGCTCTGTGCCGCTCTGTCTGTGCGCATGCGTGGCTCTTTTTAGCGCCGACATTATCAGTTATGAATGTGTTTTTGTTTTTTTAACTTTGTGAGAAATTGGACGTGAGACCTAGAGTCTCATGGTCATCATGACACACCCCTGAAAAACCAATCCAACCGAGCTGGGTTGAAACTAGCTAACTGTTACAACATCAATATTACTACAAGCTACGTTAGCTACTGCTGACTTAGCAAGTTAGCAAAAGAAAGACAAGACAAAAGCAACTTAATGAACTCAACCCACCTTGATGACAAACTGTGGAGCAGGCACCAGTTTGTTCCTGAGGAGAGAGGAGAGTGTCTCTGTGCAGCGTCACACCGAGCTCACCTGCCGGCCTCGCGCTGCAGACAGGGAGGCGGGGTCACGCGCGACACCGCAGTTACACACAAGTTTAAATCAGAGATATCATTAAATATTAAAATATATATAAATATATTCAAATTATTTCTCTTATTTTCAAATATCTTTTGATATAGGTTTTGCTGAGCTAGAATTTTGTTCAAAACGACATTAATGCTGAACAGACGCAGGTCCATCTGGTTGCTTCTGGTGATTCATGCAAATAAAAGGCTAAACATTTATTATAATACTAATTATAATTATAGAATAATTATGTGCCAAACTCTTAGCTATCACTTAAAGCTAGCTATCTTAGTTACCTCAGATTCCAGCAGGGTAATTCAAACTACCGAATAGATTTGGAAGTGGTGAAAGAGAGAAAATGGCGGACAGCAGGAACGTTTTGTTTGGAGACGTTAGTTGAACGTGCCTACGTCAGCCAATGACAGAAGCAATTATCCGTACATCCTTTTGACTGACATTCTTAATTTCAATTGAATCATGTTTCTTAGTTTGAAAACTTTTCACTAGTTGAGGAGACATAAACACAACATTCTGAGTTATCACAACTGTTTCAATAATTTGTAGTCATACTGACAATGAATTAGAAGTTATCATGACTAATGGGCACAACTAGTTTTTACAGTGTAGTAGAATCACGTTTAATCTGGCAAGATAGTCTTAAAACATATAGAAAGGCCCTCTGTAATGCCAGAGCAGCCTATTATTCAACATTAATAGAATATAATAAGATCAACCCCAGGTTTCTTTTCAGGATTGTAGCCAGGCTGACAGAGAGTCACAGCTCTATTGAACCATTTATCCCTATAACCCTCAGTAGCAACGCCTTTGTGAGCTCCTTCTTCACAAAATTCATACTTAAACATCCAGTTTTGCAACATTAGGAGGCACAAAATATTTGCATTAATGGAATTCAATTTTTATAGGTATATTTTTTATTAGTGTATAATCACCAAGCAACATCTTCCGTGGATGACAAATGGAACTAACAAAAACTGCAGTTCTTCTAACGGCCACTTGAGGCTGGCTCCAGAAGGGAGTCAATATACATAAGGCCTCATATCAAAACGTCCAACTTTGCAGCAGAAATAAACATGTTTGCAGCCCTGGTACAAAAAACGCTTTTGGTCTCTATAGCTAATTTTCCTGTTCGTGACAGCTGTACGAATGTTTGTCCATTTTTGGGCGTAGGCGAAGTCAGGACTGCCAAGATGGCGATGGCCAGAGGCAACCACACTGAGCTTAAGAACAGCTTTGTTGAGAGTGTGATTTCATTACCTTAGAATGCGCTGTTTTTATCTACAGAGGGGCTCTTCTTCTATGGTAAATGGTAAATGGACCTGTACTTGTATAGCGCCTTTCTAGTCTTCCGACCACTCAAAGCGCTTTTACACTACGTGCCACATTTACCCTTTCACACACATTCACTCAGTGATGGCAAAGTCCATCGAACAGAAACTAACTCATTCATACACATTCAATGTACATTGAATGCTGGTTCATTCGGGGTTCAGTATCTCGCTCAAGGATACTTCGACATGTGGTGGCAGGAGCCGGGGATCGACCTTCCGATTAGAGGATGACCCGCTCTTCCTCTGAGCCACAGCCACCCTATGAAATCTACCATGATAAATCATAATTTTTCTACTGTAGCCTAGAAGAGACAAACCAAACTGACTCTGGATGGAGTCTTGTGTGGGTTTTGTGGCCATTGTAGATTCTCCTACACGCTTGGAAGGTGAGCGGTATTCAGTTGGTTGCAATCTGCAACTTCACTGCTAGATGCCACTAAATCCTACACACTAGTCCTTTAATTATAATAATAAAACATTTTATTTATGAAGTGCTTAAGGTAATATAAAATAATGGAAACCAGCATCTGCCAAGGAGGGAAAAGGGAGGAAGCAAAGAAGCGAGGGAGGACAAAAGACAAAAATTGACATACACTCAAAACCAAGATGATGGTATGTCTTGGTAACTGGTCAGCAGTCATGTAAATTGTACATTATTACTGATATGGTCCTTTAAAATGAGACAACTGGTATGTTAGAAGAAATAACACCTTTGTCCTGTCTCAAATGGAAAGTTGGCTGCACAAGCAATAAAACACACCCATGCTCAATTCAATACACTCAGGAGTGTTCCACTTTAGTATTATTTGGTCTGATAAGAGCAGTAGTTTATGGTGGCTACTATCAACCTCTGTTTGTTCTTTTAATTACTTTTCTAGTGCTACTGTTACACTACATTTTAACAGATCACAGATAAACATGTCAGTGCTTTTATTGAATTGATGCAAGAAGTAAAGCCAGCATACAGTTCTGCAGATATATTTGCTGTTTCCTGCATGTGGTCCCATTTCAGTTATTGTCAGTCCAGCTGCCTAATGATGCTGTCTTTGAGGTAAGATGAGACTTTATTGATCCCCAAGGGGAAAATGAAAGCAACTCAGGCACAAAGAGGTTGGTAACACAAGTGCAATTTGTGGCCACAGTTATATTGCCTCTTTAAAACAGAGTTTGAGCTCCTTTAGCTTCCATAATGTGACGAAATTTGATTTGGTCATACAAAAGTGAGTGTGGAAAATGTGTTCTTTAGGTCATCAGGTCTTCAGTCAGCGAAGTCATTTGTTTTGACAAAATTATACCAAACTAAAAATTCAGTGTGTTGAAGTATTGTTTGGTAGTGAATATCCAGTGTCTTACGCACTCTTTCTTCAATTCCACCAGGACTTTACCATGACTCTATACCTGAGGCACTACTGGAAGGACGAGCGCCTGTCGTTCACCAGCAGCACCAACAAGAGCATGACATTTGATGGTCGCCTGGTGAAGAAGATCTGGGTTCCCGACGTATTCTTTGTGCACTCTAAGAGGTCCTTCATCCATGACACGACCACCGACAACATCATGCTGCGTGTCTTTCCTGATGGACATGTCCTGTACAGCTTGAGGTCTGTAGCATTTCAGCATCTGACATATATTTTCAGACCCATGTTGATCTGCCTCACAGGGTTTCTGCTGCTCAACTGAAGTTTTTAAATTAAATTCCTTTGCAGCAGAAAGTTTTCCAATCTCTTTCACAGCAGACATTTTAACTTGTTATAGCAGGAGAAGCACAGGTGTAATTTAGGGACGCACCAATGGGGAAATTCTGATGATACCGATGTTTAAAATAACAATTTGGCTGATACCAATCCTTTTTTATTGTTATTTATTAACTCTTGTGCCAGGAAACAAAGAAATCTGTGCCAGTGCTGGAAAATGGAGGTGATTATTTCACCAATATCCAGGTTGGAAATAACCAACACAACATTTAGCCAGCGCAAACTTGATGCGACACAACAGATATCATCTTATTTGCCAATAGGCCAATATCAACAAGGTGGATACCAATGTTCAGATTATATATCGGTGTGTCTTGAGTGTAATTTTTGTATAATCACTCAATTCCAGTAAGTGTCACAGTAAGCCATGCCACTGAGCCACAACAATGGTTTCCATTCATCTGTGTGCATTATTTGATTTGATGCCATTGCAGGGTAATGAGTATAAGTGCAGAAAAGTCCTTTGACAAAAAATAATTGACTTGATGTTCACTGAGATGGATTAACACAAGCAGAGTTCAGTAATGATTTTCATACCTCAAAAACCAATGGATACCTAGAACCTAAGAAAACATATATAAAGTATTTCAAATGTCTAAAATATAGTAGCCTACTTTGTAATGTATAGAGACAACTAGATTTCTAGTAAATGGACTTGTAACATGCAAAAACCGCTGTTACTGTCCTTTAAAACAATTAACAGAAGAAACTGTGCGATGCCATGCATCTGTCTAAATAAAGCATGATTTCAATCACATATGATATGATGCCTGTTTCATATTATATCAGGAAATATGTCAGGAAAACAGCCATGATTTTTTTTCATTGTAAAAGTCCAAACCTTCATTTTTAAGGCTTTATGTGTCCCGCTGCTGAATAAACCAACTTGTCACACTGATTATCTGGTCATCATGGCACCTGTCAGTGGGTGGGCAGCAAGTGAACATCTTGTCCTCAAAGTTGCAGGAAAAATGGGCAGTGTGAGGATTTGAGTGACTTTGACAAGGGCCACACTGTGATGGCTAGACGACTGGGTCAGACCATCTCCAAAACTGCAGCTCTTGTGGGGTGTTCCCGGTCTGCAGAGGTCAGTACCTATTAAAAGTGGTCCAAGGAAAGAACCGGAGACAGGGTCATGGGGGGCCAAGGCTCATTGATGCACGTGGGGAGCAAAGACTGGCCAATGTGGTCTGATCCAACAGACGAGCTACTGTAGCTTAAACTGCTGAAACAGTTAATGCTGGTTCTGATAGAAAGGGGTCAGAACACACAGTGCATCACAGTTTGTTAGTCTGGGGGAGCACAGTTATGGCTGATCGATGTATATTAATCAACACCGCCTCCATATGCTGACTTTGTCACTCTTTATACTGCTGACAAATTGAAAGATCTGGCAGGATAACATTTCACTGTGATTGTACCTGACAACAGGTGACAAATAATTAATTGACTGATAATGAGGTGGGTCAGTCTGCCTGAAAGAGCTGCTAACCCTGATAGAATTTCATTAGCCTGAGCTTTATTGGAGAGTTTTCCTCTGTCAATGTAAAAGTGATTCTTCAGAGGCTTTCTCAAGAATAAAATTCTGAGGAATTCACAAAACTTGTCATTGCCTGTCATTGAAATTTTGCAGTGTTTTTCTGGACATTTCGGTGAAGGTGAATGTCATATATTCAAATCATGCTGCAGTGTCCGACATTTTTCACCCCACCTTTCTGCATGACCTGTAAAATCAAACTACCTTTCTCTCCATGACTAAAATCCTAATGGTCTCCACTTATGTTTGACTCCTCACTGACCTGTTTGCACAGGAATCATCACATTTAGGAAGGAAGATTAGGATTAACCGGATACTTGCTTGAAAAAATACTGGATTTTTAGTTCAGACAAATGAATCTTCTTATTGTACTGGCTTTCTGACAGTGTCATCATCATACCCCATAAAATTCTCTTCTTACTCATACTTATTTTTCACACATCAAAAGTCTCAAACAGTATATGAGAATTATGAGAGACAATACTGCAGACAATAAAGTAGTTACATTTTAATTGATCAATATCAATTTATTGGCACATTCTGAGCCCATCGTACTGTTTTTTTGTAATGTTGACAATGTACAAACTGAAGCTTACTATGTTTTTAGGGATCAAGGAAAAGTATTTATTATACAACACATAGTTGTACATCAAAACATAAGAAAAAACTAAATATATATATGTATACACAATTATACATTTATACATGCAAGTATACCATGGTATACAAGAAAATATTACTCCCTTAAAAATTAAACCAAATCAGACATCATTCAATGATGTTTGAGCAATTAAAACCAAAAACATAACATTAAAATAAAAATGTAGCAAGTTTGAAGGAACTACCAGCCACTGCCATGGCTAAAACAACCTTTGAATGCCTTTTTTCTGGATTGAGATATCATTTAATCTCTAAACTGTACATTTTTTCTGATCCAAATGAGCCTACAGGTTGGTGTGTACTGTGCGGAGGTGCTCATTAAAGTAAGCTGTCAGCCTGAAACATGACTCACAAAATGGGGAAAAAATGTCTCAAAATAATTCATGAGCTTGTGTCATGGATTTGGAGATGTGGAGTTGAGCTCAACAAACAGAACTTCAAACATCGCCAGAAGACCGCTCCATTCTCCCGTTTGTGTCCCCTGCTGCATCGTGCAAAAAGGAGAGAATCGCTTGACACGATGGGGAATAAGAAAGTAATTAAACTAGAGCAAAACAAGCATACTAGTAAATAAGTAGATGACTTAACACACACACTGTTTTCTCTGGCTGCAGACTGAAGAACAGCAGAACATACAGATATGATTGCACATTGATTTATTATCTTGTGTAATGAAAGTCATTCAGGGCTCAGTAGTGGCTAAATAACTTTATTTGTTCCATCTTGTATTTAGTGTACTTTAGCACTGATTGAACAGCTGGATAAATAAATGTATTAAAACCATGGCTAAATTAAGATGCCAGGGAGCCCCAGGACAAAAATAAAATGCCCCATCCCAAATCCCCATTGCTTCCACTCTGTGTGAAGTTTTTTCTGTGAATAGTATTAGTTTCAGGATTGCTGTGTGGTAGTTTGTTTAAACACAAATCAATTTAAGTACATGCAATACAAAAACACAAAACTGAAATAATGAAATAATGATGGTAACACACAGACCCTCCTCAATAATAGTAGGGGTGCACGATAATTATTGGCCCGATAACTATCGGCCCGATAACAGGAAATGATTACGTCATTCCGATAAGTCCGATATCATGATGAATAGCCCCGATAACATATATAATTTTGTCCCATTATCATTCAGGTCTCCCATTATGAGACCTGAATGGCCTGCAGTGAAAGCTGCGTTCAAGTGACATTGTCGATTGTGTGGGACTTTTTCAACGTTTCTGAAGAAGACAGGTCGCTTGTTATTTGTAACAAATGTTCCAAGCAAGTTCCACGAGGAGGTAAAAGTAGCACGAGCTTCAATACGTCAAACCTGATAAGTCACCTGAAACATAGCCATCGCTTTGACGGAGTCTCTCTCTCTTTCTCTTTCTCTCTCTCTCTCTCTCTCTCTCTCTCTCTCTCTCTCAATGATAAAACAACTGAACCTCATTTACTTTAGTGAAAAGGTATTAATTTGAATGGAACCATAAGCCAAAATAATTAAACTTAATTTTTGTTACTATGGAATGCACTTTTTCAGTTTGTTTACACAGACAAGTGTAACTTGTGTCAGTGCATTATGCACATTTTATTTATTGTTATTGAGGAATGCACTTTTTTCGATTATGTTTACATAGAAATGTTTGAATCTAACTTGTGTCAGTGCATCAATTTTCTATATATATTTATTTTTTTGAACTTCTGGAATGCACTTTTTCAGTTTGTAATCCCAATGCATGTATTCACATCAGTTCAAGGGGAAAGTTATCGGTTATAGGTATCGGTTTTTAAAAAAAGTTATTGTGCATCCCTAAATAAAAGTAATACATTTTATTTATATAGCACTTGAAAACAGCAGTTCCAAAGTGCTTCACAGGTAACAAAAATGGAAACGTATAATATACAAAAACAGCAACCAATAAAAGCAATAGAAAGACTATACATAATGGTACCCAAAGATGCATAGTATTACACAGCAGATAATATATAATATAAAAGAATTATAACAAATAAAACAAAATGAATACAAACAAAACCAATTACATTTGCAAAACAACAGACACAAAAATGCATTTGGAACAGTGGCCATTTTCAAAGGGATCCCTTTAACTCTGACCTCAAGATTTCTGGATTCAAATGGGTTGTATGAATACCAAAACCAACCCAAAGCGTCTTTATATCATCCATGTTTTTGTATTTCCTCTTGCCTGGATTACTGTAACTCCTCATTTTCCTGTCAAAGCGAGTCTGCAATTATTCAACGTCAGCTGGTGCAAAACATGGCTTTTGACGAATACTAAATGATAAGAGCACACCACCCCCATTCTGGCTTCCTGTATGCTTCAGAATTCAATTCAAGATCCTCCTGATCACATTCAGAACCCTCCATGGCATGGCATCTTGTTATTTCCAAGCTTATTACCCAATACTCAGCACCAAGATTACTCAGATCTGCAGACCAACTGCTTTGGAGGATCTAGTCATAAATGGAATATAATATTCAAAGGTAGTTCACTGTAGTTTCTACTACACACAGCCTGTTCTCATTCCCAGGTCGTCAAATACAGATGCTCAGTTAATTGCAATCTGCAACTTCACCACTATAACCACCTTTCCCACAATACTATTTGTTCCCCAAAACTGCATGGGATTAGCATAAAGTGGGCACGTCTGCAAAGTGGACACACAACGTTCAAACCCAGAGAAATGTGCAAATTTGTTCAGGTAACAGTGCGTTTCCTACTTGCCTTTAGTTGCTATAACTTCCAGGTAAACAGGGGATACACTAGATATGTTGGAGGATGAGAAGAAGTTGGCGAACATGACCAACCGTAGCATGAATAAAACTTTAATACATGACCACATCTGAACAATTTCTGCCTGAGATAGATTTTCATAAGCAATGGTTGTTTAACAGTGGGGACAACAACTTCCATGATGCCACACTACTTATCAACGTCATCAAACTACTTCTATTATCTTTTGTCATCTGATTTGAAACCCTAGTGGCAGAAACATGACTCCAATTGAATGGTAATAGACCTTTTTCTATAGCAGCCATAGTGACATGAAATAGTAGGGTAAACCAAGACACTAAATCAAGACTGTCAAAGGACACCGAGCAATACTAAAACCAGGCAGAAACAGCAGTAATCTCCCATCTGAAAACCTCTTACTCCTGATGCCGGCACAGTGCCTTTCAGTACCTAATCACAGGTCAGATACGCCTCATTTAGTAATCAGCACACCTGGGTAGAGCTAGAGGCAACAGAAGAGGAAAAGAGCCAAACAGACAGACACAACACTGTGTTTATCCTACTATTTAACATCAAAATGGCTGCTGTGAAAAAGGTATATTGTGTTCTTTGTGTGCTGGATGTGTTAACAGGCATCTGTAGGCCAACATATTAGCTATAACAATTGTATAAGTTAAAATGTTCAGCTTGTTGTGGAGTTCTGCCCCGTAATACAGCTTTAAAGCTGCAGTAGGTAACTACTATAAGAAATACAACAACTAGAATTGAACCAAAATCAACAATAAATATTTGCAAAATATCTTAAAGCTGCAGTAGGTAACTTTAAAAAAAAAAAGTTTAGTCATATTTGCTGAAACTTTCACTATATCCGGACAGTAGTACACGAGACTGATAATGTGTGAAAAAATCAGGTTCCCAATGGCATTTTCAAGAAGATATAAAGACGCTTTGGGTTGGTTTCTTGATGATAGTTGATTGTTGCGTCTAATTCCTCGCGTCCCAAAGCAACTGTATTTGTAGCCTGCGAATGAGACTCAACAACAACATCTTTCTCACCTCTGATTGGTTGTTTTTGTTCAGGTTATTTTTATAAAAATGACCTACTGCAGCTTTAAGAAGCGGATAAAATGTGTATTATGTACTGTGTAAACCGAGGAGCCTGGGATAATAAATCAAGTGTAACAGTGAGTCTAGTTCTGACAATTAGATATTATTGCCTTAACATGAATATGAGGGTAGTCTTATGAAAGTAAAGCAGAAATTCATAGCATACGCATAAAGGAGTGTTTGTCTCTTTGAAAATGTCTCTAGACTACATGTGTGCCTTTGCACAGCTGAAACAAAAGACAGATAAATAAATACAACAATGTCTGCAAGTGACTTACTCAGCTGTGTTTTTATCAAACACATCTTTGGAAAAAACAAAATTGCTCCGGACCATCTGATCTGTATTGACGCTCTCCTCTGGTGTTGCAAACAATGTTGTTGTGAGCCATTAAATTACCAGGTGCTCTTGTAGGTGGGAAAATGTTTGCTCACTTGCAACAGAATTATCACTCTCCAAGGACACATCACACACACTTGATCTGTGTCAGCATGAAAACAGGGCCTTCAATCTGGAGAAAACAGTATTCTGTGTTAACACTGTTTTCAAATGAAACAATTTCATTTACAATAAATGATAAGTGTTCTTCTTCAGATGGTAATATGTACCGGTATATTTATATATGTATATGTATAGGAGAACTACTGTGTACGTCTGCATGCAACCTCTGCCCAGTCCTGATTAGTGTGTAATTATGAGCCCATATAGTCAATCTGCGTTTGATTTAGGCATAAAAACACACAAAAGATAATCCTGGCATTTCCTGCGTTACTGGAGGCCTTTTCCAGTAACTATGTGGTTGAAATTAGGGAATATACGCAGTAGCATGACTCACCACTGTATGTCTGTTTCTGTTGTTGGACAGGGTGACAGTGACAGCAGCCTGTAACATGGACTTCAGCCGCTTTCCTCTGGACTCTCAGACCTGCTCTCTGGAGCTGGAGAGCTGTGAGTAGATATTTAATTCATGGTTACAAAACAGTCACTTTCTTGGCCAGTCCACAACAAAATAAAGAGAGATGTTCAATTGTCACAGCTTGTATGGTTTTAGTTGAATTCACAGTGAGAAGACAGTGCTAGATATGTCAAATATTTATTTAAAGCTGCAAGAATCCACCAGGCCTGAACAAAAACGACCAATCAGAGGAGAGAAAGCTGGTTGATTGTTGAGTCTCATTCTCAGGGCATCAAAAACAGACACTTTGGGACCCTGGGAATGAGACTCAACAATCGACTATCCTCAAGCTTCCAACCCAAAGCATGTTTTTATCTTTCTCTGCTCTGATTGGTTGTTTTCGCCCAATGGATTCTTGCAAATACCATTAGGAGCACTAGGAGGAACCAGAGGAACCTGATTGTTTCACAGATTATCTGTCTCATGTTCTACTGTCAGGATATAGTGAAATTTTCATCAAATATGTCAGAAAGTTATTTTTAGAAAAGTTACCTACTGAAGCTTTGAGGGTATATAAGTCAACTTAAATCTTTTTTTCCATAACTTAATATACAGAGATTGAATGTTTAAATTTGTAAAAGAATGAACTCAAACTGTTAAATGTTGTTTCTTAACATTTAAGAATGAAGAGACACACTGTGAAATTCAAAAATCACATACAAAAATTAGGAGAGGGAACCAGGGCACCAGCTCATTTATGCCTCAACATCTAAATGCAAAAGCAAAATAGGGTTAAGAGCACTGAATTACCACCATGTGTAATGGGGGCTACAACCAGACAGCAACTGTCTATAAATCATCTTTATAAAAAAATGGAGTAAAAGTGGTAGCTGGACTAAATCCAGCTAAAATGCTTACAAAAACGGCAAATGAATTAAAACCTGGAGGCAGCAGCACTCACTCTATTATCATCCACACACTTTACAGAGTAAACAGTACAATGAAAACTAAGACAAACAGAAGAAAAGTTCAAAGTAGAAGTCCTGAAGTAAGAATAGTAGAGGTAAGGTTATCAGTCTGAGGTCAAATACAATTAAATGTAGGCTTGGTATGAAAGCTCCAAAACTGTTCAATTCTCTGGGCAGAATTCTTCCCATAGGCTACTTGTGGGTTATCTGAGGTGAGGAGATATTGGCTGGCACCTAAACTGTGATTCAAAGAAAGCCAGGGAGAGTTTTATTCTGGTCCAGTCGATCTTAAATGAGAATACATGCTGGCCCTAAAATACTTAGTATTTTTCCTGATTAACAGAATATAACATATCAGAATTACTTGGAAAGAGTTCACAGCCAGTGGGCCCACCTGACCTGTGTTAAAGTATTCTCTAGTAGTCCCTATTACTGTCTCTAAAGGGCTCTTCTCACTGACCAGCTTCAGTGATTTCAGGTAAGTTAGCTGGATGAGAGGGCAGGGCATACCTGAAAAGAGACAAGAGAAAGATTGACAACAGTGTCAGTCTTTTTAAATTCTTTATTTCTGAGACATCAAAGATATTCCCAGGAAAGACCCCGCACATACCAGGGGCCATTTCACAAAGCCTTCCCACACATATAAGATTAAACGTACACCCTCTGATGTTTTAAACTCAACTGTGTGCACAACATCAACAGCTCGCTGGGAAGACATTTGGGGATTTGAGGTTGCTAAGGGGCACTATTCCAAAATTACAGAGTGTATAGATAAAAGCTATTCACAAAGCCTCCTCCAGTTCTGAAGGTAAAGAACGGCTCACAGTAGGGGGCCAGACATTTGGAAACTTTATGGGTTTCTTAAGCAGAGAAGAAGATGGCTGCAGGAAGTGACAGAACATGTTTATCAAAAGGTTGTTTGTGATATTAATCACAGTCAAAAACAATTCAGTGTTGCACCATTAAGCCTCAGTTTTAATAAAGTTATATTTAGTAATAGTCATTTATTCAATGTTTTTGTTGTGAAAACATCCATAATTATACAAGATATCTGTCAATTAACAAACAAATCCATCTAAAATTACACAACAAATACTTCATTTTTACAAAAAAATATAGACATTATAGACAGATTATTACACATTATATAACATATTTGAACTGTCTTTTTATGTGAAAATATTTTTAATTGTCTTTAAATAGGCAGTACATTTACAGGCTTTTTTTTTTGGGTAATTTTATTAATCCATTTCCATCTTAAAAAATACAGAAACTGGAAAATCCACAGAAACTTATAGAATTTTGCAGCAGCAGTAAACATGGCTGGCATGGCTATGCAAGGCTGGTTTTCATTTAATCAAAATTGTAATCCAAACACTTATTTTTTGGTTCAGAGGTGGACCCAAATCCAAGACACAGATTGGAGGCAAGGATAGGAGGCAAATAAAGTTAAACATGTTTACTGAAATAAAGTGGGGTAGCTAGTGATGGCAGAGGGTTGAGGAGCAAGGATGATGGCATGAGAAGGATGTAAAGACACTTGGGGTACATGATTGGCTGAGTAACACAAAGAACAGAGTGTAAAACTGAGCTACACTACCACTGTAGTAGAACAACAATCTGCCACTAGATGTGTGTAGAGCTGAGTTAGAGGTAGTATGCACCGACGAGTGAAAGCGAGGCCGGTAAACAGACCAGAGTGGTGATGAGCAGCTCTAAACTCCCTTTAAGAAATGACATTGACATTTAAACAATGCTTTACGTGTCCATAACAACTTGTTATTCTAGAAGCACAAGATAAAGTGTGTCATATGTCCACAGTCTGATCAATTCGGCATCAATATAATCCATAAAGATAAACTTTTTGGCTATTTTGTCTCCTCAATTTTGTCTGGGAATAAGAGGCCGGCCGTTTTAATAATAATTATTCTTCACTAAAGTAAGTGCTGCTGGTGGACTACATATCTGTTCACTGTTTATTATTATGTATGTGTGTCGGTATTTCAGGGTTTTTTTTGCCGTTACCATAGTAACTACCTGTATGAAAGTGAAATATCATTAAAGAATGCGGTTAGAGGTGCTACACAAACACTGAAGGGCAGAAAGTTTGATCATCTTCATTAACTAATACAACTTATCAATACATCTGTAGAGTGCTCCCACCATTGTATGTATATTCCAGGTGTGTGTCACCTCTTTTATACATCATGGGTTCCAAAAATATTGAAAAGACATCTGTGTTTCCTTGCTCATAGCCTCCTCTCTCCTCTAGATGCAATTTAGGAAGTGAGATTGAGATCCTTCAAGATGGCGCACTGAGATTGAGTTCCGGGTCACAGGTAGGAGGATGGAGGACAGAGTAAACGAGGAGGCACAAAATAGAGAAGTCCCCTAAATTGCATGTGGAGGGGACCGATGGAAGTAGAAGAGGCGATTAGAGGAATCAAGGATGTACAAACTGAGAAAGGCCTAGAGACAGACCAAAGCACAGGTGACACAGGGAGGGAGAAAAACAAGGGGAAATGGATGACAATGACAAACACTCACCAAATTGCATAGAATCTTTTCTATCCCCCAAGAAGAGGTGCAACCATGACTTTTTATGAAGTACCTGTATGTGCCAGTCTGGTCTATCTTAAGAGGCAGTGGGCATGTGATTGGATGACAGGTGAAAAAAGAGGCAGGTGACAACCCCAAATGCCATTGCGATAGTGTGAAATAGTGACATTATGAAAAGTGACTTGTGAATCAATTCTTATGAAAAAATAAAAAGGGTTATCGGGGAAAATGCTGTTAAAAGGTAATTTGAAATTCAAATTAAATTATATTATATAATTAAATGAAAATGAGAATATGATGGATTAAATCATATTTGAGTTTTAATAAACAGAACAAATGCCAGTAGACTGACTGCGGAGAGCTACATCACAAATGCAGGTTGCTCTTTGTGTCAGAGGACATATCATGAGACCAAAACAGAAAAGAGAGAGGTTTGACTTTGTTTTGTGATCAATGAGTCCTAAAAAAATAAAAGCCTTTGATTAATGGGCTTAACACCTACGCATTTCAACTAAGGTAGCTTCTAACCGAAAACCGAAAAACCTCATTAAATCCACTAAGTAGTTTGGCCGAGAGTCACATTACCACATATCTGATGGAACACAGCAGTGAATGGCTGGAGAGCTCTTCAACTACCTGCCCCGCCCACAACACATACACACAGACAAACACAGGGGCACCTTTTCCACCAAATCACCTCTGGTTCTTGAACCAGTTCTGTTTCAGATCTTTGGAAGCTAGCTACTGTAAAATATGACCCACCAAGTTTTGTTCCTGAGGAACCAACTGAAGAATCTGTCGAAACGATACGTATACAGGGATTACGATTCAATATATTGTGACATACTGCGATACTGTAAGCAAGGCGACATATTGCTTTTTTTCAATCTAATTTTAGGAAAATTGTCGTAGTATAAAGAACACACCACCATATGCATACAATCTGAAACAGTGTTTTTGAAAAACCATAAAGTATCATAAAAACAAAAATATTGTGATTCAATATTGTTCGATCATTTCTTACACTCCTATTCCAAACCAATTTATTTTTGGTCGAAATGCTTCGAGCAGTACAAAACTATAGTTGCATGAACCGGAATAGAGACAGTTTTCTGTTCGTGGAAAAGCCCTAAGAACAAGGAACACACTTCAATCATTTATTCATGTGATTATTTATTTGATATTTATTTAATATTGAATACTCTACTCATATACATGTAGGAGTCTTCAGCCATGCTAGCAACCTGGCTGGCTTAGTCCAGTCAATCGACATATAAAAGATTGCATCTCTACTTCCCCACACTGTATAAAACTTACACCAAAATATTCTGGATACAGCTGCTGCCATCTTGCGCTGGTGATGTCATTTGGAGCCAGATCAGATGATCTTGATTGGCACTGCAGTATCAAAGGACTGCCCGAAATCCCCTTTTTATTGCTTCAAATAACTAATTAAAACTAGGGATGATCAAGGTGTTTTAGCCCCCGATCCGAGTCATTAAATGTTGAAGTCCGAGTCCTGGCTACTTGGATTTTTTTTAGATAACACAGTGCACATTTTAAGTACATTAAAGTTGTTAAAATCAATCCAATGTATATGTTTGACAATTGAATAGCTCTGCATTGCCTTAGGAAATGCTTAATTCTTTTTTCTATTTTTAGTTTAGTTTAATATTTGATTTTTCACATAATAAAGTATGAAATAACCTCTGTAATCTTTTGGTCTTGTTGCTGGAGTTTCTCTCTCCAGTGGCTTCGGTGCAGCTTTTACCTGGGTTACCTGAATGAACTGTCTCTCTAAATGTTTTGCACGAATTACATTCATTAATTACTTTTATTGGCTTTTTCTTCGCGGCACTTTTGTTGCACAGTGACTGTACTGGCACCATGCATGAAAGCTGATGTAAAACAAAGGATCGGATCGGATCAATAAAGGTCAATACAGCCGATACCGCTCAGTTAAAAAATGTCTTGATCGGTGCCAATACCGATCGCTGAGATCGCCTAATTAAAAACGAACCAATCCAAAAAATCACTTGAACAAACACTTGAACATACATCAACGTGATAAGAACTATCTAAAATGTTACTATTATTATTATAAACTAACAATTGGATGGATTGCCATTATGTTTTCAAATAGAGTCAACTTTATTGCCACATACAACCGACACACTACAATGTACAGTGAAGTGTCCTCTGCATTTAACCCACCTTAAGTTCTAGAAACAGTGGGCAGCCACTGTATATCGCCTGGGGACCAACTTGATCAAGGGCACCGACTGGACAGATATTCATGGTCCTCGGAGGAACAATCTTAATGATCTGTTAGCACCAACATGAGATGAATGTGGAGTAAAATGTCTCAACAACTTACTGTTGGATGGATTCCCATCAAATTTGGTCATACATTCATGTTCTCCACAGGATGGAATGTTACTTTGTTGATCCTCTGACTTATCATCTAGTTTTGACCATACCAGTGTGTGATTATAGACAATATTCAGTGCCACCAGTTATTACTGGAAGGATTCTTACTGTGCAGCACGTGCTGTCGTTTTTTTTCTACTGCAGAGTGTTTACATCTGCCTCAGGCCATGAAAAGCTGTTCTTTCTTTCTCACTGGAAAGAGGTCGTCAACTCCCATCAACCTATGCTCACACAAATAACAGTGCTGGAAAACATGTGAGCAGGGTGAAATGAAAAAATACTTCTGGGTTGGTTTCATAAAAGATTTAATATCAAGTTTGCCCCAAGGTTGTAGTATTCACCCAGCATTATTTTGAAGTGTGGTGATACTTAATGATGAGCCACTGAAGTTTTGTCCATGATTGGATCTTATTTGATTTTATTGGACTGTGTGTGTGTTTTGCAGATGCCTACACAGATGAAGACCTGATGCTGTACTGGAAGAGCGGAGATGAGTCCCTCAGCACTGACGATCGCATCTCCTTATCACAGTTCCTCATCCAGAAGTTCCACACCACGTCTCGCCTGGCCTTCTACAGCAGCACAGGTACACACACACACACACACACACACACACACACACACACACACACACACACACACACGTACACATGCACATACACAGACTGGCCATTAGGAGAACCAGAAGCATTCTCTCTCCTTTTTTCTTCTTAGCTTACTCTGTCAATGTCCTCTTAGGTTTCTTCACCTCTGCCATTAGCTATGTCCATAGTAGCTGCTGAGCCCGGTTACATTGCCTGCTCACGCAGGTCCAGTTCTTGCAAGACACCAGCACTGCGCTCTCCATTATCATTTCACCCCCCACCTCCTCCCAGGGCTGAAAACATCACATAAGAGGGAACATTTTCTCCATAAAATATGATCCAGTTTCAGCAATATCAGTGACATAGTTAGGGCTGTTCCATAAACTGCTTGTAAAAAAAAGTTACATAGTGGAAGAACAGGCGTACAGAGGAACCATTTATCTTATCACAACTCAGTGTAACATCAAAATTATGGTGAAGCAGTGAAGTTGCATAATATTTCTTTAAAAAAGAAAAAAATATATATAGACCACAGCTGACCTCAGCACATCACAATTATGTTTCCTGGGTTGATTCTGTGTTTTCAGAAACACGTCATCATGCTCTGTAGGAAAGCAGGAGATGTGTATGCATGGAAATAATGTGGAGAATAGTTCAGGGGCAAAAACAACAAATGCACAGTTTCCCATAAGACACTTTAAATTACTGTATGAATACTATCATTCCGGAATGTAGCACTAGCCTGATGGATAAAAACTACAATTTTATGCTGAAATATAAACTCCACTGTCAGCCAGTGGAAAGCCCCTGGGCTGAGGCAGGAATACAAAGAATGAAACAGAGATTCATTTCACATCACCTACAAATGATAAAATAATCCTAAAAATATTGTGAATATATATTGAAGCAGCAAAAGATTTAATTTGGAAAGTCAGTAAATCAGTCACTGACCTATGAATGAATGTGGGTCTTACAGTTTCTGCTGTCCACAACGGCTTTATATTGTATAAAAAGCTTCTCCTTCAGTTCATGAAGTCCCTGCAGCATCTAAAGCCATGGACAGATATGTTAAGTTGTTTTAAGTGCCCGCCAGAGCGCAGTGTCTTTACAACTGTTCACTGAGTTTACCTTCATTTAATTGCTTGAGAACAGCAGGCTGCTACAATATAACCATGCAGAGCTCTACATACATCAGCCTGGTCGGATATAACTCAATATTCAGCTTTTTTATGAAGGAGACATCCAGTTACCAGGGGTTATCATAGCATCATCCAACTTTCTGTTTTGGCAAACGTAGTGTCTCAGGTTTTATCCGTGAAACACAATGCCGTGCAAATGCTGCTGTTTGACATTAATTACTAACCCTGTATGACCATGTACAAGGTGAGATACATGATAATTATTACTAAAAGAGTGTCAGTCAGATTTCACCAAATCAGTGTTTTGATACAGTATTTAATAATCGCCACCTGTGATCTATATTCAGCTTGACCCAGCCCTTTTGCAGGTTGCACTGCTGAACATACATGGACCAAATTAGAAGTCAGTACAGTCTGTGTGCCAATAAGACCCCCTTGCGCTTGGCATTAAGGGTGCAAAATGATTAAACTCAGGGTGCAATGCATGTTTGCACCTTCGTAGAACCTGGGCTGAATATAAAACGACTATAATTACGTATTATAAAATAAAAATAGTAATGAAAAAATAAATCAAGATATTGAAAATCTGGTGGGGCATGTGCCCTTCCAGCTTGGATTTGCATGACTCGGCTGTCTTGAAGCAACATCGTAATAATATTACACATCTAAAACATAAGATGGCAATAGGGTGCCTTGATGACGTCAGATTTTATTCCATATGTTCAAAGTTGCATTCCATTTATTCAAGTTTCATATTATATATATATATATAATAATTTCCTAAACGGTATTCCATAGTTGATTTTTATATAATATATATAGTTTACAGCCAGCTCAGTTTTTTTTTAAATAACAGTAAGTAAAAAATGTAAAATACAGAATTTACTGCTTTTAGAAAAGTCAGTTATTTCAACTCTGTCACCAAAATGTTTTGTTTGTTTATTTAAAAACTTAAAAGTTCGATTTAATTTCTTAAATGTAGCAGGTGAAGCCTCATGTAAAAGGATTTGTGTCACCAGTTTTCACCTTGTTGAGTCAGCCCCTCTGAGCAGGTCTCTTGCTGTGTTTGCAGGCTGGTACAATCGTCTGTACATCAACTTCACGTTGCGACGCCACATCTTCTTCTTCCTGCTGCAGACGTACTTTCCCGCCACGCTCATGGTGATGCTGTCATGGGTGTCATTCTGGATCGACCGACGGGCCGTGCCGGCCAGAGTTTCTCTGGGTAAAAAAATAAAAATAACTCTTGTCAAATGTCCTTTGAAGAGATTGTGCATGCCTGAGGAAAATCTGTCTGTGTGAAATGATGAAAGCTTGCTCTGACATGGCTCCACCATTTGGGAACACACACATGCATGTGTGAACACACAAACCTCCCACGCTCTACCACTTTTCTTTTGAATTATTTTGTGTGTTGTGGCTGCTCCTGTACATGTCATACGGGCGTCTGTTTTGCTCCTCACTGAGATCCTTTCATAGCTCATGTCATCGCTCTTATTAAATTCAGCTGTTAGGATGGGATGATTTCATGAGTTTTATAAATCTTCAGTGCAATCTTAATCTTAAGTGTTTGTTTTGTTTTTGTATTATTTGTTGTGCATTAGATCATCAACAAATATGAGTATATATAGAAAACACAGCTCCAGTGCTTTTATTTAGTGTATTTACATATACTTAAAGGTCCAGTGTGTAACATTGAGGAGGATCTATTGTAGTAGAAATGTAATATTATATTCATAGGTATGTTTTCATTAGTTTATAATCACCTGAAAATAAGAATTGTTGTGGTTTTGTTTCCTTAGAATGAGACGTTTTTATTTACAGAGGGAGCGGGTCCTCTTCTCCGCCATGTCCGGCATGTTGTACTGCCATGATTCTACAGTAGCCGAGAACAGAAAAACTAAACACTGGCTCTAGATAGGGCCTTTCACGTTTTTCATGAGTCCAAAATCTTACAGCCAAGAACGATAGCTGATTGTGGAGTCTCATTCCCAGGGTGTCAAATACAAATGCTTTGGGAACCTAGGAATGAGACTCAGCAATCAACCCCAAACTGTCGTTCAGACTCGGTGAATTCTTGCAAATACCATTTGGAGCTCTAGGACCAGATTTTTTCACAGATTTTCTGTCTCACGTACTACTGTCAGGATATAGTTAAAGTTTTAGCAAATATGACAAAAAGTTGTTTTTATGAAAAGTTACCTACTGCAGCTTTAAGTCAGTTTTTGAAAGCCTGGATTTTACAAACTATTTCTACCACCCTGCTTTTAGTAAGTACTTCTTCCACCACTGACACCTTCTCACCTGCAAATCATCTAAACCATGCTGACTGGGAGCTTCACAGGGTCCTATTTATTGCCGGACTGCTGGATCACATTGCATCATATTGTAGAAGTGGTCATGTTATTGGAAGCCATACACTGTGTCTACACTGTGAAACAAACAAAAAATACACAAACTCAGATTCAAACACATTTTCCAACTCGTTGGAGTCTAACTAGAACGTTGTCTTTCTTATGTCCAGGCATCACCACAGTGCTGACCATGTCCACCATCATCACTGGCGTCAATGCGTCTATGCCCCGGGTGTCCTACATCAAGGCGGTAGACATTTACCTCTGGGTCAGCTTCGTCTTTGTTTTCTTGTCCGTGTTGGAGTATGCCGCCGTCAACTACCTGTCGACCGTACAGGACCGCCGGGAGCGCAAGATGAGAGAGCGGGCGCGATCGCAGGTTTGTTTATTGCGTTTGCTGTTTGGTGCTGGAACTCCAAACTGGCATACAATATTAATAAAAAGAGGCATCCTTCCCTCTGTGTGTGAGCCAGGGCAGTCCCTCTAGCTTTGCAGAGGATCCAGACTCCAAAAGCTTCAGCCACTCTTGCTGACTTTCTGCAATTTCACTGACAAGAGCATCTGTCAGGCTGTCTGGATACAAACACAAACACAGTGAAAAAAAGAAGAACAAAGAGCAAGAACAATGAGTGTTTGCATCCTGCAGTTAACTGCATGGTTTGGGGAAAGTTGGGAAAGTTCAACATATCATCCCTGAAAGACGAGAGATCTCTTTGAAAGTTAGCCTGTTGAACTCCAATGACAGGATTATGTTTTGGATGAATAAAGGATCTTGCTATAACACTGTTAAAAACCACAGATAACAAACAAAATAGGAAAAGCAAAGGAAAAAATGCTTGCACAAAGTTTGCCAAGCATCACCTACAATTCATTCCCTCATGAGATTCCAAACACTTTTTAGACCTTGAATTAAAAAAGAAATTCAGGCTGATACAGAGTTTTTAAGTCTCCATGGGATCCACTGCATTCAGAAGGGAGTGCAGTCAACTCTAAAAGATAATGATGTGTACAGAACAAATATACTGGAGAAACTGTACAAATACACTAAGCCACCACTGCAGTTTAGGGAGTTAAGCTAGTGGACACAAGTGGCCATTAAACTGATTCATAATGTATATTACAGTAAATGCATCACTGTAATAAATCTGTTATTAGGTAAATATGACAAATGAATTAGGTGGGAATTATTATACTTGTAGTACCAGCATCTTTTAAAGGTCCAATGTATATATGTTTATTTGCAAAATCCGTCATGTTGAACCGCCATGTTTCTACAGTAGCCCAGAAGGGACAAACCAAACACTGGCTCTAGATGGGGCCTTTCACTATTTTTGCTGTATTCAGTTAGTTCCAGTCTATAACTTCACCACTATAAATCCTACACACTGGTCCTTTGAAATAGTCTGCTTGATGTCTTCAAATATAATGTTTTAATGTCAAATCTCTCTCACAGAAAGACTGAATTAGTTTGCTGATATAGACACTGAATGAATTTTCGTGAGCCCAGGCACGGAGCAAGTACTACTCATGATAGAAGGTGTGGCAGTGTCAGTGAATGAATCGTCCACTGCTGTCTTTACACTCACTGATCCACTGTTTGATGTCTGTACTTTACAGACTAAACACTCCTGAAATGGTTGTCTGTGTTTATCATTAATTTTACTTGATCAAATAACTGCAAAAAGAATCATGGCAATAAGCTATGAATTATTAGTGAGCAGCAAAATAAACTTTCCATGGACTCTGATTCTCTGATTGTCAGAAATTAAAAGACCAGAAAAAGGTTTATGCAGTATTTTGTGATAAATGAACCCATACCTGAGTTCATAAAACCAAAGTGCAGCAGAGTCTGTAAACCATTTTAAAAGATAAGCCTGATGATAATTTATATTTTTCTCAAACAAACAACTTTCAACAAATCCCACGTGCAGTGCCAAACCCAGCACTACTGTTTATTTTGACTCAGTGCCACGCGGCACACTGTACTGCTGCAAGGATGTATGAATGAGTTAGTTTCCGTTCGATGGCCTTTGCCATCACTGACTGAATGTGTGTGAAAGGGTGAATGTGGCACGTAGTGTAAAAGCGCTTTGAGTGGTCGGAAGACTAGAAAGGCACTATACAAGTACAGGTCCATTTACCATTTACCATTTACCAAGGAATACTCACTAAAAAACATAATTTTTACAAACTGAAACTATGTCAGGTACTTTTAAAGATATGCATCTTCAGAGCCACAGACAGGGTAGAGAAGTCAGGAATTACTTAGAGACAGACTAACACATTGCTGTTTTGTTTTGTTCATGGGATTTGTTGACAATAAGAAAATTATACAATTACACAGGACATATCCCTTCAACATGGTTGAATATGTAAAGCCATTCCAGCAGCCCTTTTTCAGGCTTCAGTTTTCATTAAAGCTGACATTTTTAAAGGACCAGTGTGTAGGCTTTAGTGGCATCTAGTAGTGTAGTTGAAGATCACAACTCTGCCTGTTCACACTTCCTGTGAAAGAGAAACTGAGAGGGCCTTGAAATGCAAAGTGTCAAAGTCAGGTGATGTAGTATCAATCATGAGAAGGTCTGCATATGAAGGGATGAGGTGGGAGACCACTGTTTGTGTCCCATGTGAAACCAAAAGTGAAGTGTTTATTTTAAGTTCTGTACATCAATTAACATACATTACGTCAGGTGTATGTTACATACCTCGTTCTGTTGATTTCTTGTTCTGGAGTTGTTGCAGCCAACAGATGAACAAACAATGGGATCATTAGGCCCCACTGTACAGGAGAGTCATGGGGTCAGCAATAACATAGAGATTCACCCTCTTGGGACCATAAATGTCCACAGCAGTTTTGAAATTTTGATGATACCTTCAGCATCAGTCAAAAGAAATGTTCCAAATATAGTATTGTTGCTGGTTGTTCTGGTACAGTGTTTGAGCAACCAAAAAGATCTACACTCACTGCCATCATTAGGCCCAACGGTTCAACAGAAAAGGTGAGGGGGCCAACAATAACACTGATATCCACCCTCTGGGGACCATAAATATCCATAGCAGGTTTCATGGAAATTCACCCATCTGTGTTTGAGATACCTTATCATTGACAAAAGCCTCAATCGAGAGGAAATGTTGACCTTGTGAAAGCCACGTCACCACAGTTAAATTGATCTGTCCTTCAGGGACAGTGCATATTCATACTTAATATTATGGTATTGTTGCCTTTTGCTGAGATGTCTAGCTCTGGACCAAAGTAAGCAACCAACAAATGAACTGCCATAATTAGGCCCACGATTAGCAGGACAAAAAAAGTATTAGTATGGATTACCGAAGTCAACCATCGATTAAGGACACTTTTGATGACTTCCGTTCCTTTAAAACGTGTATTCCATAAAAGTGATGACATTTTATTTTTCTTCCCTGCCAGTCCCTGCCCTGCACCTGCGGGATCTCCCAGACGCGAACTATGACCATGTTGGATGGCACCTACAGCGAGGCTGACACCAACAGCCTGGCCGGCTACACCGAGGAGCCCATGGTACCAGAGGAGGAGCAGGAAGAGCTGCACGAGGTTCTAGAGAAACCTGAACACATGGTGGTCCATCTGTCTGTGAGCAGTGAGTCCACTACCACCAAGAAGAAGAAGAGCTTGCGTGCCATCAACATCATCCAGAACACGCATGCAATTGACAAATACTCCCGGATGATTTTCCCTGGTTCGTACATCTTTTTCAACCTTATCTACTGGTCCGTCTACTGCTGAAAGACACTCCTGAATCCAGACTGAGACCAGAGAGATTAACACACAGGCAGTATCAATGCTGCATCAGAATGGGACACTTCTGGACTAGTTCTAAGAGGGCTGCTGTTCTGTATCTCTGTTGATGAAAGATCATTAGGTTTAAGCCTTGGACAGTTACAGAGCCTGAAAAGATTATTTGTTTTGAAAGGTTTGGAAAAAGTTCAGCACTGAGACTTTGTGAGTGACTCCTTTTTCATTTTTTTTCCTCATGCAGCAATTTGAATGTTCATTAACACTCGAAACTAAAAACAAAGAAAATAATCATTTGACTGTCAACTGCTGTTAAAATGCTCTTTGTCATCATTACTGTTGTTCCTCAGATGAACAGCAGTTTATTGAAAGAAAAAGTAAATCTTTGTATTTGACTTCTAGCATTGATGGATAGGGATATGGTATGCTTTGCGTGTGTTCATGCTGTGATCCTCTCAGTTGATAGGTTTCTGTCTTTATATCATTTGTAATGATAAAGCTGAAAATCATCATGATCATACATTTTTAAGGCCCATTTTCTATCAGTCATGACTTATAAACAGTGATGATGAAGGTAACAAACTTCCCCATATTTTAAGCCTGTTATCTAAAAAAAAATATTATAACTTAATGTTGAGGAATCAACAGTGTGTACATGTCAGCAGCTCTTTGAGGCTGTGTTTAGTGGTGCTTTGAGCTAAATGCTAATGCCAGCACGCGAACATGCTCATGTTAACATGCTGGTGATGTTAAGCAGTCAATGTTTACCATGTTCACCTAGCTTAGCATGCAAACATTTGTTAGTAAATGTTAGACTGATGGAGATATCATCAGTTTTGCTGGTCATAGACCAGAGTACTGGTAGAAATTTGATCCTAATGATGGCGCTAGATGAAAACTTCAATGTCTGTACCAAAGTTTACGGCAACCCATCTAACAGCTGTGGAGACATTTTGCTCAACTGAGACATTTCACTGAACCAAAAGTGAACCAAAAGGTCAGGAGATCAACAAAGTCACTACAGTTTATCCTTGAATGTCTGTACCAAATTCCATGATAATCAATCCCACACCTGTTTTTCAAAACCAAAACTGTAAACCTCATGGAGGTGCTACAGGCAGATCAAGCCAGTGCATCACTAAAGTCAGTAAGATTCATCCTCTGGGGAGCATAAATGTCAATATTTGCCAAGATGTATCTCTATCTCTGAACGCTTCCCAGAGCACACTGCTAGCATTGATAAAAAGTCTAGTCTAGTGATGACTTTAATGTATCTGAGGGTAACAGTCTTCCAAACTTAATGGTCTATCAGAGTGGATTTTGGTCACTGATTCATTTTTCTCAACCTTTACAGGTTTCCACCCAAATGTGGTACAAATTTAACAGAAAAAAACTCGCCAGAGATATTTCCATCCACTACTGCTGTGTGAAAATTAAGAGCTGGATATCAACATTATTAGTAATTCTCCAGTCAGGTGCCATTGAACCACTGCAGCCAAAGAGCTCTGGTAAAATCTCAAATTAGGAAAAACCCTGTGGAAAACGTGATGAAAATATGACATCTGCAGCGGAAGCTATAGTGGACAATTAAATCACAGGATTTATTTGCTAAGTCACATTTTATTTTGACTTTTTTTTCAATATTTTGATTTAATTTATTTATTTATTTTAAATTTACAACATTTCCGCTCAAATAGAATATAAACAAATGGGTGGATGGAAATGCACTGATAGAGGCATCCAGAAAGTGAATAGAGTGAAAATATAAAGCAGAAAGGACATCAATTATGACAATATATAATACACATTTTCTTTAATGTTTAAATAATCAAGTTAGAGAAAATGGTGTGATATCTTCAGATAAAGACATCTCAGTGGGCGATCACACCAAGATGTGTCACTGGAAACGCATTGCCAAACCATTGTTTTCCTATGGTACAGTAGGAAAACAATTGCAGTTATTAGAAGTGCGTAAAAGTTCAGATATTTTCAACTTTTCAGCATAAGGCATGGAGTCCCACCACTCGTCACTGTCACGCTGGGCCCAGGCAGCCAATGAAATCAAGCAAGAGGCGGGCTTGTTTTTATGCCAGTAGATGTTATAGGAACAGAGAAGAACGTGAAAGGGAGAGGAAGAATTCTTAGCTCATGTTGCTTCAATCCATTTTTTGTCCTGTTTATCACATTTAACAGCCCATTTGCGCACATAGCTCTGCTCCACAGCTATATGAGCTGTTTTGCCCAACATCTTTGAAGTGGCCCCTCATGTAGGAATTTTGATTAGTAATGATCTTGAGATAAGATAGAAAAAATATTAGCAGCCAAGGCCACTGATTTGGCTGCTGGTTTTGATATTGTCACACTGTTCTGATGTGTTGAAGACTACACAGACTTTTTCAGAAACCGGCCTGGCTAGTTGCCTTAGCATATGAAATAAGTGATGACTTTGGTGATACTTGTATTATAAAAGGTTTCTTGGCCAGTGGGACATTGTCTGCTAAGGTCAGTATAGCTATTTATTCCAGTTAGCAAATAAAATAAACAGATGCTTGCTTCATAAAATTACTTCAGAACTTACCAGCATTAATTGATTTCACTTGTCTTTGAAATAAAAGCTCAGTGCAAATTTTGGGACACCGTTATCAGCTTCTTGTCCATGTTGCACCTACCAGGCAGAACACAGACTTTCCTTGAACTTCTTTAGAAATGATTATGCCTGATGAACACTGTTTTTATTCCCTTTGATTATACATAGGTACTCGCAAATCTCCACTTAACTTCTAGAGCTACTTCAAAAGCTCTGCAAAGCTTCTAACAGAACTCTGGTAATTGATCTAAGCTTTCATTGTAATTATTTTTTTGACCAATTTAATCTGTCAAAAAGCTCAACTTACCTTGTGAACACTATGACCTTACAGTGAGTGGAACAATGTGACCCAAGAGTGTTTGCAGATGACTTACTGGATAAGTTTATTAAAATTAATCTAAGTAATGAACACAGTTCCCCAGATCACCAATCTATGGCTGTTTGCCTTTGTGAATTCATACCAGTGTGTGCAGTCAAAACTGAAAGTATTCTATAGGGAACCAATGTCCCTGCCCACCTCATGGTGTGTTGCACCAGCTGTCAGTGCTAATTTATAGCTTCCTCCCACATTATCTGCAACTGTACTGGTTAGTAACATTTAAACATCAAGACAAAAGACCAATTATTTTGTTAAAGGTTATATATGAAATTGAATATATAATTATTAATATATTACATCATCTGTGTCAGTGAATGAAGTTGATTGTTGGAGTTTTGGGTGGTTTATTTTTTTTTTTTCGGTCCACTAAAGTTACAATTATATGCAAGGTAAAACTACCATTTTTATCTATGGAGTCTGATGCAGAGCGATAGCGATACTGAGTTGTTGGTGCTTTAGTGTGACATCCAGTGGAAAGTAAATTACATATTTATATAACGTTGAACGTTCAGCTTCTACTCCCTTTTGGCTTTGATGGCATTGGCATCATTTGATGGCTAAGACTTGTGCAAAAAGTGAATGCTGGGAAAGATAACATTAACATTGAAGCCCCAGCATAATTTTTTTGCTTTTTAAAGGACCAGTGTGTAACATTTAGGAGGATCTATTGTCAGAAATGGAATATAATATTCATATGTATGTTTTCAACTAGGTGTTTTATCAGCTGGAAATAAGAATCATGTTTTTGTTACCTCAGAATGAGCTGTTTTTATCTACAGAGGGAGCGGGTCCTCTTTTTCAGAGTCTGCCATGTTGAACTGTCATGTTCTACAGTAGCCCAGAAGGGACAAACCAAACTGTTGAAAAGAAAATACAAGATACAGCTAGTTAAACAACAGAGGCAAGCTTCCATCAGGGGCAGAACTTTGACAAAAGGTGAAAAACACAAGATTTTAGAAAACAAATTAACAAAACTAAAAGAAAAAATGCAGTTGGCAGGACACACACAGACATCAGCATTTCAGAAAACACAAAGTCTTTAACACATTGTATGAGGTCAGAGTCTGTTTTTCTCATTGTTACATTATATGTTGATGATAGTCTGTTATAGCTACAAGAAGCAGGAATTAAAAGGTGCTCTCATATATTGTTGAGCAACCAGAATGAATTCGCAGTCTGTTATGGGGTACCATTTGTTTTCCTCAAACTTATATCTTAATGAAATAGTTTGTCCACATGTTGTGAAAACACTATAGCAGGGTGCTCATCTGTGAGACAAAGGAAATCAAGCTCAGCCTGGTCATGTGTCAGCATGTGTATCTACCAGCAGGAAAAAAAAAAAAATTAGCATTCCATTCAATTAACTGTTGCTGATTAAAGGGCAAGAGGTTATGTGTATTTAAAGTTTTATTTACTGCCATTCATTTCTGGTATCCCGTTACAGCTTTATCCAATCAGAATGGAGAACACCACAAAGAGGAGGTCCCCAAGGGTAAGCAGCAGTGTGGTGACATGGGGAGGAGGGAAGAACAGACAGAAGGGTTAACCAAGATTTTGTGTATTTAATTTATATCTATCCATCAATTTTCTATAACCACTTACTGCAGGGCAAAGGTGGGCCCTGACAGCAGAAGTGCTAAGCACTGATCCACTGTACGCCCTGACTGTGTTGACATGGTTTCTGACATTTTCTTTTGCACCTGAGGGCTACTGAAGTTCTACCAAAGTGAAATGTCTAACATAACTGTACATGTACATCTAAAGATTTTCATGCAGTGTTACAAATTGTCACATTATTCCTGTAAATTGTCAAGTAGCATACATTTTCTGGAGTCATACATGTGATGAGTTTAAAAAAAAAAAAAATTGAGATTTATTTTAGACCACAAAAAAAATTTATGTAATTATATTTGAGTGCCGTTTGAAATATAGGCCTACTGGTTGTGCTAAAGAATGTATTGTAACAATGTAAATTATTTATAACCTTTTAAAAACATATTGCTTTTGTATATTAGTGTAGCCATTTATACATCAACCAATTTCTGATTTATACAATACAGACATTTGACTGGTTCTATCATATGACAGCATCTGATTATATATTGACAATTGGGTGATTTGAGAACATTTGAGTAATAACATCCACAGTAAAGCTTTATTCACATGCACTGTCACAGTACGTAAATCTATAAAACGTATACCTTTTTTGAAAGTTGTTCTTATTTCATTAAGTCTGTAGTTGAAATGTTCTGTAGACCTATTTCTGTAATGCCTGGACCACACTGTTCACGTGAGCAGCGTGTGTGTGAGTGTGGAATCTCTTGTTTTTTATTCTGGTGCCCATGTTAACAGATTAAAGTAGCCACACAGTTTGTCGAGCGCCTATTTTTTCCACGACATGCCCGTTCTTGACAATGCTCAAAATTCCACTGGAAGAGCCACGCCGTGTCACAGAAGACCAGATGCACCATATGCATCTGGTCTTTCTTTTAACCAAACCTGCAACCCACTCACATTAAACAGCACAGAGCAGTTCGCACTGGCAGGAAGTCAAAACGCGTAGAGAATATAATCAATTTCAAAATAAAATACTGTGTGCAGACTCCGGATTGAATTTATAAAGCCATGCTTCGTGGAATTTCGAGGCTACACTTTTCACTACAGTTAATATCTATAGCTGTATAATATGCCACATGAAAAAAAAAAATTTTAACACTATATTTTTTAAATAAACTTTTATTGTGAAATATTTGCAGGAAAAATTCAGTGTAGATAGAGCTGGCAGCAGCAGCACCACAGGAGCAACACCACACAGATGCGAGCTGCAGTAGTTCAACGAGGTAGCGCACAGGTAGGGGTACGCCGTGTGGTCCTGGCATAAGCATTCATGAGTTGCTACTGACATTAAAGAATGTTTCAATGTATTTATCAGGGGATATTAAATGTAATTATGATGAACTAAGTATGCCTTTGATTTGGATTACATTGATTTACATTTAAATTATATCTATAGTTTACACTGTCAGTGATGCTTAGATTCAAGTTTCAAACCTAAGGGAATGCTAAATGGATAATCATAATGGATATATCATAAAAAGTTTGTTTATTCCTGTAAAAATTCAAGATGTTGTTCTGTAGAGTACTGGAAACTGCTTCTTCAAGGCTGATGTGGAAGATGCATTTCAAATGCAGCATGCTAACAGGGTCAGCATATGTACAGTAACAGACCTCTGAGTCTTGCGTCAAGGCTAGGGAGGGACCAGAGAATTCAGCTGAACATAATTTTCAAATCAAGGGAAGCATATTCAAGACACACACAATGTGAATGTGTGATTTTAAGATAAGATATGTACTTTATTAATCCCGTATTGGGGAAATTGTTTTATCACTCTTTTTTTTTATTTTTATACACACACACACACACACACACACACACACACACACACACACACACACAGGCTGAAATACACACTTCATGCACTTGTGGACAAGCAACAGGGAGAGATATGGTGGAGTGATGGGCTGCCACGTTAGCAGCGCCCATGAGCAGTTTCTTGGGGTTAGGTTGCCTTGCTCAAGGGCACCTCGGCAGCTACCAGTCCACACTCCATATTGTGGTCTGTGGGACTTTACACAATGTTTCTGTAGGTACCCAACCTGGTGCAGGACTCTGTCTCCAACATAACCTAATCCAGAGCAGGATAGGTGTTACCATAGCTGTGTGTAAAAAGTTAACCACCATTCTGACACTGAAACCCCAAGGTTAATCCTGAACATACCTCGCTAACCCCAAGTCCTGCTTCATAGTACAAGCCTCAGATTGGGAGAGAAAGCCATCTTGGAAACAAAGTGATGTAAATAGGCCCAATCCCTATGTCCCTCGTGGATGTGAGTCCTTAGGGTGGCACCACTGTCAAATCAAGAGCATGAGGCCTCTCTTGTAGAGTTTAGGAGCCTTAAATCTGCATTTCTGCAGACTTCACTTGAGGAAATGACCCACAGTTCATAGCGTTGTGACGTTAAACACAGGTTGCCTGGGGAAGCCCGGAGGCATTAAAATTGATGATTTCCATAATGCTATCATCAGATCTTAGCCTACAAAAAACACTTAAATTCATCCAACTGCGGCTGGAGTGCAAACCTCACTTCACTCGTAGCAGAAATGCTTCTGCCCAATGTTCCAAGTAAGTATTCCACATTTAAACCTCAAAAATGTCTGTTCATGATTATTTACTGTAGCCAGCCAATGGATAAGTGTAAACTCAACAGCTAAAGCGAACACATGCTATAACCTGGTGTGTTTGGGGCATATAGTACTGACAGTCTCCTGCTGCTGTGGTAAATGTCCTCCTCTGACTCTACTTAGCATTTTATCCAAACACACAATGAACCCCCAACCTTGCAGCAGTTCAAGCCATTAAGAAATAGAAAAACTTAAGCCAAAGTAAAAAGGGTTGGGTGAACCAAGTTCAAAATCTGATGAATGAGCCAGTGGATCACATGTTGGCTATTTCTGTATGTGGGTTCAATTACACTGATGGGGAAACTTTGTGATTTATCTGGCTCCAGTACGATAAGGTTTTATCAAAAGATGTGTTCATTTAACCTTGTGTTTCTTACACCCTTCACACAAGATCTGATCCTATTACCACTGACCAGATCAGGGACAGATGGTGGGACAGTCAGGAAATTGACTTTCTTTTCTCGCAATGCATAAGCCTCTGAGGCAGAGGGACTCCATCGAGCCTCTCTCTTAACATCATTGCCACAGCACAGAGGAGCCTGATGAGGTGCCCAGTACCACTTCTCCAGGGCCATCCACTACCCCAAACCAACTATATAGGGGTTCCCAAAGGCCACAACCAAAAAGAAAATGAGACTGCAGAATAGTTAAAGGTTTATGCAGAAAGGCAGGAGAGGAGGCAGAGGAAGCTGGATAAAAGGGAGGAAGAGAAAGTATCTTTGGACACTGGAAAGCATAAGGAGCCTTTTAATTTATTTGGTTTGAAACTTTAAATGTATGGTTGTTTTTTTTTTTTTCATTTGATTTGTTTGAAAGTATGTACGGGCGTAAATTACATTATTTTTGATTTCCTTTAGTCCAATGATTCCTCAGTTAAAAGGTGTTTGAGATTATGAGTTTATTTTCATCCGTCTCAGTGGCCTTTGAATTCAAGGAATGTATTTGTCACTACACGCTGCAGGTTGCGCAATGAAATTAACATTTCAGTCTACACACATTAAACATAACATAATTTAGATTTAAAAAATACTTATAAACAATAAATATTTCATATAAAAAAAAATTAAACAATGTATATATAGAGTATATACACATATATGTAAGGGAGATCTGTAGGTGCAAAGTACAAAGTAAATTTATGTCCTGATTTTGGGTTTGGTTTGATTGTTCCCTGTTTTATTTTGTAATTCTCATTATCCTTCCCCTCACCTGTGCATTTAATCTTTGTGTTCTCTTCTTTCTCAGGTTACTTTGTTCCTGGTTGTTTTGTTCCTTGTTGCATTTGGTTTTTTACTTGTGCTTTACCTGGATTACTACCTCTCTGCATACCTGTACCTGCACCTATCTGTAATTCAACTCAGTTTTTATTCAAATGTATATGCTGTTCTCCGATCCTGTGTTTCCTGAGTCATGACAGTGTATTGAAATGTCATTCTTGAGTATAAACTTTTTGATCCATCACAAGCCGGAATCACTGAATCACAGGCAGTAATCTCGTTTTTTATATAGTCATGGAATCACTTGGAAATTGCTTAAAATGACCAAATATCCAGGGAATAATCAAAATGACTTATGGCCATATTAATGTAGTCAATTGGCCCCAAACCACAGTCGATAGGACTGTTTGTAAGTAAGTGGTGTCCTGTATTCTCAAGAAAAGCTCCTGGAAAATGTCCAGTCAGAATCCTGTTTATGGCCACAAAATGCAATGATTTCAAGTTTGAAAAGTTTTAACGATAAAATGTAAAAAAAAATCTGATGGCATAATCACGATCCCTTCATGAGGCCTAAACATGCTGGAGTGGTGATATGTGGGCACAAGCAGGTCAAGTCATGAAGGTCAAGTGGAGCCACAGGTTTAATCTTTAACATTCCATTGCATTTAATCTATAGCTCCTTCAAACGTCTCTACATTTTAGTTTTAATCTGATAAAATGTTTGGTTATATTACTGAAACAAGTGCTACCTCTGAAACAGCCTACAGTCATCAGAAAAGGAAGTGTGGGGTTTGGATTAAAGAGCCGCAGGCCTTGAGATAATCCACCCAGCCAGATCAGCAGGACCAGCTCAGCACAGCAGGTGCTCTCACCCCAAGAGGATAGGAAGAGAGCCAGGATAATGTTTGGACGAAATGGGACAGTTGTGCCCATCTTCATTTGTCATCTGTTATCATTTGTGTTGCCCAATTTAAGCCCAAGTTTTCATTTCTTTTTATAGACCCAATTAGGACCCACATAGGGAGTCCAAATGGGGCCTACCGAGGCCACGTGTTGAAATTGCAGGCCAAAGTGACCCAAATTTTTTTATGAGTGAGGAGTGAGGCATGTCGTGTGTGTATAGCAGCACAGCTCGAGTTGACTGCCTGAACTAGCTCGCAGGCTTCGCTCCATTTATCTCAGGACACTTTTCAAATAGAGCTGGTCTATACCGAACTCCTTATAACATTATTTACAGAGACCCAACAGTACCACCATGAGCAAGACCTTGGCAACGGCGGCAAGAAAAACTACCTTTTAGTTAGAGGCGAAAACCTAGGACAGACCCTTCGGCTCTAGGTGGGTGGTTGTCTGTCTCGACCAGTTGGGGGAGAGAGAGAGAGAGAGAGAGAGAGAGAGAGAGAGAGAGAATGGCGTAAAGACAGAAGGACGGAGACAGAGGTAACGACAGAAGGACAGAGACAAATATGAGAGGCTTACTGTTTGTATAAAGAGTGCAGGGAAAAGCATGGCATACTTGGCAGGAAAATAACAGCTACAAAATTGTCCAATGTGTGAAGACTTCACCACTATCAGAGCCAGTGAGAAACAATTCCGCCCTGGGGTAAAAGCTGAAACAGTGTGATGTTGCTTTACATTATGACGTGGCAGAGCTTCTGACAGTTCCCTAAATGTGGAACTACGGAAAGGCACAAACAGGTGCTCATGAATATGTATCACCTGAATACACATGGTTTGGAAATGAAATGGTTTGTGAGTCAGCTGAATGCGAAAAGGAGAAGCTGCTCACTTGTAAGTTAGCAGTCACACCTCCTCGACATGATTCATTCACAAACTGAATGTACTGACATTTTAGCAGGCCTGGTTATTATGAGTTTGCAAAAGCTTCCCGATGTGACACAAAATGACACACTGAAAGGCCACGAGTTGAGATTGTCTCAGCGAGTTTCAGCAATAAAGCCCCCCCCCAAAAAAAAAGGTGGCAGTTAGTTTGGAATAAATTTTTTGTTCATGTTGATGTTAATTCTCATTAAACCACAGTATTAACTGTCTCTAGAATAAAACCAATCCTCTGATCTGGTAAAAGTCATTCATGCACTAATTTTCTCCAGATTAGACTACTTTAACACTCTCCTCTCTCACCTCCAACTGGTTCAGAATGCAGCAGCTCGGCTTCTTACTGAATGATGTAATATCACTCCAATTCTGGTGTCTCTCCACTGACCATTTGCTTTAGAAGTGATTTTAAGATATTACTGATCACTTTAAAGCACATCTGGGTCTGGAGGGCAACAAATATTGGTCAGCTTCCAGTGGAAACCAAAAATAGGAACGTTCCAACAATAGAAACAATAGATCCATTCCTGTTGTAGAATTTTGTATTTCACAATTAGGACTATATCATAAGAAAAATACTCGCCTCCATTTCTATGTTCTTTGGTGGGTATGATGCCAAATTCTAAGTAAACAGGGATTTACAAGTAGTTTCACTCCAGAATGTAATCTGCCATGCTTCAAGCTAGGGTTAGAATGATGTTTTGGATGCAGGATTAGTCAAAATCAATTTAATTCCAGCCTCTGTAACTTCAATGATAAGACTACATGTTTTTATTTTTGTCAACAAATTCCACAAAAAGCCTAACAATGTGTTAGTCCATGTCTCAGTACTTTCTGACCTCGTCTGTGGCTCTCCAAGCCCATTAGCTTTTATTTTTAACAGTTGCGCAACAAACATTTTAGCTAACTTTACTAAAATGGGAGTAAATAGTGCATTTTTGGGGGCAGATTTGGTGTTCTAGTGAGTATTTGAGGCAGCAGGATCATATGTGTAGGATTGAGTCAATAAACTTCAATGTGTGTGTTCGTGGTAATGAAGGAACATGTCACCCAGTGCTACACTGTGTTGTACACTGTTTTTAATCATTTTTGGACAACAATGGAGCTCTATAATGGCACAGAAGAAGAAGATATATCAGGCTTACACACAGTACTTGTCAATAAGATACATTAATTGTTGGTTTTGATCTTGATATTTGCTCATTAAACATCAAACCAGCCTCTATACTTAACCTAACCATTGCTGAGACTTGAGGCCTTGAACAGAAGTTGGATTGTGTTGCAGCGCTGCAGGGTTTTTTGTGCCTCCTGCTGAACCTCTCAATGCTACCTGGCTTCATTAAGGAGTACCCTCAGGAGAAGAGCCTATTCAGGCACATACAAAATGAGCATTAATGCAAAAAGTTTGAGGTTAAGAAAGTGGAGCAGTCAGTCATTAAAACAAATGTTTGAGTGACTGTCAAGGTTGTCAAGGTTAGAATTTTAATTGGGTATGGGGTGACATCATCTTTCTGAAGTCCTATTTTTATCCTCCACATTTTTACAGATTAGTAAGTAAGTAAGATATCTCGAAACAATCCAGATGAAAGAAGAGTTTTTATGGTAAATTTGGGCCACTTTTTGTCCTGGATTTAACCTCTCAGGCTACACAGAGGCCCTCTGATTGGTAGATAGGAGGACTGCTCTCAAGGGGCCGCTGGGACCTGAAAGGCAAGGATCACAAGACAGACAGAGACAGTCAGTGGACTACTTTTTGGTAGCCTTGCTAGCATGTTTACTTGTACTGTGAGAATGCAATCATTGGAGGATAAAATAGTACCCTTCTAGATTCCCTTTAGATTTTTTTTTTTTTAAAGTGAGAAATAAAACCTGATATTATGAAATAAAAGTCATAAGGATATAGTTGTTATGTCACATTTTTGTTACTGTGAAATCAAAATAAACTATTTAATCTGTTGTTATGAAAATAAGAATGATCAAATAACATTTCATAGTGAGTTGAGTTATAATCATTTATTAAATTATTTAACAAATGAATGCTCAATTGATATATTTTACATAATTGATTCATGTGATTATTTATTTGATAATGAAGTATACATTTAATATTACTACATTAATATACAGCATAAATGCCACTGTGGTAAAAAGACAACAAACATCACTAATAATAATCTCCTACAAATCTGCCCACTGTTGCTATTTTAAAACTCATAGGACAAGTCATTGATTAACAGCAGTAATAATAATAATAATAATAACAATAATACATTTATTTGTAAAGCGCTTTCAGGTCAAAGTGCTGTACAGAGCATAGAAAATACAATTTAAAAACATTTCAAATAACTAAAGCAAAATTAAACACACACTCGAACTCTCAGGAAAACATACAGAGAAATTAGGACTCATACACAACAGTAAACAGATGGGTCTTTAGCTTTGCTTTAAAAGCCTCAACAGAACAAGCCTGCCTGATGTCCAGAGGTAAACTGTTCCACAATGTCGGTGCACGGAAAGAAAAAGCCTGTTCAACAATTGTCTTCTTTTTGACCTTTGGGACACTCAGAAGACCCGTCCCCTGAGAACGCAGGGCTTGAGCAGGCACAAAGGGGTTCACTAGGTCTTTAAGATACAACGGTGCGCTGCCATTTAATATTTTATAGGTTAGCAGCAACACCTTAAAGTCTGCTCTGGCATGAATAGGGAGCCAATGGAGAGAGGATAACACTTGTGTAATCTGTTCATATCTGGAGGCTCCGGTCAGAACACGAGCTGCAGCATTCTGAACCATCTGCAGACTCCGAAGACTTTTCTTTGGCAGACCCGACAGAAGGACATTACAATAATCTAGCCTAGATGACACAAAGGCATGAATGAGGACCTCAGAGTCCTTAAACGACAGTATTGATCTGATCTTCTCAAACAAAAGTGTGTGATCGAAAAGCACACCAAGATTCTTAACTTGGTCTCTGCGATTGATTGCACAATCATCGAGAGACAAAGTAATGTGCTCAAAAAGATGACCTAGTTTTGCTGGTCCGATAACCACCATTTCTGTCTTAGCAGAATTAAGCAACAAGAAATTTGTTGATAACCAGCTCTTAACAGCTGCAGGACAGGCCTCAAGTTTAGCTATATTAGACTATATTAGAAGCAATCCCAAAAGAACGGAAAATCTGACCCAATGGGGATAGGTAAAGTGAAAAAAGCAATGGACCCAGAACAGACCCCTGGGGAACCCCGTGCTTGACGGCACAGGACTCTTTCTGACAGGTATGATCTTAACCACTCTAGAACTTGTCCTGAGATGCCAAAGAAATTCTCAAGTCTATCCAATAGTATACAGTGGTCCACCGTATCGAAACCACTTTTGTAAGTGCTGTTTCTGTGGAATGATTTACCCAAAAAGCAGACTGAAATTGCTCAAATAGCTTATTTTGTGACAGATAATTTTATAGCTGATTTGAGACCACTTTCTCAAATATGCATTGGATCATATTGCAGCGACACTCTACAGTGCTGAAAAAGCTAGCACAGCCTCCTCTGACCTCCTCAAAGCACAGATGTCATGCACTTTCTTTCATCTGTATCTTCATTTACACTGACAATGCATTGCAGTGCAATTATAATCATAATATTGTCTCAAAAAGAACATTATCTATAATTATCAGTAGGTTAGATGGGATTTTAAGAAGGCATAGTGCATAATATTTGTTGATATTGTATTTGTTGGATTCTGTTCAATCCAGTTCTATTCTCTTTGACGCCCTGGGAATGACACTCAACAATCAACTATGTTTCTCGGCTCTGATTGGTTGTTTTCATTCAGGCCCGGTGGATTTTTGCAAATGCCATTAGGAGCACTAGGAGGAGCCAGATGAACCTGATTTTGCTGGTTTCAGCAAATATGACAGAACGTTTTTTTTTTTATAAGTTACCTACCATTGCAGCTTTAAATAGTTAATTTAGCTAAATCCAGTAAAGCAACACTAACCTCACTAAAGCAAAGCTAACACTGACAGAAAGCAGCAGACGTTTCTTTTCATACTGACCTTCCATAAACTTCTGTTTGGCTGCATGCCAGCTGCTATTTGAATATGTTGTTGTCTGTTAGGACAGTTTGTGATTTCCATGGAGAGAGAAGGAAGGAGTGTGATACCACTTAAAGAGGAGGAGGGCAGTCACATGTTCATGCTCATGGAGACACAAAGATGTAAGAATGCCTGCTGCTGGGACAGATTTCTGTCTTCTTCTTTACTGTTTGCCAGAGTTTCTCCTCCAGGGTGAGGCGAGGATATTGTAATCTGCAACTACACCGCTAGATGCCACTAAATCCTACATACTGGTCCTTTTATTTAACATAATAATAATAATAATAATAATAATAAGAAGAAGAAGAAGAAGAAGAAGAAGAAGAAGAAGAAATGCCAGCAATTAAACTATAGTTTATTATATTAATAGAAGACTGCCATGTACTGCTTATTGATTTGTAATCCAATGGTGCAACATACTCTCCATAAATTCCTTTTTATCAAGTGTTCCCTGTATTTGAAACCCAGGATAAGTACTGAATGGAACGCTGCTGTTCTTTCTACCAATAGGATCACACTCCTGAGACGCGCCCTGCAGTTTGAATCTGTGCATGGCTCTATGCCAACAGCTGCTCTGGATGTGTTTGTTCTTCTGGTTCAGTCTGGTCGGCTGATGAGTTTAATGTCACTGAAAACAGGGAAAGACACTATGAACTGAACCGTCATAAATGCTAAAATAGCCTAAAATCTCCATTATGTAGGCTGTTGATAAATAAAAGTGTATCTCTTATTATTTTGACATATTTTAACTGGGTACTTTTTTTTGTTGTTTTTTACAGTTACAGCATTATTACTGCTTTATTTTTTAACATCTAAAATGCATTATATTGTCTTTAGTCCGTTTAAGTGTCAGCTACAACTTCCCTGTACGTTGAAAGTTGTAGTTTACAAGGAGTCCTTGAAGGCAGCATGACAAGCTGCGTTGACTCCAGCACCAGTTGGCCTTGGCTCAACTTCCTGCCTGCCATAACTTCACTGTACACAACACAGCAGGGCAGCGTTCGCATCAGCGGCTCCTCACACCTGATGCACATAAAGCCGTAAGTGTTTTTAATTTGATAAAGCCGTATCGTTGTTCAGCTAGCTTAATAATGATAGGCCTACAACAAACTACAAACACGCTATCTCCCAGTAGCCTCTGTCGTGCTTACGCCAGCTCCACATTAGATTACTGCGCTGTAATGAGCTGCGGAGATATACATAATGGGTTTGGTTTGTCGTCCTTTATGGCCAGGGTGTTTACCGTAAACCAGTGCGGTCGTAAATTAGACTTAACCGGGACTAGTATAGCCTGTAGTCGATAATACCACAGACTGAAGTTGTATCTAGACTGTATCTCTGACTGTATGCTAACTTAGACAAGCGTCCATGTATTTAAAAGGAGTACAGTAACCGCAGTTAGCATGACAGGCAAACAAGAGTGTGTGTTCCCGCCGTGCTGTCTGTGACGTGAGTGAGTGAAACGGATAAAGTTGGTGTTAATGCAGGGTTTACCGCACGAGCTGTCAAGGTGCGGGAGGAGGGGCTTCAACCGACTGCGGCGGCTGCTACAGACGGACAGGACTGTAACTTGTCACTGTAGCTTCCCCCCTGTTCAAACAGCCGTGTGGTGTTACTGAAAGCAACCCCGAGTATGCACTGTATGCTTTGAGTTTGTTCGAACTAAAGAGAAAGAGAGACATAAACGCCTCTGTACAGTGACAGAGGGAAAGGGAAGCACACGTTATAATTGGTACTAATACACTTTTTTCACAAAAACTATTTTGACATGAAATAGTAAGGTAAACCCAGGTTTTACCAATGATACTAACTAAGGCTCAGATCCATTTAGTGTAGCACAGCCATTCCTGTGAGCCAACGTACACAGTCAGAGCGCCCTGTCACTGTTTGACCTGAATGGAACGGAACCTTAATTAGTATCAGTGGTCACACCTGTGTTTATCCTACTATTTCAAAATGGCTGTTGTTAAAGAGGTCTGCTGCTAACTCCAGCACGTTCATATTATTGTTTTTAAAATGTTATTGTTGATTAAAGCTGCAGAAGTTAACCATTATAAAATATCTTGTTGTCATATTTGCTGAAACTTTCACCATATCCTGACAGTAGTACATGAGACAGATACCACCGGGCCTGAGCAAAAACAACCAATCAGAGCTGAGTTTAAGAAATATGACCATCAATTCCAAAAGAGAAAGTTTTGGCATGGGCAATTTTTTAGCTTTCACAGAGGACAGGGAGTTCTAAATATCACCATGTTTCAAAAGAAGTAGATATTGGTTAGAAGGAATGTGGTGGTGAGGACAAATGAGTCATTCAGGAAAAAGGCACATGCCGCCCTTATTTTATTTTCCCCCTAAGAAAAGATGTGATGCCTCTTTCAGTGCCAGGACTCCTCCCATACGTTTTACTACAGACTACCTCTGTCAGTAATGTCCTCAAGGTTTTTCCTCCTGGCTGCGTCTCTTCAGGGAACAGTGAGTGTGCAGAAACAGTGAATGCAGTAGTGCCAGCACTGCAACTCTGCAGATCTTATTACAAGGCAGTAATTATATATTTTATATGATGTTTTTTTTAATTATATATATATATATATATATATATATAGATTTGGGGGGGGGACACCCCGCTCCCATACATGCCAATGGGCTAAAGTTGGTCTTCATGAAAAAAGTTTATTTTCCCTAATTAGGAAATTCTTGTTTTAACTTTTTACACACACACACACACACACACACACACACACACACACACACACACTACCAGTCAAAAGTTTGGACACACGTTCTCATTTAATGTTTTTTCTTTATTTCCATGACTATTTACATTGTAGATTCTCACTGAAGGCATCAAAACTATGAATGAACACATATGGAATTATGTAGTAAACAAGTGTGAAATAACTCAAAACATGTTTTATATTTTAGATTCTTCAAAGTAGCCACCCTTTTCTTTGATTACTGCTTTGCACACTCTTGGCGTTCTCTCGATGAGCTTCATGAGGTAGTCACCTGAAATGGTTTTCCAACAGTCTTGAAGGAGTTCCCAGAGATGCTGTGCACTTGTTGGCCCTTTTGCCTTCACTCTGCGGTCCATCTCATCCCAAACCATCTCGATTGGGTTTAGATCAGGTGACTGTGGAGGCCAGATCATCTGGCGCAGCACTCCATTACTCTCCTTCTTGGTCAAATAGCCCTTACACAGCCTGGAGGTGTGTTTGGGGTCATTGTCCTGTTGAAAAATAAATGATGGTCCAACATAACGCAAACCGGATGGGATGGCATGATGCTGCAGGATGCTGTGGTAGCCATGCTGGTTCAGTGTGCCTTCAATTTTGAAAAAATCCCCAACAGTGTCACCAGCAAAGCACCATCACACCTCCTCCTCCATGTTTCATGGTGGGAACCATGCATGTAGAGACCATCCGTTCACCTTTTCTGCGTCGCACAAAGACACTGTGGGTGGAACCAAAGATCTCAAATTTGGACTCATCAGACCAAAGCACAGATTTCCACTGGTCTAAAGTCCATTCCTTGTGTTTCTTGGCCCAAACAAATCTCTTCTGCTTGTTGCTTTTCCTTAGTAGTGGTTTTTTATTCTTCTGTACAGCACTTTCAACTTTGGTTGTTTTTAAAATCTTAACAAATAAAGTTATATAAAGGCCTGATTCACGCAGTCTCCTCTGAACAGTTGATGTAGAGATGTGTCTGCTACTAGAACTCTGTGTGGCATTCATCTGGGCTCTAATCTGAGGTGCTGTTAACTTGGGATTTCTGAGGCTGGTGACTCGGATGAACTTATCCTAAGCAGCAGAGGTGACTCTTGGTCTTCCTTTCCTGGGGCGGTCCTCATGTGAGCCAGTTTCGTCGTAGCGCTCGATGGTTTTTGCGACACATTCAAAGTTTTTGCAATTTTCCGGACTGACTGACCTTCAGTTCTTAAAGTAATGATGGACTGTCGTTTCTCTTTACTTAGCTGATTGGTTCTTGCCATAATATGAATTCTAACAGTTGTCAAATAGGGCTGTCAGCTGTGTACCAACCTGACTTCTGCACAACACAACTGATGGTCCCAACCCCATTAAGAAGGCAAGAAATTCCACAAATGAACCCTGACAAGGCACAGCTGTGAAGTGAAAACCATTTCAGGTGACTACATCATGAAGCTCATTGAGAGAAGGCCAAGGGTTTGCAGCACTGTCAACAAAGCAAAGGGTGGCTACTTTGAGGAATCTAATTTATTTCACACTTTTTTGTTTACCACGAATGCAATCACTACTACCAGAATGCAATCATACATACAGGTCTTATAGACACAAATGTGGAGAGATGGTTGCGTGAAGGGCCCGAGGAGTAGTTAGGGGTTCTGTGCCTCAGCAGTGCCCATGAGGTGAGCTAGTACCTCTCTAACCACCAGTCAACACCAGGGCTGCATCAAATTGTAAAAAAAATAATGTTGTGATTATTTTGACAAACACTTATTTTGATATTTCGATCAATTGTTCACACACCATACTGTGGTCCATGCTGGATTAGTCACCCCCTGGTTCCCTACGGACTGAGCTATTGTCTGCCTTTTTATGAGGTAAAAATGCTCTTTAAATATGTAGGATCCCCAATTATGAATTCTTTTTTGCAGTCTTAGCACTTCTCTACACTGCTCCACAACCATTGCATGAGCAGTCATTAAACGTGTGTCTCCTGGTTTCCATCGTACAAACCACAGTTATGTACAATTCCACTAAGTACGTGCTGATATAGAGTCTGACTTGTTCTTCTCAGGCCCAAGAGGACTGCTCATCATGACGCAGCAGGAGCAGCAGGAGTTCACCCAAAGCCTAGAGGCGGCCCTGTCATGGATGCGTGCCGTCCAGGAGAGGCTGAGGGCCAACGACAACACCCAGGGGCCACGCGATGCTCTGGAGGCCCGACTCAGGGAGACAGAGGTGAGATTCCTACGCTTACTGTTTGACCCTTCATCTCTGACCCCTGCTGAGACTTTAGTTCTCTGACATTGGAGACCAGAGTGGAGACAGCTGCAGGGTCTGAAGGTCCTTTTTCTTGTGACCAATTTATAATTACATTTCAAGGTAAATATTGCAGTCCCGTGCTTCTACAGTTTCTAAAGCACAAGTCCCAACCACTGCAACACAATATGAAAATAGTAAGCAGAGGGTAAGCAAAAACTAGCAAACCTCCTGTGAATGATGCGTCTCCATCAGTCTCTGAAAATGAGCGCAGCGGTTTCACAGATTCCCACTCAAAGCAGAGGCTGGGGGTGGTGGGCCGTCCTCCTCTGATTAGAGGGCATTAACACTGTTTTTTAAAAATGTTGTGATGTGAAGTAGTCCCAAACGATCGACTCTATCTCAGCATTGGATTTACAAGGCTCAGGTTGATTTATAACAGTAGAGAGTGTGTTGAGAAATTTTCATCCAACAAAATGTCAATATTAACAGCAGCCTTTACCTTTATAATGGGTTGACTTATTCTCCAATAAGTGTTTAAAAGTTCTTTAAATATAAATCCTTTTTTGTTTATAAGATAATGATACTTTCTTTGGTTCAAAATTGGTTCAAAAATTAGAACTGAGAATAAAATAACTAGAAGATGTTACTCAGGAAAAGGACAGAAAATGAAAGTCAGTCCAATGCTAATTAGTTTTACCATTTGACAGTATTTTTATTTTTTGAATGTTGAATCTACAGGTACATTATGTTTACATTTTGTATGGACTAACTCTCTGTGCCATGCTTTATGTATAGAAAATCCATCAGTCGGAGCACGAGGGTCGTGTGAAGATGGAAATGGCGCTGGTGGCAGCCGAGAACCTTTTGCAGAGCGGAGACGAAGAGCTGAGAAACCACACCCACGCTAAGCTCAAAGACCTGAAAAGCCTGTGGGAGGAGACCAGCACCTACATCATCCATTGCCACAGGTGCAGCACCTCAGGAATACACTGTGTGTTGGGATTCGCAGGTGTTTGGTTCATTAGCCTTGAGGGCGGCTTTGGCTGCATTCAGCCGTAATGCTCTGTGTTTAATAGCTACGGATGTGTGTTTTCAGTTAATGGTCCACACCTGAACCATCAATGAGTCTGAAAAGCCTTGTGCACACACAGCATTAACAGTTCAATAATAATACAACAAATAAAATAATACAAAATAATGTAAGATTTAATTAGTATCACAATGCCACTTACAGATCATATGTTAAAAGATTAAGGCTTCAGAATGTGTAATAATAGTGAAAAAGGCATAATTTTCCCAGACATCTTAGAAGTTGCTTTCATTGTACAAACAGCAGTCAAAAACCCAAAGACATTCAGCTCATAATGATAGAAAAACAAAAAACAGCAAATCCTCTCACTGAAGAAGCCACAGAGTATCTGATTCATTATTTTTCTTGATAAATGACTTTTAAGTCTACCTCTACTCCAAAATCAGTTTTTCTTATTGTTCCTACGGTTGGATGATTGGGCATCTGGAGGGAGTCTTTAAGGAAATTCATTGATTGACTTACTGATGAGTTTACTAATGCTTTCATCGATGTATGTATCACATCTGGAAGTTTTAGAAGGACATAAAATGATTGAAAGCCAGTCTCCATTTTGAAGTATCTTTATATATAGAAACAATGTAATGGCTGTAATAATTCTAGATTTTGATTATAATTATAATAACTCATAGAAAGTGGATTGGTGCGTCTCTGCCTGAAATATTTAGTGTTTTTAATAACATCAGCGTGTGAGCTAGCTGAATGGGAGCGTTATGGGTGTGTTATCAGGCAGTTGTCACTGTGTTGTTGACACATCTGGTTTGCACAACATCTGAGGTTAATTGACAAACAGCTGGTGGCTTATGATTGTATGTTAATGTTAGCTGCTTTGCTCAGCAAATAATTGGCTATTTTGTTAAAAAGGTGACTAAGTAGGAAAGAAAATAAGACCCAGTTTGTATAAGAACTGTGGGGGCTCTGGCTTAGGAGGTAGAGCGGGTCGCCCACTTATCAGTAAGTTGGTTGTTTGATCCCCAGCTCATCCCTATGCATGTTTCTGATGAGCAGTTGGCACCTTGCATGGCAGCAATCAGTGTGTGAATGGATGAATGTGACATGTAGTGTAAAGTACTTTGAGTGGTCACAGTGGCCGCTTTTAAAATATTTGACCTATATCAAACAATTTCTTAACAGTTTTCTGAGGTTTGAATGTTGGACATGGACACATTGTGATTTAGATAATATTTCAGTTAATTATGTATGTATTACAGAGTTAAAACATATTCATATGTAGTAGTTAACTGTTCTTCATGTGTTTCGCCTCACACCTAGCCGGATCGAGTGGGTGTGGCTCCACTGGAGCGAGTACCTAAAGGCCTACGAGGAGTTTGAGCTGTGGCTGACGAGGCAGCAGCGCAGCCTGGACGTCAGGGTGGAGCTTCAGCTGGAGGTGAAGGAGAAGCTCTGGCAAGTGGACCAGCAGAGGGTGGTGGTTAGCGACATTCACAGCCAGGCCACACTGCTCGAGAGGCTGCTGGACGAGGCCGCTGCACTACACAACAGGACCCAGGACCCTAGTGTGGAGCCCCAGGCCCAGGAGAGGCTGCAGGAGGCCTACAACAGTGTCAGGGACAGAGCTGAGGTGAGGAGCTTATTTATATGGTCAGACTCTACTGCAAGGTGTGCGTATGCTTAGAGGCATTGAAATAGATTTATGGATCTCGCAGTCCTGTAGTTTTGTGTTGTCAGTTGAAACCTATAACATATTCAAAAATACATAATCCAGGGTTCCCACGAGTCCTGCAAATACTGGAAAACATGGACATTTCCAGTCATAAAAACAGCTGGAAATTTGATTGAAATTTCCAAAAATGTAGGAAATAATTTATGTTGTCCAGGAAATGTTTCATTGTATTTTACCCCCTTACTTGCCTACATAAACCTGGGCCCCTATTTTATTTGAAACTTGACTGTTCTTAGGTTAAGCTGCATTAAAACTGGAGTTAAACGTGTCAGTACTCTTATTCATATTACGATTATATCATACCCTGATAATCAAGGTCATATGCTTTTGTGCTTCCTGGGTTAAAGTCATCCTGTTTTAAACATCAGCCAGCAAAAACAGATCTGCTTGCTCATGCGTGAGTCAGGAAAATAAAAGCTGAAACTAGTTATTAGAATTGTGCGCACATCACTGCCTCAAGACAGAATATGTGGGTTCACTGCATCCATTGAAATGTACAGTACATTGCGTCCCGGCTGGATTGCACACATTTTGGTATACTGCCGAGTTATTACATGTAACAATAGGTTTTATTACTGATTAATCTTGTGATTACTTATTTGTTTAAATGATTAATGATTTAGTCATTTAAATGTCAGAAAATATTGAAAAATGCCCATCACAACATCATAATGACTTCTTCATGATAAAAGTTTGTTTACCTAACCTGACTGCGAGACGTCGTTGGAAACTGTTAATACTCGGTACGTGATTAAATGTTAAATTAAACTGTCTATCACAGGCGAACCAATCACATCAATGAAACATATAACGTAGTTTAACCCTTTAGGCGCCAGGTTTTATTTTTAAAAATACTAGATTTTGACATCTAAATTTCAGGAGGCTCTGTCTTGAAAGTGCTTCTGAGATAGAGACGAAGTGTAAATGAGAAATATTGAGAATGACCTAAAGTTTATCTAGGGAATAAATTTCCCCATCTAAATTGCATATTATGACGTCATATGGCGATGGCCATATTGGATTATGTAATTTCCATGAAATACCTGATATTTTGAAAGAGTTTCTATTTGTTATGTTGTCCACATATCAAATGAACAGGTAAAAGTAAATTGTATGCCAACAGTCGTAAACTGGAACTATTACTACACCACAAAACTCATGTAAACAGTAGGCGTTTTTATGATTTTTTTTTTTTTTCCACCACTGCACGCATGGACGCACCGTGACCAGCGCGTAGAAAGAGTGAACACTAATTTTGCAGCCGATCACCTTCTCAGCAGATCAAATGATACGCTGCAGTCTGCCCCTGTCCTTGGCAGTGGCAGATGGTGATAGAAGAGGTGAGGATGGACTCGACTCTTTGGCAGGTTGAACTTCCTCAGCTGCCGCAGGAAGTACATCCTCTGCTGGGCATTCTTGGTTGAGGTCCTGGGTGATGATGGTACTCAGGAAGCGGAAGGACTCCACAGAGTCAACTGAGACTTCAACAACATTAACACTAAAACAACAACAACAACAGAGCAAAAGTTACAGCTTACAAGTTTGATTTGGGGTCATGGACAGCCGGTAACGTTATCGATCCATCACTGAGCTTGAACCTTCGTTGCTAGCCCGTTATTAGCCCTCGTTACTCCGTAGCAGTCCATAGTAAAATGCCCATCAGAAAAAAACTTTATCTACTCAGCTCTTCTGTCCTCTGAGGCTGGGCGCCGATGCAGAGATTCAGTTAGTGTGGAGCTGAGTAGATGTTCTATAAGTTAAGCATCTGTCTCCAAGTTGAAGTTGTGAATACAAGATTTTTCTCCTTATTAACATTACATCAGCTATTGGCCACTGAGAATTTGACTGGACAAGAGCATGTCGGCCAACCCACCAGAAGGTGTGCACCCCATTTTTTCTATCAAGGAAAGCCTTCAGTGGCGCTCTTTGCTATTCTTTTAATGAAGAAATACTCTCCAGTGTTGGCAGTGTGTTGCACGTGCTGTATAGTGCACATTTGGTGTTTGCAAGATATACGAAACAAACAAATGTTGTAAAAGTTATTAATTCTTTTTGCTTTAATGTTGTGTCACCATGTGTACCACTTCACACTGATTTTGTGCCATGCAACCACCACCATATACTGTGGTTTGTGCTCATGCATGTCAGCGGTTGGGGTCTTGCACACAGCCAGCCACAGCCCTGCTTATGCTGATGCAAAGGAGACTCACAGGCTTGTGGTTTATGTAAAAGTGCACACAGATCAGCATGAACGTGTGCAGAATAATACTTACAAATACAAATAAAGAAAGGAGAAGAAAAGGAAAGGAAATGAAAAACACTCAGAGATAAAATGAAAAGAAAGCATGAAATGGAAGCATGTTAATCCTCTTGAGTAAAACAAAAGAGAAGTCCTTTGTTGGAAGGAGGAAGAGCTTTGTAACAGGAAGCTTGAGAAACACTTCCAGTTGCAGTAGCAGTGGCTCGAATCAGAGACTTCCCATTTTTGTTATGCTCTTATTCATGCACACACACACCTACACATATATACAGTATTGTTGATGAAGTTTAGTATGTAAAGTTAGTCAGCATGTATGTATGTGAACCAGCTGGAACTGTAGTCATTTGGTCAAAAGGCTGGAATGTTTCCACTAGGGAGATGCTGGTGTGTGAGGGGGAGGCTATCTGGTTGGCTGCATACGAGTGTGTTGGTGGGATTTGCATTGTATTTGGTGACATTTTGAATCGAAGTGCAAGCATACAGTATGTGCCCACAAATCAGTGAGACCCCAATTTACATTAAGAGCGAGGATTTCAAACTTCAATTCCTGTTTACTTCTACTACTTTCAGGCTTTCTCCGAGTGAAGCCTCGCAACTGTACATAAATCTGAGGTTAATGAAAAGCATGCTGGTATTTATTCTGTGCATCTTTAATCAGATCCAGACGCTGCAGAGGGAGCCAACATTTCTGACAGGAATAATTTACATTCAGAGTAAAGATGCTGTTGGATTAGTCAACATTAACGGATACATGCTGGCTGCTTTTCTCCTCCGTGGGCCACACAATGAGACTGCTCTTCCTCTTCCCTTTTCACACAGCTCTTTCAAATGTCAGTCAGATTTAACCACACACCCACGTCAGTCTGAACTCACATCACACATTCACAGCCACCAGTCTCCCAGCAAAAACTGTACTATTGACTCCAAATGGGAAAGTTGTGATTTAAATAATGCTGTGTTTTATAGGATAATGTTTCCTGGAAGCACCTCCTCCCTGTGAACTGGCTCCTGTTGGTAGTCTCTGTGTTTTCCTTTTTAAAATTTCAACATGCACTCATGAAGCATGTAGTTGAAGTAATAGACAAAGTAGAGTCTCACAGGAGAATACAAATTCACATTCAGGCTCCTCGCTCAGATACCCGGAATGTGAAGTCTGTGATGTGCACTGAAAGATCATTTTGAACAATGCCATGCTAAAAATTACCACGAGGTGTGTCCCCCGCTGTGCTAGGAGCGCCTGACGCAGCTTCAGAAGATTGCTGTGGAGCACCAGACGTACCAAGGCTGTGTTCAGAGGTTCCAGTCCTGGTTGCTGACAAAAACCAAGGAGCTGACTGATCTGATGGAGAAGGAGGATACGGCCGAGGACAAGCTCAAAGCCTTACAAGTGAGACTCACTGAAAGTGAATTAGGAAGCTGCTGTTTGATGTCGCCATGCTGATAGTCTCAAAACTGTTTGTTTGGGGAAAAGGGAGAATGTAAATAATAATTTAAAAAAATGTAAAAATAAATATTCTGGGCTGTGTAACATGCACTTTTGTACTCTAAATGAAAAGTCAATTATTATTATCATCCTCATGGTAAATGGTGCCACTGCAGAAAAACATCAAAGGAGCATACATGTATAATAAAGGTAATCTGTAACATTAAATGGGAAAGCATAAATAAAGACATGGAAATAGTCCAAAATCTGAAAACATACTCCCCCTTAATGTTACACACTGGACCTTTTAAAAATATCATGACTCTAAAAAAAACGTAAAAAAAATGCATTGAGTAAAATTAGGGATGCACAAAATAGATTTTTTTTTTTTTAGCTGATAAGATAACCATTCATTTTAGTTCATGACCTGTACTTTTAACACACCTGAGAGTAAGAAAGGCTGAGGATTTAATATTCCTTTCCTAACTGATATCACTACTGTTAACACAATAAGAACAAACAACAGTTCTCTGACTCTTCAAATGTTCATTTAGTTTTTCTAGTACATCAAAAAATTTCACAAAAAACTTTGGCCTTCATAGAACATACAACCTAACAATTGTTTTGCACAAGAATTCAAAATAAATACTTCTTATTATGGACCGTTTATTGTCTGTAATTGAATTATCAGAATAATTCACAAGTATACAAATGTCCCATCATCGACTGATAATTTATCGGCCCAGATAATTATTGTGCATTCCAAACTAGAATTGCATTTAGATAATGAATAAAAAAAAAACACTGAAAAATGTTGGTGGCACAGTAAAGAGAGCTGACCTAAAATGAAGGGCTTGTGTCCCTATAGTGATCAACTATACTACTTTTCCCAATAACTAGTAGTGTAACTAATTACTATTTGACTACTATTTTTACCCTTATTATATTTAAAATCCAACGATCCAATCACATCCTTGGATTATTTTTTGTAATTGTGAAGGAAACTGGTTTGGAATATGGAAACATTCAGCAGCTGGAAATACTCCCAGTTACCAATTTTGTAAGGAGTAGAAGAAAAGTAATATAACTATTAGTGTAATTAAATACTGTTGGCAGTGAGTAATAAGTAAAGTAATAATATACTTTTGAAAAGAGTAATGAGCTTTTGACTAACTATCCCCACACCGGTCTGTCATGCGTGCTATGCACCAGTCTGTGCAATGATGCAAAAAGTAATAATAATCGATGATTGCCCTGAAATGCATTCAAACTAAAGTAACAAGCCTGTTTTGAAAACGTAAGGAGTAGAAAGTACAGATATTGAAGTTGTAATAAATAATAAATAAATACTCTAATACTTTGAAAAACTACTCAAGTACAGTAATTAAGTTAAGTATTGTTAATTTGTTGCTTTCCCAATCTGCCGCCCTGGGATATAGAATTGGTTGGAACGGGCTCACAAAAGAGCCTCTGCAAGACACTGCCGGCAGGCGGCCACGTGCTGCAACAATTGCTCTCTCCTCATTGGGAGCAACTGAATAAAGACACTGGTGCTTAACGCTATATGGAGACGAGCCCTAAAACAGACACAAAGTGGATTCTATTCATTGTATTTGTACAGGTTTTTACAAGGCCTTTATTAGCAACTGCCCTTTATTTCTTTGTCAGAATTTCAGTAGTCAAAAATATTTCATGTTAAGCACTGTAAAAATAAACCTTCTAGAAACATTCATTCAATCAAAATAAAATATTCTTGTACTGAGCAACACAATCTTCCTGACCTCTGGGGCTAGGTCACTTTACTGATCTGATATGAATAATTAAATAAATAAGACACAATTTCTTCCAACAACATAATAGAAATAAGTGACTTTTTCTTACATGAAGGCACAGGCAGCATTCTTGTTTTTAATTAAATGAATATGAAAAACATTTCCAACACTGGGACGAGGCTACTGTCTCTCAAACTGAGAAGTGGTGTTACTCTTAAAATAAGGAAAATAATCTGTTCCTCTCCTGAGATATCATGCAAACCAGTGTTGTATCTTGTTACTGCTTAAATCTGGTCGAGGCAGACGACCACCCACCTAGAGCTTAAGGGTCTGTCAGCGGTTTCTGCCTTTTAACAGGCAGTTTTTCCTTGCCCTTGTCTCCAAGGTCTTGCTCATGGTGGTACTGTTGGGTCTCTGTAAATAATGTTATAAGGAGTTCGGTCTAGACCTGCTCTATTTGAAAAGTGTCCTGAGATAACTTCTGTTATGAATTGGCGCTATACAAATAAAATTGAATTGAATTAAATTGAAAATTGAATTAAATGGAGCTCAATATTAGCTGTAATATCTTGTTAAGACAAAGTTAGTTTTTTTCTTCAAAACAGATTCCTTTTCTAATGCAAATTGATTTTTGAATTGATTTGAAACCAAGTTGTATTATATTTATTCCAGCTGTACCTTTTGTAATCCAAGCCACCACATTGTAATATTTCTCCTGGCCCTGTTTCAGGCTCTGGACGACAGCGTGGCTGGTGAGGAGAAGACCCTGCAGCACATCGAGGGTGTGGCGGATGCGGTGAGGGGCAACACCTCTCCTGCGGGTGCAGAGGTGGTGGTGGAGCAGGCCGAGGAGTTGAGGCTTGGCTGGCAGAGGCTGAGGCAGGGCCTGTGTGAGGCAGAGGAGGGCCTGCGTTGCAGTTTGGACTCCCACAGCCAGTACGTGACCAGGTGCCAGCGGCTAGGAGAAGACATTGGCCACCTTAGGGCGATGCTGCAGGGGATGGACCAGGAACTGGAGAAGAACCGCGAGGCAGAGGACCACACCGAGGAGCAGATGGTTGGCCAGTGGAAGAAATATACGGTAAGTGTTTTAAACATATCAGTAGTATGTTTAAAACACTTCAGTAGAAATGAAGTCTAGATGCAGGAAAGTTGACTACACAAGAGGTTTCTGGCATGTAATTCCCATAAACTTCCAAGACTTGAGAGTGCAAACACAGTCAACAGAAGTTAAAATTCAGATATTATGATGTCAGGTGGATGTACTGTATGTGTGTGTACAAGATATGACTTCAACTGACTCTTCCTGACACTTGTTTTACTTTTTACTGATTGTGTCAAATCTATGTAGACAGAGGGCTTTTGGCTGTCAAGTACAGCAGAGGAAACCACACTGCTCTTCTTGTTAGGGTTTGGCAATGTAATGATATTTACTGTGAGACAACCAGTGGGCATTGGGTTACTTAAGTAACCAGGTTAAAAATAAATACTTGTATCTATGCAGCAGGTCAGTAATGATGAATGAGATCTCAACCTTATTTTGGTAACATGGATTTCTTATTTTAACGCTCTTTGGAACTATTTTAAACGTGAGAAATCTCTCCTTTCATCCAGCCACTCGTGTGTTACTTTCCCTGAGTGCAGTCTTTTTGTAAAAATCCGATATTAAACATCTCCAAGAAATCTGCATGCTCCAGAAGAAACCAAGTATCCCCTAGCTTTTTTTTCTATATTATCTATACATTTAAGAAATCAGTTTACTGGAGAAAGCTAACTATAACTACGGTTAAGTGCATGTAAATACAGATAAGTTAGACTAGCTAGTTTCCCCAACATCAATCAAAAAAAAGCAACAGTTAGAGCTATGAAGTTCAGAAATATAACATCCTGTGTTATTATTTATAAGTGTTGACAGTCCATAAGTGTCAAATAGAAGTTTGACACCCAGTTGTGGGTTTGAGTTCTTTTTGCTTCAGCATTGTCAGTTTAATCTACTCTTCCCAGCATACCAAAATATTTTGCACTCTCCTCCCCCTATCTTTTCTGTTTTTCTTGCTATTATCCAGTCTTCTCCACAGCCTTCATTTTGATGCCTTCTCTTGATGCCTTTCCCCCATACACAAACATCATTCCTCCTCTTATAGAGGTGATAAAATCTACAGGCCCTGACATGATGACTCTTGACTGGGTTTTTTTATCTCCATCACAGTATATTTTACAGCCTATCTCACATGCCAGGAACAGTAGAAACAGAATCCAGCAGCCCCAGTGGAGCTGCTTTGTCACTTTAGTGGATCCTCTGAATGCCTCAGAGAGGTGTGGTACAGTAGAGTCACAGTCAGATCATTATTTCTCCCTGGGTGCCGCACACTGTGACATATACCAGATTCATCCACCTATGTTCTGACAAGTCACTTGTGGCTGTGGATCAGTAAGCAGTTCCTTACCACTGAAAACAATGGGGGGGGAGACATGCCAAGCTTTGCCTCTACAGGATATAGCCTTCACATATTTTTATGTGTTTGCAGCCTGTGATAAAGGGCAGAATCAGCAGGAGACAGTTCACAGAGAATCTTCTAGAGCAGCAGTTCTGTACCTGTGCACCTGTGGAGCTGCTTCTATAGGGTGTGACTGGAATGCCCCGGTGGACTCATCTGTCTGTCATCTACTACAATCTAGGCAGGCTGTCACCTCGCTGTGACACAATGTGTTTTCACTTTTAGTTGGAGACGTCTAATGGATTGTAAACAACTCCAGTTTATCTTCATTGCAAAGATGCCATTGTGGCTGAAATAATTTACTACTCAGAATTTGCATTGACAGGTAATGGAAAGACATGCCAAAAGAATTACAGAACATGCTTCATTAATGGCCTTAACCTTGTAGAACAGCTGTGTGCTCACCAGAGCTGCAACAATTAGTCAATTAAGTTGTTGTATTAAATGAATCCACAACTATTTTGATAATCAATTATCGTTTTGAGTCATTTTGGAAGAAAAAATGTCCATAGTCCTCTATGACAGTTTAGGTTGGGGACAAAACATGACATTTGAGGATGTCAGGACACTAATTAAACATTTTTTACAATTGTCTGACATTATGTGGACCAAACAACAAATTATTTGAGAAAATGTTTTATAGATTTATTGATAATGAAAACAATCACTAGTTGCAACCCTAGTGCTAAGCCCTATTGGACCTTTCCACATTTTGAAGTATAACAACCAGGAATTCAAATGGATTTTATTGGGTTTTTTACCATTTGATTAACACAACATGCACAGTGCATTGAAGGTACAAAAATCAGACATCTGTTGGATGCAAAAGAATTCACCCCCCTTGAGTCAATACTATGTAGAACTATTACAATGGAAAGGCTTTTGGGATTTGTCTCTACTGGCTGAGCACATCTAGAAACTGCAATTTCTGTCCACTCTTCTTGGCAAAATAGGTCAAGCTCAGTCAGATTGGATGGAACAGCAATTTTCAAGTCTTGCCACAGATTCTCAGTTGTATTAAGGTCTGGGCTTTGACTGGGTCATTCAGTGACATTCTTTGCCTTAAACCATTCCAGTGTAGCTATGGCTGTATACTCAGAGTCATTGTCCTACTGGAAGGTGTACTTTGCAAAGTCTCTTGCAGCTCTTTTGCTACCTCTAGTTGGTCGTTTTTCCCACTCACTGGTTTATATCCTGGTGCAGAGAGAGGTGCTGTGAGTAGAGTTGAGCCAAGCCCTAACTGAGTGCAAGATGGATGGAGCCTTGTATTTGACTCCATCCCTCTTTCCCTCAATCCTGACCAGTTTCCCAGTACTTGCCAATGAAAAGCATCCCCACAGCATGTTTTATTGGGGGGTGATGTGCTCAGGGTGATGTGCAGTGTTGGGTTTCTGCCACACATATGATTTGGACCACGGCCAAAAAGTTACATTTTTGGTCTCGTCTGACCAGAGTACCTTCTTCCTACATGTTTGCTGTATTTGCCACATGGCTTTTGGCAAACTCCAAACAGGATTTGTTATGACTCCAGATTTGTGGAGGGCACAGCTAATAGCTGTCCTGTGGACATATTCTCCCACCTGAGCTGTGTCTCTTTCCAGCTCCTCCAGAGGTACCATTGGCCTGTTGGCTGATTCTCTGTTTAAAGCTCTCTTTGCCTGCTCCGTTAGTTTAGGTTGACAGCCTTCTCTTAGTGGATTTTCTGTTGTGCCATATTCTTTCCATTTTCGAAAGATGGATTTACTTCATGAGATGTTGCCTTGGATATCTTTTTTTTACCACCTAAAACTACATAGTACTTCTCCACAACTGTTTAATGGCCTTCTTGATCTTTATGATGCTGATGGTTTAGTAATGTTTGATGACAAACTCTAAGGCCTTCATGGAACAGTTGTATTTATATTGAGACACAATTTGGACTGGACTGTACTATTGTCAGAAGACAGTTGCTGTGCATCTATTAGTTATTAACTAATAGTTTATCATTAGTATTAATTAGACTGTCAGGATATAGTGAAAGTTTCAGCAAATATAACAAAAACATATACAACAGTTCCACTGCAGCTTTAAAGTGTATATATCTAGCTCTATCAGTGGTTAGATTTGTTAATGAAGTTTGATCACATTAGTGCAGCTTTGCTTTTCATTGGACTCTTTCACAGATGTGTCATAGCAGGGTAATAATCACTGCCAGAGCTGATAAAAGTAATTATGGGTATGTTTCATTCCACCATGCCAATTAGCAGCCACTCACAACAATACAAATAATAACACTGTTGTTTACTCATTGTTTATTATGTGCAGCTGTATCATTTAGTCCATTGTGACATTAGAAATGACTGCAGTCTGTTTACATGAGCCACTTCCAGGGCTTTGGTATTGTGCATTCTGGCTGACTGGCACATCTGAATGTGACAGAGCCATCACTGCTGCTATTAGGTGTACCTGTGCAGTTCTTGCTGCGACTAGTCAAAATGTCCACCACAGGAAAGGTAGCCTCACAATTCAGCTGAGAGCTGAAAAGCAAAGTGGGAAAGAATTAATAGATGGTGGTGCCACGGTTCTCAAGTTTTCAATACTGAACGGGTTCATGTCACATATATTATTACACATATTAAACATAATCTTTATTTAGTTTGCACTACATAAATGTATCTATAATTTTGAAATAAAATTTTTTGTGTGTTAACATGAGAACGCAATACTTCATAGCATTAGTATGGCATTGACACACAGCCAAGGTATGGAAAGGGCCTATTGGAAGTTTACTGATGCCAGTCAGGCAGCACAGAGTTCAGTGATGACAACTTTTTGCCATGCATTCTGGGATTTTTTTGTGGAGCTGAACAGCTTAACTGCAACTATTTGGCATCATGCTGCCTTCATGCAGAGTTGGCAGAATGGGAAGAACAGGAAATCCTCCTGTTAGATGGTACCAGCCTTATAGTCATACCTTACAGCCTAAAAGAGCTAGTTTTGTTGTGTTACATCTTTGTAGTGGTTGAATTGTTGAGTATTATATATCAGTCATATATCCATCTATATCTGCTTTCTATTTAGCTGAATGCCTGTATTAGTGTTAATATTGGATTTGAATTGGTGGCTCCGTAGTCATTTTGCCGCGGGTTTGATGACATTTCTGTCATTCTTTCAGCCAACTGGGAAATATCCCATATCTCTAACTCAGAATTACAGTATTATAGTCAGGAGGCTGAGTTGTATTTACTGTGAATGATGTAACGTGAGCATGGCATTAAACAACATGTCTGTGGTAAATATCACACCATTTAATTTGCTGCCATTTTGTTTTTTTGCAGGGCGTCAGGAATACTCTGGCAGGGGAGGAGTCCCAGGTGGAACTTCTCAAGGCCCAACTCAAGGAGCTTTTCAGGTTCTCAGAGGACTCACGACACCTTTCTGATGATGTCCTGGCTGTTGTCAAAGAACATCAGAGGTAGGTGACAGAAGGACTAGAACTGTTTAAAAACCAGGTACCATAATACCTGCAAAAAAATCTTAGAACTTGGTCCCAGAATGGTTCCCATTCATTTAATTGAGTTCTCATTTACTGAGAATGATCATATCTTGACTTTTCTTAATTTACTTTGATTGTCAGAACATTACGAACACAAGGTGTGGAAGTGTAACTTACTGCTCTGTTGATAGCTGAATCAAATTGAAGGCAAGGAAAGGCACATTTGTTCGTACAACAGCTTTCAACAGCAAGGCAATTTAAAAGGCTTTACATATGACAGAAAGACAAGGAAATATAAAAAGACAGTAATGTTAATGTTTGTGACTGAAGATGATCACTGACTTTAATCATTCTTCTTTGCAAGAAAGTGTTAAGATGTTGAAAAACATACTTTTACGTAAAAAGATTTTACATAAAAATGGGAGGTTTGATATGGCCTACAGCTGTTCATAGTGAGGTGTCGAGATTGTTTTAATAAATGCAGTTTTGAAGGCTTGTGGGAAAGTAGACTATTTTCAACAGATCTGATGCCTTGTAATTAAAAATATTTTTGACAAAAACTGAATATCAAGGCAGCAGGAGGGGTTTAAATTGTGTCATGCTAATTGAACTGGGTTCAGGTTGATGGTGGATAAAGGTTAAAGGGTTACCTACACTGGAGTGTTTTGTCAGCCTGCCAGCAGTAGGAATTAAATATTTTATATATATATATATATAAAATACTGAAATGGCCCAATATCATTTTGACCGCTCTGATATACCTGCTTTTAACTCTGCTATTGCTTTATGGTTACCCTGCATATCCTTCATCTCATCATGTGTCCTCCATAAGATGCAATATAGCCCATGGACTGCAGGGGCAGTATATCAGGATGCGAAGTATGGTCTGTGCTGCTGCTTTTTCTGCTATTAACGACACAGTATGCCTGTGTGCTTCCATGTCTACTCATATTTACATTCTGCAGAATTGGAAGGAATTGCAGGAATACAGTCCAGTGTTGGCCAGGGGTGATTTGGTGCTCATCCGCCACCTAGTGGATGAACTTCTTAATTACAAACAAAGAACGCAGGCAGTATGTGGACATTATGTGATTCTGGTGTTACAGCCACCTGCATACACCCTTGTAAAAGCAAGTATATGTTGTTTAATGTTGTTGTTTTTGTAGAAGTAATTCACATTAATTAAATAAATAAATAGGAGGTTTAAGTTTCCATGTGGAGTTTTGACAACTGCAGAGTAATGTTTTGAAAAATAGGTCCTCATATTGTTTGCGTATTACATGTTCTACCACCGGCTGTACAAGGTCACATGCACACCCCGGTTTGACAGAAAACCCCTTTTTTTTTTTTTTTTACAGACTGTAGGTTTGATGGTAATCAATTCCTGTGACTAGCTTACTTCAGTATAAATGTCAACTCGTGTTTCGCCAGTTAAAAGCTGTAGCAGTAGGATATGTTTTGTTTTCATTAGCAGTAACTTAATACATCTTTTCCGGGAATCAAAGTCTCCAGGCTGCAGCTGCATGCAACAACATGACAGCTCCCCAGAAGTGAAACCATGACATCTGGATCACTTTTGGCTGGCTGTTAGTTTAGGCAGCGCTTGATTTGATATGTAACAGTTTTCTGTGAGCGAGCACGCATTTTAAACGTCAACCTCTGAGTGGCTCGCGTTCTTTTAATTGTGGGAAACCAAATTAATATGTATGTTATATGATTAATTGTGCAGCCCTAGAACATTACCATCCATGTCATCAAAAAACTAGATGTTGACACTAGGATGCTCTTCAAAAGTCAGTTAAAGCAAGACTCATGTGATGTCCCTTGTAAGCTGATATTGTGCTTCAGTGCTGCATATCAGTCCCACAATACCAGACGATCGGAGATCTCCCCTTTTCCTTTTGTTAGATTTTTTACTTTTTTAAACTACAATTTGTTTTTGGCAATGAAAACTGGGAGATTGTCTACGGTCTCTATTGAGCAAAGTGCATAGAGACTCACTTGTGAGTCTATGTATTCACATATTCCCAAACAAAATTACAGTCACTCAAATTACTGCAAATTAACTGCGACAATTGAACCTGTGGCTTTGGGACCTCTGGGGGTCTGGGGCTACGTGTGGGTTGCCCACTTTGTCCTGTCGTAACGCACCTCAAAATGGGGTAATTTTAGCAATGAAAGAGGAGAAGACGACCACAAGCAATGCAAAATAAAAATAAAAAAGTTTTATGAGGTAGAAAATTACAACTTAAAATAGCATTTTCCCAAAATTCTACCTGAAAATGATAATGAGGAATGCTTGGGTAAAATCCAGTCAAAATGTGACAACAGAATCACGTCGTGATTAAATGCTCTCTTTGCCTTTTAACAATATAAACTACTAAAAAAATAGACATATTCCATGTATCTGAATTCAATGTCCCTGCAGCAGGTTGTCCTACTTAGCTTTTAGTGCTACTTTCAGAGATTTGTAGGGCTTAATGGAGTGTTCCAGTTCCAGATATTTAAAACTCAGACATGAGTTAGCTATTTTGAGCAATTTAGTCACAAGACAAAACACAATTTGTTCTGTTACGTAAAAAATATACCATTAAACATCCTATTTGTGAATTTTGTGGTTTTAATGCCCTAATTATGTACCCTAACCCTATTTGCCATTGGTGCTTATAAAACTTGGGTAAATGGGTCCATTATTTCTTCATAGCTTCCTAATAATTTGCTGAATTTCCTGGAAAGAATTCTGTTATTCAGTGGTAATTGTATGGAAAAAGGAAGACAAACCAGATTCAGACACGTTATTTTAGTGAATTTAGTCTGTTGTGCTGGGTTTTAAAAGCAGGTTTTGGTCCTTTAAACCCAAGAAAATATTCATTGATTATTGAAAACTAGCAATATATGCTGGGCTGTAGATACATTTCAAATTTTTTGATGTTCAACTGACCTAACCTTTGCACTGATTAAAAGACCCTACGTTATAGATTAACAGTTAATTGGTATTTATTCATTGCAAAGATATCAATTTAATTGTCTGTTTTATCTATAATTAATACAAAATTACATAGATCTTTCCAAGAAATTTCACAGAAAATATTATAGACATAATTAGGAATTTATGGACCCGTAAAATACCTCTGCTATCAGTCACAGTTTAATCCTATTTCATTGTAGATCTTTTGAAGATTGAATGGGGATAAAATGGTTTGATTGTGTGGCTCTTTTAGATTTTCAAAATGTTATGGGACTAAATGGATCAAATTCTGATAGTGAAATGGGTCATTTCACAGCGGTCTTGATGCTCAAAAAATGTATCCCCCGTTTTACAGCTTCTTTCCCAATTTAAGCTCATGAGAAAAAGTCTTATTGAGCCAGTTTGCATCATGTGATATTGTCATTACACTGTCAAATTGACTGTGCCCTGTGTTCTTTCTAGGGGGTTTGCGACAGCCAAACTAATGACTCTGTGCCAATGTAAACATTCTAACAGTGTTGTTTAGCAGGAAATCTTCACCATCTAAGTGTAGTGTGGTAGAATGCTAACATTAGCTAATTAGCATTAAATGCAAGTATAGCTGAGGCTGATGGGAGTGTCATTAGTCTTGCAGGTACCAAAGAATTTGTCAAACTGAAATGTCAACCTGAAAAGTCAGAGGATCAAAAAGTTATCAGAGTTCATCCTGAAGAGAACAGGAATGTCTGGTCTTTGAAATTCATCCAATACTTGTAGAGATATTTCAGTCTGGTGCAAAGTGGTGGACCTACTGACATTGCCAACCCTAGAAGCCAGCCATTATTCTGGCTAAAAACTAAATGGTAAATGGACCTGTACTTGTATAGCGCCTTTCTAGTCTTCCGACCACTCAAAGCACTTTTACACTACGTGCCACATTCACCCTTTCACACACATTCACACAGTGATGGCAAAGTCCATCGAACAGAAACTAACTCATTCATACACACTCACACACCGATGCACGGCATCGGGAGCAATTTGGGGTTCAGTATCTTGCTCAGGGATATTTCGACTTGCAGCGGGAGGAGCCGGGGATCAAACCAACAACCTTCCGATTAGTGGACCCTGCTTAGTCTAACCCTGCTACTACATTGCTAACCCTGCTACTATAATATATTAGATAAAAGATGATGCCAGAATACTGTGTTTGTATAGTCATACTTTGATTTGTACTGACCAAATGGCTGAAACTTGAATCTTGTGAAACGTATCATTGGCTCACTGTAGTTGCACACAGCTTCATAGATACAGTAACTGGTGGTTTTGTGTAGAGTGAAGGGACAGAGTTTGACATTGGCAGCATACAATTTGATTCCATTTCTTAAGGAAATTGCTTTAAGTTTAATAAATGACTTATTTTTGGCAAATTACACCTACTCCATTAGAAATCCAGAATCCACGAAGATGCAAATATTGTGTTGATATATGGTATAAACCAAAATTAAGAACTTATTCTCTCACAAAGAATAGCTACAGTCTAGAAGCTAATGTGAAGTTTAACGTGAAAAAGAGATCCCTTGGTGCACAGTTGCATTCAGAATCACCATTAGCCCTAGAGACTGGTAGGTTTAATGTCACTCCTCTTTGCTGTCTTGACCACGAGGACATAAGGGATGTACTTTTTAGTAAAATGTCTTCCATTTATGATAATTTCTTTTGGTTGATGATTATGAAAAACTTGAATTATGCTTCAAGAAGAAGCTTTACTATCTTGGAGCAAACTTTTTGTGCCAAACGTGGGTGTGAAGGCAGAATATCTTCTTTAAAACTGAGCTGTATAATGATCTATAATCATGAACAAAATGAAATGTTTGATCACTGCAACTATATTTTTGGTGTCTAGTCTAGATACCGTCGTCTAGCCATCACAATGTGGACTTTGTCAAAGTCGCTCAAATCTTTATGCTGCCCATTTTTCCTGCTTCTAACATCAACTTTGAGGACAAAATGTTCACTTGCTGCCTAATATATCCCACCCACTGACAGGAGCCATGGTAACCAGATAATCAGTGTTATTCACTTCACCTGTGTCTGCACACAAGTCTAGATTAACTGGCCACAGTGCTCCAAGTGCACTCGTCAAACGTAGCAATATTGTTGCCTTCCATATACCAAAAAGCAGTAAAAATGGTCAGGAACCTTTGTTTATGCACAAATTGGCTCTTCTCATTGTGAACTGAGTTTCCATGGTTTGTCATTTTTATAAAGTGTGTCCTCAGTAAAAAATGTATGGGAAACACTGGTCTGTGAAACCAGTAAGGTTTGGGCCACCACCTGCCGCCAGAACAGCTTCATTCTGGCCTTCAGGCTTGTACCATTCTCTTGGTGTACGCTACACATGCACTCACCTATTTGTCGAGAATACAGTGAAGGATGACTCATCTGACCATATCACTTGTTCACCCACATCTCTGTAGACTAGAGTCTGTATGGTTTTTGCACCACTGAAGGATCAAATGTGCATTCATCTTGGTAATGAGGGGTTTATGCACTGCAGCCTACTATAATATCTTCTCTGAGTAACTGTCACATGAGGAAGAGTTGATGTTTTTCCTTACTTATCTTACTAATGTACAAATATCACAGTCATTAAATGTGCACTTTAGACCACAACCAACCCTACTTCATGATGGCTTTCCCATAGATCTAAATACAGATGTCACTTTAGTCACTGTTCCTATTGAAACACCAGTCAGTCGAGCAGTCTCTGAATCTCCCGCCGTCTGTGCCCCAACAATAAATCCTCTTTCAAACTCACTTCCTTTTGCCATCTTGATACAAAATCAGAATCAACTGGGCCTGTTCAGTATTTAATACATGCCACAGAGCATGATTGGATGTTAATTGCTTAATTGTACTATGCAGTGCAACTGTGTGGAAGCATCTGCATTCATTATGTTTCTTCACTAATATATTCAGGTTTCCCTGTTAATTTGTCACACACATATTTTTACATACATTATTCAATTCAATTCAATTCAGTTTTATTTATATAGCGCCAATTCATAACAGAAGTTATCTCAGGACACTTTTCAAATAGAGCAGGTCTAGACCGAACTCTTTAACATTAATTACAGAGACCCAACAGTACCACCATGAGCAAACACTTGGCGACAAGGGCAAGGAAAAACTACCTGTTAAAAGGCAGAAACCTAGGACAGACCCTTCGGCTCTAGGTGGGTGGTCGTCTGTCTCGACCAGTTGGGGTGAGAGAGAGAGACAGAGAGACAGACAGACAGACAGACAGTTGCACAGCAACAACAGTAGCAGCAACTACACTAATAGTAGTGACTGATGATGATGAACATGAAGAAGATGATGACGACGACAACAACAACGATGGGGGACAATGAGCAGTGACTATAGTATAATAGTAACTGTAGTAATAATAATAGTAATAATAATAATAACAATAATATCAGTGATATTAGCAATTAGCAAAATAGAACCTGCGAGACGAGAAAGCACAAGAACTCCGGGGAAGAAGTGAAGTTAGTAACATGCATAAATGGGACATGAATGAGTGCAGAAAGAGAGAGAGAGAGGAAGAGAGGAGCTTATATTATATGTACCAAGTAGTTGTTACAGCCTTGTAAGTCAATTTAGAAAATATCTTGTAAATCTCCATTGCTGAAAATGTGTTGTGTGCTCATGTTGCAGCGTTAAATGCAGAGCGACAAGGCTGTGCTCTGAGTCAGAGTCAGGGCTGAGAAACATTCTCCAGGACCCGCTGCTGGTCTACGCCCAGTGGAGCCATGTGGTCTCTCAGGTTCTGGAAGCTTCTGCCGAGGTTACGGACTTCTCCCACATTGCTATGTTGGTCCAGAACATAGAGGTAAAGAATACACGTTACCTTAAACTGGCTATAATTGATATTTTAAAGATAACAATGTATAAAATGACAATATGTAATAAGAGATGTTTTACCACCTGAATCTGCAGCTCCCCTACGCTTTATGGATCTTTATAGAAAGTTTCAGTTCTGGCTCGCTGCTGTCATAGTGTTTCAGCAGCAAACAGCTGACAGACACAGTTAGAGAGTGGCTGATGAACACAGTGGAGCATTTACCAAAACCAGAGCTAGAAGAGAGTGAATTGTACTACTAGTTTATCAGGTGGACACAAAGTCGACTCCAAATGAATGCTAAAGCTCCTCCTTAACTGCTGGGTATGTAAATAAGCAAGTGTTTGCCATATTAACTCAAAATGTCATGATGTGTCAATGTGTTGAGAGCGAGTTTCTTCTGCCTCCAAGTGGCCCAAAAAAACAAAAAATGATTGCAGGTTTAACCCATTAAGCTGCGTTCACATGGATTCAGGCAAACGGTAGTCAGCAAACCTCCATGTTGGAAATTAAAAGCGGATGTTATGTAGCTCCCATACACAAGGAGAAAAGATGGACAATCTGTACAACGAGCTGCTAATAATTAATACATTACATAAAATAATATACAAAAAATAAATGTATTTAACACATGAATTCCGTTCTCTGTTAGCATTAAAACATGGAGTGTTTGTTTGATTTTCCTGTGCTTTGAGGAAGGTGCTGTCTGTCTGCCATCTGCCTGAATCCATGTGAATGCTGCATTAATGACTAATAGCTATATTTAGTGTTTAGGAAAAACCCCACAGAATGTTTTCTGAAACACAAACGACAACATCTAAATGTTTGCATATTTATCATGCAAAGCAAACAACAAAAGAAGACAAAGTCTTCATAATCAAAAATTATGAAGATCTTTCCAACCTATTGTTCTAGAGGTGTATTCCTGGAAAATCCATAAAGCAACCCCTGGTGACTAATGACTAAACAAAGCCTGTTAAAAAAATCCGATTTGAAAAACATTTATGGATTTGTGCTTATCTAAGCCTGTACTTCAGATGCTAAGGACATTGAGGAAAAAATACTTAGGAAGTTGAACCAAAGTATAGGACGCATTCACACATGTAGTTAAGTTCAAATGTTAGGACCTTTTAGGTCTTGTCTGTTTTGTGTTCACAGTGACTTCCGCCCCTCCAGGATTTCGTGGACGTTTTGTGGGATTGTTGCGGATTAAAATGCTGGATTGTGTTGCATATTGTGATGTATGAAATTGCAGGAGAAAGTGAAAATTGCAAAAGTAGTTCAATAATAAATCAATTTTGTTCCATTGAGAATAAAATAGCTTTTTTTGTAGGGTAAATGTGACATGTTCCCTTCACACATGTCTGCATCTTCACAACTACAAACAAAGTGAAAAAGGTCACCTAGAATTGGCTTTCACAAAACCATCTAGACCAGACCAGACCCACTTTTTAAGAGTCCAGTAGTTTGGACCACACCAGAGTTTGATTGACAGCTTACATATCAGCCTACATGAAGGGGATCAAACAGGCAGAGACATCAGAGTTTGTTTGAACAAAACCAAGCAGGTTAGGTGACCTCAGAAAACATTTACAAACTTTTTATAGCACAGAATAAAGCTGAAGTCTGTTTGAGCTGTGATCCTAATTTTAAATCAAACACCGCTCCAACACTTCAAATATTACACAGAATACAGAATGCCAGTGGTTGCCACTCATCTTTGATTTTCTGTCAGATACATATTTTATGAAACTGTGAGTTATCTTCCAGACAGAGACAGCTAGCGGATCTGATAAATAGTCCAATAACATCTCTAATGTCAGAGAATTTTACAAATGTGTCATATCATATATTTGAATGCATTTGCCCCTAACAAAGTTGTTTTTAATTGATTGTCAGTCCAGTGTTTGGTTACAAGTACAGTCAGAAACCTGTTCAGTTGGCGCTTCTGTTCTCCCAAAGCTTCATGTCTCACTCTACTGTTCACTATTACATAAAACAATGAAGATAAACAATGTTGCTTAATACATTGCCGGGATCTGGATGAGTGTATCCAAGGGTCACCAAGGCAAAGAAACTGAAAAACAAAACAAATGTATGTCTAATAAAAAGATCAGAAAGCTTGTGTAATAGTTGCGTCACTGCGGCAGTGCTGTTATATTCATAAAAATTCTTTATGAAGTTTTCTAAAAAGTTCTGTGTGGAGATATTTTCTGGAGTTGAACTTAATCAAAATGTATTTATGGGTTACTCTGTGGATTTGATTACGAAAGTGCACCAGTATTTGTGAAATCGCTTTACTTAAGTGGAACCTTTAAGGAAGGCTTGACTTCATGTGTCCTCCATTTCTGTCCTTGATGTTAGCACCTGCTGAAGAAGAGCGTCCAGCTGCAGGAGCGTTTAGGTCTGCTGCAGGTAAAGGGGGACCTGCTGGACTCTGTATTCGGCCCCGAGAGGTCCGATGGCCTGCAGGATGAGCTGAGCGCTGCCATCAGGAACAGAGAGCTGCTGCACACTCAGCTGCTGCAGAGGAAGGGCAGACTACAGGTACTTAAATGTTGCTGTCATTCATTTGGCTTAATTACATCTTAAATTTGAATGGAAGTTATCCAAACCATTTAGAAAACTGAACATATCAAATCGGCAAGAAGAACAGCTGGTTTTGACATTTTTAATGCAGTGGACACCCACTTGAGTATAAATCAACCTTTAAAATTGTAGGGATGGAACACCGTGAAGGAAGGCATTCTACTGCTGCAAGGAGGATTTTTTTTACCCTGAAATCTTCTAATTTAAGCTGACTTATGTGACAGCACTCGAGGCAACATATCAGACTTTGTACATCTCTGTTGCCACATAAGACTTAATGCAGTCATACTCCCCAACACCTGGAGACACACATGAGAGATTAGTAGAGTTCCACTTAAAGGTTCAGTGTGTAGGATTTAGTGGCATCTAGTGTTGTAACTGCAGATTGCAACACACTTGCTTCACCCTGCACTTGCAAGCACGAAGGAGAAACTTTGGTGGCTGCGAAAAGTGCAAAAATTGTGAAAGGTCCCGTCTAGAGCCAGTGTTTGGTTTGTCCTGTGTGACCAAATATCATTAAATCTGAAAAATACGAAATGTTTTAACAGTCAAATCAAACTTAAGAGTGTGATTATTGTTTCAGAACCTGATTTCAAGCAGCCACCTCTTTTTACACAGTGTGAGCTCAGTATTTCTCCCGAGCGCTCAGTGAAGGATACATGCAAATATGAATGAATGACAGCAGACTTTTAGGCCATCAGACTAGCTGCCGGTAGGATCTAAAAATAACCCACACCCCCTCTAGTTTTTCACATATTCGTCAATTTGTCTTTGTCATCTCCATTGGTGGGAGGCGAAACATGCACACACAAGCTCATAATTACATCCTGCACATTATTAGAGTTTGAAAAATGACAAAGCAGTGGTTTGTGCAGTCCTAATTTTAATATGGAAGAGAGGAAATACTGTCTTTAACATGCAATCCTGACATGACTGGCTGTATAACATCACACTTAATGACATTTTTCCCACTCTCAGGGCTTAATCTCCAGAACCAAGGACTTTGGTGATGCCTATGAGTTGATTCGTTCCAAGCTGTCCGGTCTCCGAGACCGACTGGTGGCAGCTGACGGCCCCCAGCCTGACATCCTGGCTAAGAAAAGCCAGTCCGACCAGTTCAGGGTAAGTTTAATCCCAGGTCAGACCAGGGCCAAGCCAGATTTAGCCAAAATGTCTGCTGGAACACAAGCTGCTCTGTGTACACTGTCTTATGTTAGCCTCCAGCAGATTAAGCAGATGAATTCAGATCAAGTGTCATGAAACTTCTGAAAAACTGCAGTAGGTAACTACAGTGCAAAGATCAGAAAGTGGCTCAGTATGTGAAATGTAGGCATTTATCCTATTCAAGAAAGACACTGGTGCTTGATGGAAGGATGTTCACACAGCTGGTTTCATTGCCAACAATAAGACTAATGCTGTGCTTTTGATTTACTACATTTATACCAGTGGTTCCCAACCTTTTTCCTTAAGGGAAACAAGCCCTGACTAAGTGTCATATTTTATGGATATTTCATCTTATATACAACAAATACAGGAGAACAGATAAACAGCACAATAAACCCAAACAGTGAACACAATAACTGCAGGAGGTCTGTGTAAAACCAGAGATCTGGATGAATTTAGAGATTATTTCCTGTGAATATTGATCAGAGATTAGTTTTCCTGGTATGTTTAGGGAACTTTTTATACAGTTCTCTGTCTATTCTCATTTTTGACAAATTCTGTGTTCGCTTCTCATTGTTCTATTAGTTCTGTGGTTATTCTAACTTTCCTAATGCAGGACAGGGCTGTTTGAGTAAAGACTCAGTGAATATAGCTTGTGTTCAGGTCTTCAGAGTTTATTTTAAAATAACAATTTCATTTACTTTTCTCTTCAGAAATGAACAACATGCTGGTTTCACTTCAGTGGTTCCTCTATGTTGATTTCTGAGTGGCTGCCCCCACTGCTAAAAACAATCCTAGAGGAAACACTGCACTTCATTTCAGTTATAATTCAGTTATAATAAGAATCAGACTGCAGAGCCTTGAAACTGGTTTTTTTTTTTGATCGATTTATTCATTATAAAAGACTGCAGAGTATCCAGTACGTTCAGGCAGTGAACTGTGGTTTAAACTAAAACCACAGTTGTGTGTTATTGTGCGCTGTCTCAATGTGTGTCTTGTGTGTCCTCAGGTGATCCACAAGGACCTGGAGGACTGTGAAGCCCACATCACAGCGCTGGAGACCCTAGTCTCATCCAGTCAGAGCAACAGGACTCAGTTTGAGAGGCTCTATGCAGACTGGAAACACCTGTACAATGCAGTAAGGGTAAGACAGTGGAGTGGATGAAGTTCAGAATCATTGCTGTCTGACTACAGATCATCCTCGATATGTGATAGAGCCTCCACCCTTAGTGAATGCTGCATCAATTATTTTCTTTATATTAATAATAGATCAAATGACGAAATGATGTGTTATAGGGGTAAAGGGTTGCTCATTGTGAACTGTGCTCTGAGCTTTGCAGCTCTTTTAGCTGCTTAACACTGCTTTAAAACAGTACGCCACTGGTTTAGCACTGAACCCCTATAACATTTATGGTCTCAAATGGGCAGTTTTTTCCCCCATATATATATATATATATATATATATAGATGGCCAACTCTTAAATAAAATAAAGTCACCGACGTAGATGAGAAAAAACACATATATAGGACATATATTCTTTACACAGCTCCCTCTGACATTTGAGACCTAAAACGTTTAGTAGCAGTAGAGTAGTGCTAAAAAATTGGATGTGTAGAATCGGTGGAGTTCCTGTATGGAGTTTTCTCACAGTTTTTTAATCTACGTGAATAACTTTCAGAATAAACCTAATCCATCACCAGCAATTTACACCAAAAATAGGAATTTGACAAGCACAATGAAGTAGTTCTTTTATTCCCTCTGTTTAATATAAGCAACACTTGGCTGACCAGATAACTTCTACAGAGCTCAAACATCTGGACTTCCTGCTCATTGTCCTTAGGGACTTTAACAGAGCAACCCTCAGCCAACTTCAAAATAAAAACAGTGCATTATGTGTCTCACAAGGGATAAAAACCCAGTGGACCAGTGCTAAACCGTATTAAAGAACACATTTTGCTCTGTTCCAAACAGTCTCCTGACTTACAGGCAGAATCTTAAATCTGCTAATCCTGTTGTCAAGTGACTGTGTACACTAATCTGTTGCTCTTTATTAAATAACTGCACAAGCATTTTTAGTTTCAGTTGGACTGTAAAGTGCTACATCTGTGACAATGCTGGGATATAAAGTTACTTTTTGCATAACTCTAGCTGTTGTCTGTGCAGATAATGCCGGTGCATTCCATGAATTTTCAAGCGTTTTTTCGCTGCCCCACTGTCTGTCCAGCTGATCTTTTCCTCTTGTTTGCAGGTAAAGGTGCACGAGAGCGAGGAGAGCATTGCAGACCATGAGAGCTTCCACGACGGTCTGCTGAACATAGAGAAGTGGCTGATGATCATGAAGCAGAAGCTAGAGTCCTTCCATAGCCCCTCTGGAGAGTGGAGCATAGAGGGTCGACAGCACGAAGCTGAGGTGTGTGTGTGTGTGTGTGTGTGTGTGTGTGTGTGTGTGTGTGTGTGTGTGTGTGTGTGTGTGTGTGTGTGTGTGTGTGTGTGTGTGTGTGTGTCTGTGTCTGTGTCTGTGTGTCTGTGTGTGTGTGTGTGTGTGTGTGTGGTCATTTTTTAGCTATTTAAGGATTTAGTTTAACAGAAGATTTTGGGAGTTTGAATTTGAAAATTTTAACAACCCTTGGACAACCCCCTTGGACAACCCTTTTCAAGCGGTCTCAGTCTTTTTTTTTCCGTCTGCACCAAGGTTCAATTGACAGCTTTCCCAACAGCTCAAATGAACCGCACTAATTGGGCTAAAGCACCAGGGTCCGTTTTAACTGAACCAAAGAGGTTATGTGTGAAAGCACCCTAAGTATTATCTTGTGTCAGATCATCACAAGATGGTCCTTTTAACTTCATTGTTGCAGAAGAAGCGACACCCCGCTTATCCATGAACAGATCATTCATGAGGTTATTAGAAAGATCAGCTGTACGTGTGATAACTGGCATGGAGAAATGTGCTTCTGATACTAACAGCCAGGCTCGTGCCAAATTGACAAAGAATGGGAAGTGTGGGAATGATCCTAGGGACACATACAGTGGTACCAAGGTGCCAAAGTGGGATGAAGTCGGAGATAAAAAGACACTCTAGCTTTAAAAAAATCTGCTCTGCACTCCATCCAAAATCCTTGTTGGTAGGATAAACTGTGCAGTATGACACAAAAAGCTGGTTTACCAGACATGGAGCCAAACAGAAAGATACTTTGTTTTCATTTCATCTCAGTCAATCTAGCTTTTCAGAATAGATGCGAAATGTCTGTTTTTTCCAGAGCTGTGAGCAGAATTTTTCAAAGCTCAGTGGAAAAGTGTAGGTGGTCATATAACTGTATGTGTACGTGTCATCAAGTGAAAAGGTCTTGGAAAATGATTTCTTAAAACGAGTGGGAACCTTGCGCTCTGCCATTTTAGCCCCATTGAAACTCTGAAATAGCGCTTTAACACAAACTTGTGCGAATGTGTGTTACATCCGTTTGCTATGTTGAGCAATTTTCAATGCTCTATGACTTGGTGTTGATAGAATTCTACCATGAACAGAATTTACTGGGCTGCAAAACGACTGGTATAGTTTTGAGTAATCTTATCCAAAAATGACATGACAATGTTATTTCATCATGACAGAGAGGGTGCGTTTTTCTAGTCTGTGTCGCTCTACAGTCAGTATGTTTGGTTTTATTGTTAATTAGGAGCCTTGGGAACCTTTTTGTTTTGCTTGTAGTGTGGAAGTCAAGACCTGCAGGTGTCTGGATTCATTATAGATTCACTCATCAATTCATTAAAATCAATTTTCCCCACTCTTGATTTTAATTTCATTTAAACATATTGTTCTGTCAGCTCACAGTGACCTTAAGTGACGCCCCAGTCATTAATTTTAATAGAAATACCAAGGAGACTATATAATTACAGTGTTTATTATTACACTGACCTACCTGCCAGTCTCATCATCACCATGGGTTGAGATTCTTCATCTCTGCATTTCATTAACTCAGAGCAGTTTTAAATGTGGCTGCTCTTTTACACTATAAAACGGATATCAAATATGCAGTGTCGCAGTTTGCAAAAAAGTTTCAGGAGTTCTTGAGAGTCCCGTTTATGAATAAAAAACTACCACCCATCTTATCAGACTAAAACAGGCACCAGGAGTGCACCAGAGAGGAGAAATAAATCCAGTTCAGGAAATAACTCGTTTAGTTCAGTGTGTTTGCACACATTAAACAGCTGGTGCAGAGCCATATGTACACTTCACTGACAGGAAATTATGTGCTGAAGTTTGAAAGTAAAAATCAAACTCTTGAGTGAGTTTTGCAAAGCTGCATTAAACAACCTGAGATGTTTTGGTCCTCTTGTTTCTTTGGTCTAAAGCATCACAGCTGAGCTAGTATAACACATGAATGTGTGTTACCTGAAATAATTTAACCCCTTGATCCCAACTGATGCAATTTTAAGAAGCTCTCCATCATCATACAGACATCAAACACATACCACTGAAACCAGAGCTTATTCACTTATTTGTGATAGCAGTGTCTTCAGTGGCCAATGAGAACAGACATCCAGAACTTTAGTTAGAACTCACTGAATTAGGTATTCCACATAACTTCAGATGGTGCCCTGTAATGTAATGTAAATGTAATCCAGTAATCCTCAGAATGTCTTATCAACAGGGCCCTTTTAGAGCCTGAACAATGTGGGGTTTTTATGGAAGCACATGTGACCCAAAAAATAGGATTCTATAAGTCATTGTAATGACAGCCTCAAAATATTGACTTACCATCTCAGTATAATGACTTAGTTTCTCATCTCTTTTTTTTCATCACATTGGCAGAAATGGGCTTCCATAGATTTTAGGGACCGATATCAATTTTAATAAATTTTTAAATTCAGATGTTACCAATATTGTGCCCGATATAGTTAAGTTTTTATGTGGGTTTGAATGAAGACTTTAACCAAGTACGTAAAGATACTCAGGAGGCTGCTTTCTTTAACAAAAAACTTTCATATTAATATTAAAGAATATTAAAGTTAAATATTCTTTTACATGTTAAAGAATTGAACATATACTCTGTCAAACATTAACACAAATGAACTTGGTGGTGGCTCTGATGTTGTTGCTGCATGATAAGATCAGTCTGACTGTTAAGCCTCTGTGCTTTTTGGACTCTCTCACCGTGTACATTAAAGTGCTGTCTTTGTCCACAGAGAGCACTGGGAGAGTTTCCAGAGAAGGAGCTTCAGCTACAGCAGATGGAGGTCCAGGGTCAGGGGGTTTTGAAGAAGACTTCAGAAGAGGGACAGGTCCACATTCGGCGAGATATAAAGCGCCTCCAAGAGTCCTGGTTGGCCCTGTACAACATGAGTCTCAATCTTCACAGGTACCTGAAAAAATGAGGATAGTGATTGTAATTTGTATTAGTTTTCAAAAACACTATAAATTTTTATGTATAAACACATATGGGGGTGAATGTGTTTCACACGTGTTCATTATACTATGACAGTTTTGAATCATAACCTTGTGATACATATCAGATCGACAGATTCTTGCCAATACACAGCCCCAAGTTTGTGGCGACTACTATTTATTACTACTAATATTACTAAAGCCCTATTCGCACGGGACTAGTATTACCTGGGGACCTCATGTGATTTAGTAATTACCCCACCACGTCTGTGTTTCGTGCGGCGCTTTCGCACAAGTTAAGCGAAGTCTGTGTTTTAACTCAAATTTACTGACATTATCCCCCGGATATGATGTCAAGGCTCTGCGTAACCTAAATAGATAGAAAAATGTTCCTTACCGCATGCTGCCATGCATGTAATCCATCTAATCATCTTTCGAGATTTCGCTCTTCTGATGGATTTGAGCTTGCTCTTTCTGCGAATAGGTCTCCATGCTGTGTACCTAGATGAGCCTCCTGAATTTGCACCCAAAATGCTGTCAAAACTTTCATTTATAATTGCCAACGCAGCCTCCATAATTCTCAACCTGGAAAAAGGCAGAAAAAAGGAGCGGAAAACACAAAAAAACTTAAAAAAACAAAAAACGACCCCAAATCACAGAGATGCCGATTCGCACGGGACTAATATTATCACATGACCTCTGTGTTTGGCGAAATATGGTAGGTAATTTGCGGTGGAATTTTAACTTTACAAATTACAGACATGGCAGATTCGCACGGGATTAAGATTACAGACGACCTCCGCAATTATTACAAATTACTAGAGGTCCCCAGGTAATACTAGTCCCGTGCGAATAGGGCTTAAGACTACAATAAAACTCCTACCTCAGTTTCACTGGTCACTCTGACTCCCTGTCTACACTCAGCGCATAGTGGAAGCAGCTCACCAGCAGCAGCAGGTTCAGTCCTCCATCGGTCTCTACCAGTGATGGGCAAGTTGCTTGATAAATGTAATCAGTGATCATGTGTGAAGAAAACAAAATTTCATACAGAAAAGGGGAAATTCAGCAATCCTTAGAAAGGTCGAGTCTCAAAACTCTGGTCTCCCCACACCTGTTCTCACTTTGTCTCCTAATCCGTCCAGCATGCTCCTTCCCAACTAGCACTGGCTTTGTGACTAGTTTTAGCCCACCAGTCATCTAAACCGGGCTAATAGGAAAACAATTTGTTGTACATGACCATCTACTTCATGTATATAAAGTAATCTAGTACTTTCTACCTTTTCAGTTTTTATTTATTTGCACAATTTGTATTTGTTTACAATCTACAGAACACTTGAGTCTTATGTAGACATCAAACACCAAGGTTGCTTTTTATATATTTTTCTATATACACCTTTCTCATCCACTTGTATGAACATAATTTTGTTCAACTTTGTCGTCCTTGTTTTTGGCTGTATGTCTATTTATTATTCTGTGTGTAAGGTCAATGAGAGCAACTTAAAGCCAGAGTTGCTGTATGTGTACATGTTAAGGAACGTATAAATTGCCAAACTGTTGTTTTTACATAACAGACACATTTTCAGAGAGACAGTCAGAGTTGTGTGTGGCCCACATTGACACTGGCTCCTTCAATCAGTCCCTCCAGGATTTCGAAGGGTTTTTGGGAGAGATTGTTGTGATCTAAAACTTTTTTTTGCAATGAAATTGTGGGAGACGATGAAAATTAGTTGCATTTCTTTTGTATAATTAATAAAAAAATTGAAGGCAAGTTTAGTGACCTTCGGCTTAAGGTTTTGCTTGGGGGGTGATTGGTGAAAGCCGCTAGAATCTACGATTGGTCAAATGTGTGTAAAAGTTGCTGTGATTGGACATAATTGCAAGGTTGTGCAGAATTCTTGGGGCTTGGTTGAATTTGTGCTAATTGTTGCAATCGCAACAATGCAACTTCCTGCAGGGACAATTAATGTAACCACCAAGAAACTGTGAAAGTGTGGTTTCAAACCTTCAGTGACTGGTTTGAAACCACACTTGGTTTGCCAAAATTAATACCACAAGCTCCAGTTACTTGATGTCTACAAAGCTTTCAGACCCATTTCAAATTGAGATTCTCTTGTCTGTTTCTAAGGTCAAGAATAAACACTGAAGCTCAGTCACTTGAGTGACTTGTTGTGCTAGAGAATATAAATTATAAATGCACACAACTGATCTCAGGTTTATTGCTGCTCAAAGTTTTATGTCAGGAAAAAAGCTGCATAGAGAGAAGATAAATTAGAGGAACATTGCTCCTCTGTTGTTCAGTAGTCTTTTCTTGGGATGCATTAGACATCCAAGCTGCTGAGTTATGAAAACCCTTAACCTCTCTCTTTCTCTCTCTCCCAGGCTGCTGAACAGCTCCACAGAGCAAAAAGACACTGACTTATGGAAAGTCAGAGGCAAACAAGAAGTTAAGACAGCAGAGATGTTTGGAGCCATGGCGACCTCTGGGCCTGGAAGAGGAGGAAGCCTGGAGGGAGAGGCAGGAGAGGGGGTGACGACAGGGCAGGGTGGTTGGCTCCAGGGCCATGGTGAAGGTCACTTCCTTCTGACTGGACAGGACAACGAACATGTCAGCCCATCAAGGACTGGTAAGGATGGTAGGTGCTACTCTAAAGGGGACGAAGTAGATTCCTCTGCTTTGAGCATTGGCGGGAGAGCCGTCCAGAAAGTTTCCGAAGACTCCACCACAGATAGAAGCCCCGACAGTGATAAATCAACAGGAGGCCACAGCAGCATCTTGGCCGGAGACAGAGGGACAACAGCTTTTAGCACAAATGTCAGCTATGCCGAGGAAGGAAGAATGAGCTCTGAAGAAGGCAGCATGGAGGCAGGGGAAGGCCTGAGCCCAGGAGAAGGAGCATTCACGGTGTTCAGAAGGGACCTAGCCAAGCAAACAACACCAGTGCAACACTCAACGGTATACTGTTTATTCCAAAGTGTTCATATTTCTTGATCCTTGTTTAAATTTGTAGAGTTGCAAACTATTTTTCAAAGCTATTTTTCTCTGTAAATTTAAAAAATAATTAAGTTTACTTTCAATTATAAACTCAATGATCCTCTATACAGAAACGCAGGAGTCTCCTGGGAAATTTAACCTTAAAGCTGCAGTAGGTAATTTTTATGAAAACACATTTTTGTCATATTTTAAGAAACTTTTACTATATCCTGACAGTAGTACATGAGACAGATAATCTATGAAAAAATCAGGTTCCTCTGTCTCGTTCTTGCGCTCGGATTGGCATTTGTAAGAATCCACCGGGCCTTAACGAAACCAACCAATCAGAGCCGAGAAAGATAGTTGATTGTTCAGTCTCATTCCCAGGTCCTCTGCTCTGATTGGCTGTTTTCGAGCCAGAGGAAGGGCCAGAAATGGCCCTAGGCCAGCAGTTTGAGGTCCCGCCATTCGAGCGTGAATTTGGCAACATAACACACAACACTAAACAAGCTTTCCATATGGTGAATGGATGTAAACCCAAACACAGTTCATCAACATCAACTGACACAGAACAGAAACCACTAAACCAAAGTTCGGTTTCAATCTCATAATAATAATAACTGATATCAGTGTCAGCACATATCAAAATTCAGGTATTGGAATCAGTTGAATTGGAAAAAAGAATTTTCTTTTCCATGTCACATGTAAAATTGAGAATGAGCACAATTAAAAGAAAATCCCAGATCACCGTTCTGCGCGGCCAATAATGCAGACAACCTATGCTCACACTGTACAGATGAAGGTGAATGTGCATGCATCGGTGTGTGTATGAATGACGTAGTTTCTGTTCAATGGACTTTGCCATCAGTGTGTGAATGTGTGTGTGAGTAAGGGATCATTCAGGCAGTTAGACTCAGCTCAGTTTTAACTTACTATACTTGGTGCACCTTCTTAAATAAATGTATGTTTGGGATTGATGATAAATTATAATAAAGTTGCCATTTATAGGCTGCTGGGTGAACTGTATTTAAAGCTGCAGTAGGTAACTTTTACAAAAATTACTCTTCATCATATTCACTGAAACTTTAACCATATACAGTAGTACATGGGACAGATAATCTGTGAAAAAAACTTGACTTTCTCTGGCTCCTCCTAGTGCTAGTAAAAGTTCCTTATTGCAGCTTTAACAGACACTACATAGCAATATATTAGTCAATGGGTTACCACTACTATGTTTCTGCTCTATTCTGAGGGTTGTTTTGAGAGCCATATTTTATTATATACATTCTTTTGCAGCTACATAATTCCTCAAATGTGCAAATCAGGGTAGAATTTGTCAAAAGGAAAAATAATGAAGAGCTTACTATTTATTCAATTCAATTCAATTTTATTTGTATAGCGCCAATTCATAACAGAAGTTATCTCAGGACACTTTTCAAATAGAGCAGGTCTAGACCGAACTCTTTAACATTAATTACAGAGACCCAACAGTACCACCATGAGCAAGCACTTGGCGACAAGGGCAAGGAAAAACTGCCTGTTAAAAGGCAGAAACCTAGGACAGATCCTTCGGCTCTAGGTGGGTGGTCGTCTGTCTCGACCAGTTTGGGTGAGAGAGAGAGACAGAGAGAGAGAGAGAGAGAGCGACAGACAGACAGACAGGTGCACAGCAACAAAAGTATTGGCAATGGCAATCTAGCAGGACCATGGCAGGAGGCTCCACCAGGATTGATAAGAACCTGCGAGACGAGAAAGCACAAGAACTCCGGGGAAGAAGTGAAGTTAGTAACATGCATTAATGGGACATGAATGAGTGCAGAAAGAGAGAGGAAGGGAGGAGCTCAGTGCACCATGGGAAATCCCCCCGATAGTCTAGGCCTATAGCAGCATAACTAAGGGATGGTTCAGGACTCACCTGATCCAGCCCTAACTATAAGCTTTATCAAAGAGGAATGTCTTAAGCCTACTCTTGAATGTGGTGAGGGTGTCTGCCTCCCGAACCACAACTGGAAGCTGGTTCCACAGGAGAGGAGCTTGGTAACTGAAGGCTCAGGCTCCTGTTCTACTTTTAGAGACTATAGGAACCACAAGTAGCCCAGCATTCAGAGAACGTAGTGTTCTAGAGGGGTAATAGGGTACTATGAGCTCTTTAAGATATGAAGGGGCCTGACCATGAAGAGCTTTATAGGTGAGGAGGAGGATTTTAAATTTTATTCTACATTTTACAGGGAGCCAATTCAGAGAAGCTAGTACAGGAGAGATGTGATCTCTTTTCCTAGTTCCTGTCAGTACTCGTGCTGCAGCGTTCTGAATTAATTGGAGCATTCTAATGGACTTATTGGGGCAACCTGATAATAAAGAGTTGCAGTAATCCAGCCTTGAAGTAACTGCAAAATGCATGGATTAGTTTTTCTGCATCTGTCTGTGATAGTATGTGTCTAATTTTTGTAATATTACGTAAATGAAAGAAGGCAGTCCTAGAGGTCTGCTTTATGTGGGAGTTAAATGACAAATCCTGATCAAAGATAACTCCAAGATTCCTGACAGTGGTGCTAGAGGCCAAGTTAATGCCATCTAGAGTAACTATATCTTTAGACAGTGAGTCTCTAAGGTTTTTGGGGCCAAGAACAAGAATTTGTTTAACATCAGAAAATTGCAGGTCATCCAGGATCTTATGTCCTTAAGACATGTTTGTAATTTAGATAATTGATTAATTTCATCGGGCTTGATTGATAGATATAACTGCGTATCATCTGCATAACAGTGAAAGTTAATGGAGTGATTCCTAATAATGTTGCCTAAAGGGAGCATATATAAAGTAAATAGTATTGGTCCAAGTACAGAACCTTGTGGAACTCCATGACTAACTGTAGTATTTATTGAAGATTCATCGTTAACATGTACAAACTGCGAGCGATCTGATAAATATGACTTAAACCAGCTTAGTGCGGTTCCTTTAATGCCAATTTGATGCTCAAGTCTCTGTAAAAGAATATTATGGTCAATGGTGTCAAATGCAGCACTAAGATCTAATAATACAAGTACAGAGACGAGTCCATTGTCAGAAGCAATCAGAAGGTCATTATTAACTTTAACCAGAGCTGTCTCTGTGCTGTGATGAACTCTAAATCCTGATTGAAAATCCTCAAATAAACTATTGTTATGTAGAAAGTCACACAACTCTTTGGCGACTACTTTCTCCAGAATCTTAGAGAGGAAGGGGAGGTTAGAAATCGGTCTATAGTTGGCTAAAACCCCTGGGTCAAGAGTGGGCTTTTTAAGAAGGGGTTTAATTACAGCTACTTTAAAGGACTGTGGTACATATCCTGATAATAAAGAAAGATTAATCATATCCAGTAAAGAAGTGCCAATTAAGGGAACAACTTCTTTAAGCAGCCTAGTTGGGATCGGGTCTAATAGACAGGTTGATGGCTTCGATGAAGAAATGATTGAAGTTAACTGATGAAGATCGATAGCAGAAAAACAGTCTAAATATATATCTAAGTTTACATTAGCAGAAGTCCCTGAACTTGGAGAGCCACTGATAACTGTTGATGGCAGTTGGTGATTAATTTTCTCTCTAATAGTAATAATTTTATTATAGAAGAAGCTCATGAAGTCATTGCTACTTAAGTTTATGGGGATATGTGGCTCAATAGAGCTGTGGCTCTCTGTCAGCCTGGCCACAGTGCTGAAGAGGAACCTAGGGTTATTCTTATTTTCTTCTATTAGTGCCGAGTAATAGGCTCCTCTGGCATTATGGAGGGCCTTTCTATAAGTTTTAAGATTATCTTGCCAAATTGAGCGATATTCTGATAATTTGGAAGAGCGCCATTTCCTTTCAGATTTCCTAGCTATTTGTTTTAACTGGCGGGTTTGGTGGTTGTACCAAGGTGCTAGTCTCCTATGTTTTAATAATTTCCTTTTTATAGGAGCGATAGAGTCTAATGTTGATCGTAGTGAGCCTGCAGCACTATCGACAAGATTATCAATTTCAGAGGGACTAAAGTCATTATAGGACTCTGTTAAATTCAGACATGGCATTGAATTAAACACTGAAGGAATCTCCTCCTTAAATTTAGCTACAGCACTGTCAGATAGACATCTGCTGTAGGAAGTTTTGCCTAATGGCTTATAATCTAATAGTATGAATTCAAAAGTTACTAAATAATGGTCAGATAGGAAAGGATTATGTGGGAAGACTATTAAATGTTCAATATCAATGCCATATGATAAAACGAGGTCAAGAGTTTGATTAAAACAATGAGTTGGTTTATTTACACTCTGACAGAAGCCAAGTGAGTCTATTAATGATATAAATGCGTTACTAAGGCTGTCATTGTTAACATCCACATGAATATTAAAATCACCTACAATAATTACTTTATCTGATTTAAGGACTAAACTTGATAAAAACTCTGAGAATTCAGATATAAAATCAGAGTACGGTCCAGGAGCGCGGTACACTATAACAAATAGAACTGGCTGCAGTGTTTTCCAAGATGGGTGAGAAAGACTAACAACAAGGCTTTCAAATGAATTATAATTTAGTTTAGGTTTAGGGTCCACTGATGGATACAGCTGTCTTAAGCTTCAGACAATCCTGAATGGTTATTTTGTCATCTATTGAATTTTAGTTGCAGAGTGCCCGTTTTGCACTTGTCCGACAGAAGAATCGTTCTTGACATGAAATCATATCGATAAAAAAACAAATAATCACAGATGTGTGTTGACAGATGACTGCAGGGACCAACCTTTCCCACTGATGGATTTGTTAACAGTCCATACATCAGCAAAGTATCTCAACTCCTAACTAAAAAAAGCCACAAAATGACTGTTGACTTGTGTGAGTGTGTGCTCTGTAAGTCTTATGAGTTGTTTGGGGTTTTACAGGGAGGCGCAGGACGGTACATGTCTAGGAGGAGAGAGTTTGAGGCCTGGCTCTCCAAAGAGGCTGAACTCCTCTCAGGGATCCTCAGCACCAAGGGAGCGACACTCAGTGCCAAAGAACTCAAACTCCGACAGGATTCGCTCAAGGTTAGTTTCTGTTACCATTAAAACATTTACAGCTCAATCTGTAGTAGTTGTGCTCTCATTATTGGAGGGGGGTGTTGAGACTACAGTTTAATTTGGTTTTAATCTGTTTAATTAATCGATTAGTTGTTTGATCCAGAAAATTGTGAAAAAAGATTATTGTTTAACAATGTGATGTCCTCAAATGTTTTGTCTTGTCCACAAATCAGAGGTAATCAGTTTACTGTCATAGAGGACTAAAGAGATAATTTGAGAAGCTGAAATCAGAGAATTTGGACTTTATTAACTATTAATCAAGTAATTGTTGCAGCTCTATTCTTGGTCTAAAATTGCCTCAGAATGCAAACACACCAGAGAATCTGGTGATACAATACATATCACAATACAGGGGTTACGATTCAAAATATATCAATATGATATATTGTGATACTTTAAGCAAGGTGATATGACTTTTTTTAAATCTCATTTTAGGAAAACTGTCACAGTATAAAGAACACCACAATATGCATAAAATCTGTGTTTAAACACAAAACAATTCAATTAGATATTTTCTTACTCCTTTTTTTAGTAAACTGTATCCTTTTAATGTTGTACCAAGGGTATAGGGTTTTTGGCAGAATGGTTAAACTAACAGACTAATAGGCCTTCAGCAGTATATGCTACCTACATGACACTTTGACATCAGATTCAGTGCCACTGAGAGTGATGTAATAATATGCCAAGAGGATACAAACTGAGTATCCCCTTAGTTCTACGTGAGCAGTGGTGCACTTAAAGTAATTAATGAGGTCAAGTACCGGAGGCTGGATCCCATTTTACACATCATTTAATGGATGATAATATCAAAAAGAATGTGCTCAGGGTAATACACTGTGATGTCATTGATGGAAAGGTGCTGTTCAGGTTGGTCACCTGTGCTGCAGCGACTTAACAGAAGCTTACAGTGTTGTCATGAGGATGGTACCGAGTGTGTCAACATGTTACTGTCACACTCGTGTGTTTGTCTGCATAAATGTACCCACATGTGAGCCACTGATAAGAAACCTTATGTATAAATGTATGAGTAGATTAAACAGAGTAGAAACAGTATAATCCATGCAGTGGTAAATCCTACCAAAGGCTGCACATGTGATACTTAAAGAGAAGTCTATGGTGTAATATTTGTGCCTCATTCCTGAGCAAGCAATGGAAGATTTTGAGCACAGAGAAATGTATTTTGCAAGCACATAAATTACATTTTAAGATGAATTATACACAAGGAAAAAGAGAGAGAGAAATTCAGTTTATTTTCATTTAGTTTCTAAATGTTAATTTTTTAGTAGCTTTCAGTTTCATTTTAGTTGGTTTACTTGTTTCAGTTGAGTTTTTATCGTTGAAATTTCTTTTCAATTTTTGTTTATTTTCATTAGTTTTAATGTTTATTTTATTCTAATATGGGGGCATTTGTCAGAATAAATATTACAATACAAACACAATAACTCACAGTCTTAATAAACATGTACCAGTACCTCTTCGTGCTTGTTGTGTCGACTAATTTAAACTCTAGTTTTTATATTAATTATAGTTAACAAGAATTGTTTTTCATATTTAATTTAAATTTTTAGTTTGCTTTTACTATAATGACCTTGGTTTGAGTACAACTTGATTAAAACACATTTTCAGTTAGTATATAGTGCTATTGACAGAAATGTTTTCATGATTCTGTCATGTCCGCTGACTTTCATCTCTTAATGGAAGCTAACACCTTCTTCACTTCTCCGACTGGATGCTTTAAAATTAGTTTTTATTCATTACCACAACCACTTGTCTTCCCCTACAGCTATATGCACACTTGTTTGAACTATGCTCTTCATTCTAACATTTTGATTGCCTGAGGATTTGGAAAAGCCAAAGAAGCCATTTTGAAACTAGAATTAGTTTTTTCACCCTTGAGAAAAAGTAGTCTGGTTACGGACTAATTGGACTAGGCTCATTCGCAGATGCAAATTAGTCTGGAACCTCTCAGTTCATTTTTGATTTTCAAGTGTCATTATCATTAGCGCTGAGTGACACATGCATGTTGGGGTGGTGCTTGTCCATTTTCAAGCAGAAAAAAATGGCAGCCTGTCACAAACTTTCTTAAATTACAGCTAAACAGTACAAAAACATGTCTGTCCAAAAACATTCAAGGGGAGAAATAGGCAATGCAGTAACGTAATCTTTATTTTTCATCTGTGTTGGCCTGGAAGGACCAGTCACGACAGTCATTATATAAACCTGCCCCATATTAAATAAACGGTTGTGATTGGCCCAACCAGATCCAGGACATGTGGAAATGAGTCATCTTATATTGCTTGTCTTTCTGAACAGGAAAAGAACAGACACCGTGAACCTCCTGTACTAGTCCAGTATACCTAAAACTCTCTGCTCTGTCCTGGTGTAGGCTCTGAGAGGAGGAGTGCCCTGGGGTCAGGAGCAGTTCCAGCTGTTGCTTCAGGAGAGCCAAGGCAGTGAGGCTGGTTCTGGACCAACAGAAGATGCGTGTCTGGAGGAACTTCGCTACCGCTGGATGCTCCACAAGTCCAAACTGAAGGATGCGAGAGACGTCAGGGCCAGGACCAGTGCCAAGGTGAGAGGAGCAATCTTAAATTGGTATTAACAAGAGGCATGTGTCATTATCATTAGGGATGCACCAATCTAACTTCCCAATACCAATTTTTACAAGATTATTCTCTAACCACCTGTGTGATCACCCCAGGAAGAGGGTTGGAAAAAGAGCTAAACTAACCCAGCTTGGACCTAAGATAGCAAGCGAAAGAGATGTGTTGTCAGCCCGATGTGATCATTCGCTTGCAGGGGTTAAATTGGGATTTGTTATGAGGCCAGTATGGGGAGCAAGGCATCTCTCTCGTGCTCACTCCAAGCTGGGTTAGTTTAGCTCTTATCCCGGCTCTCTTCTTGGGGTGATTGCACCGTTCACGGTGGCGTTTGTCCGGCTTGTCTGGGAGAGGTCATAGGCAGGATTGCCCTTATGGTCCACTGCACTTCCAACCACTGTGCTTCCTTTTCCGACTTCAATGAGTGCATTTCTGTCGTAGGCTGCCGGGGATGTGCTTTAAAACCTACCCCACAGAGCAGTTTGTGTATGTCATGGTCCACTCTTACACCTTTCTATGAAGCGTTTATTATCTTGTTATCTCGAGGAATCATCCTTTGTTATCCTGAGATAACAAAATAATTCACTTCTTAAGATAACAATAAGAAAAAATGTATGAATGTCCGTTTAGAGCATGAAAAAGAAAGTGGAAAAATTAAAGAAAATTCATAGAGCCCTGTGTGTTTATACCACAGCTTAGGAACTTAGGAAGTGATCCGGTGAGGTGAGGTCTCAGGTTCAGGCTCTGGTAACAGGTGAACAGCGCCATTTCTCCCACCACGCTGACATGTTGAGTGTGTGTTGTTCAGTTATGTGACAAGGTTTGTTACATGCCAGATAAGGTTTTAAATGATTAAATAATTATTGGGGTCACAGTATTTTGGGTCCCAGTATTTGGAGGTAAGAACCCCTGGTATAGGTAATAATAGACAGGTTTCTGTTTGCATGTGAAACACTAAAAAAAAAATCTTAAAACTGGAGCAAAGACATAATTGTACTTGAGTTTAAAGGCAAGGCAAATTTATTTATATTGCACATTTCATACCCAAGGCAACCCAAAGTGCTTTACAGAATCAAAAGCAGCAAGCTTATAGAATAAAAACAATACAATTAGACAGGCAAAAAAGAAGAAAGAGGGAGAATAAGAACTGTATTTGATTATGGAGACTTGTCTATAATTGCTGTTGAATGCCAGTGTCCTGCTTTAACTGCTGTCTTCACTGTGTTATGTCGACCTTTTATTCCCGCGTTCAGTACACTGCTGTTTTTCACCACAGGGTGGCAGTGTAACACCATTTAGGGCACTGCTTGCAGCTAAGAGTCCCTGTCACATCTCATCTGTAAGGTAGCTGCTGCTCAGTACACTGAAAATGGGCCAAATGTTATCACTGATATTCAAGAACAACCCACTATGTCAATATTATCACAGGTGATAATTACATATTGCATATATGACACAATAAGTTGACCTAGGTAATTGTAATTTCTCTTTCTACAGAGACTCCAAGCCAAACAAGAGGATCTGGCCGCCGCAGCAAAGGTGGAAAAGGTAACTCCTTATTCGGATTAAAAGAAAATTAGTCAACATAACTGAACAGCACAATTATGGCTAAGATAACAACACTGAGAAACAAAAAGCGAACCAGAAGGATATGGGTTCATGAAGTTCTCAAAGACGAGAGGAGTGAAGAGAATGCAACACAAATATTATATATATACTTTGGTTAAAAAAAAAAAAAGAGGACACCAGTAAGAACCAAATGAACATCAGAGACCCCATCAGTGCTAAAGACTGTTCTGTGCTATTTCTTGGGTAAAATAATATATGTGTAATTTGCAGCCTAATATTGTGTTATATAATAAGTTGTATTCCACAATATCTTTCATCAAATCACTCTGAAAGTGGTTTGGTTTTCTTGCACTGCAGCTCCCAGAGATTGAGCACATTAGAGGAGTTTTAGAGGTGGAAATTCTACAGATGGTGCTCTTTCTTTTGTCTTTCTCTTTCTGTCTGTCTCTTTCTCCCAAATGTCTAATATTTATTCCAAATGAACTAGAAAGATTGTGTGTAGTGAAGGATCAGTGAGGGGAAATTACCTGCTCAAACTCAAAATGTTCTCTGGGCTGTGGAGAGCCGAGCACCTGACCTGACCACCCAGGACCGGCATCAAATCAAGCATATCGAACCATCCCCCCAACTCACTATTCATTTAGTAAGTGGTGGGTGAATAGATTAAAGAATGCCACCCCCGCCCTTGGCCACCCTCTTGACCCCAGCTGAAACAGCCCTCCAAACATTCCTCTTCAGATTCTTTTCACACAGTCTTTACAGGCTGAGGGCTCTGCTGCTGCTGCTTGCTTTTACCAGCCTTCAGTTTCAGGAGAAGGGGGGTTGATTGTTTTATTGACTACATGGTTTGTTGAGTCACGTGAGTCATTTGCTTTTCTTTCCTAGTGCCATGAAGCAAAAACACCCACTGTTTAGCAGCTATTTAGGACTTTACCAGAATAATCGATCTCAGAATGTCAGGGGATTATTCGAATCTTTTAGATCAAAACATAATGTTTGTTCATTTTGGACTGACAGCCATCTTTGTCTGCACGTCAGCTGTTGATTTAAAGCGCAGTTTGCAGAACAGTTTTCATCCTGTCTGCTTTGCTGCTGTTGGGCTCCGTGTCTCTAAGCTGTCAAACTAGGTATGATGCTTATCAGCCCTGTTTACATCTTTCACCTAGTGTTTACTTGTCCTGTCCTAGCACACATTTGCAGTATTCTCATTCTTGGTCACTCCTAGATCAGAATACTATTTTGTGCTAATGAAGTACCCTTTTTTAAAACGAGTAAGAAAACAATAAAACATATAATACATGAACAGGGTTGGAAGAATTACTTTAAAAATGTAATCCCATAAAGCTCCTAATTACCTGGTTGTAGTCTTTAACCTAGTCCAAGTATCACAATGTTAAAGTAATATGGATTACTTTACGAAAAGTAAATAGAAAAAAAGATTTTTGGCATTAAAAATGTGTCCTCTGCTCAGTGTATTTTAAAATGTAATGTTTACTAAATGTAACTAATGGATTGCAGTTTTTTTGTATCCTGATTAGGTAACTCAGTTACATGTAATCCGTTATATGTAAGCCTGTGCACTATTACTGTATTTAGTGAGCTGAGCTAAATATTATGCTACAGGCTCACAATGACAATCTTAGCATGCTGATGATTTGCAAGGTATAATGTTTACCGTGGTTGACGTCTAAGTTTAGAATTTTACCATGCTAACATTAGCTAATTAACAATAGACACAAAATAAAGCTGCAGCTGATGGGAATAGCATCAGTTTTGCACACATTTGGTCATACTAAGTATTGGACAAGTTATTTAAATTCACCCTGAGGGGAACATGAATGTCAGAACTAAATTATATAGCAACCCATCCAATAGTTACCAAGATATATCAGCCTGGACCAAACCGATGGCCCAACCAACATTGCCAGAGACATGCTGTTATAAAGGTTTACAATATGGCCATATAAAGGAATCTAAAGGCACCAAAATGAATTAAACAAAGCAAATTGAAATAAATCAGTTGTGGAAATGTACAATAGTGAATTTACCATGTGAATTATTACAGTAACAGAAGTTCCAACCCCCTCAATGTTGACAGGATCAAATCCTTTTTTTGGTTAATTAAGATAACACCTTAAATGAATGATATGTTAAATTATAGTTCTGTTGCTATCAGGTGTGTTCACTCATTCACAGTAATTTGAGGTAATGTGTGTTCACTCTAAGAAAAATACACATACCTTTGCCCAGTGAATATTTGTCATACAGATGTATGATTAGCTAGTTTCACTTCCTGTTCGATCAATCATTAACCTTTGCGCACACAGTCAAACACACTGTGCATGTTTTTCTCTTGTCCTCTGTCCACAGCAGAACACACAGACTCTGTTCCATCTGAAGTGTTTGACCACACTGTTAGGTTTGGATTGTATTTGTGTTCATGATTCTTTCCTGTAGCTACCATCTTCCTCCCTGCTGTGAACCACAGTCATGTGTTTGGTGTTAATGAATGACACACATCAAGATCTGGAGCTTCATGAAATGATTAATTGAAGCCCTTAAGCAAAATGACTTACAGTTGTTTTGGTTTTTTGGATTTGGAATCCATAGCTAGCCTAGTTTGGGAGACTCAACACTAGTAGCCACCACCTTTGTGGTTCATATACACATATATACATATATATATATATATATATATATATATATATATATATATAGGTACAGACGCAGGTTCAGGATATAACGTGTCACGTTTTATTTGACAAATTGTTAAATGTTTTTTTTATTTGGTGGGTAATGGCTACAGGTTTTTACAATTTAATTTAAGAATCAGTATGCTAATTACTTTATTGTCATTATAAATTTATGTATGACCAGTGGATTTTCAGAAAGCACCCATATATCTGACTTGGCACATAGTTGTGCCAAAACAAATGTGGAGGCCCCATGTCAACCAAACTCTGTCATTCAAGGTTACACAAATTTAATGTATGTAATGCTATATTATGAAAGCACAGTATTTTTAACCCACAAACTCTGTGACCACCTTAAGTTGTCAGATAATGTGAACTCTAGCGAGAGTAAACGTGGGAACTGTTCCCCTCTTTGCCATCCTTCCCATATTACATGAATACTGCAGAGTGCTTCTTCACCATAGCAACAATGACTTAGGTTACTGGGTATTGTAGTATTTAGAGCCATTCATTTTGATTGACACTGATGGCTAAAACATATACTATTGTCAAATTATCCATTTAGTCCAAAGATCATTTAAAAGATAACTATGAAATCTGAGGAAAAATACTTCCAGAATTAGCAGCTTCTATCACTTCACACCTCCACCTGACATCAAAGCATCAGATCATATTGTAAAGTATTGAGAGAGGCATCAGAGCAGCTCATTGGGTATAATGTTCATCGTTTTAGTTAGTAAATAATGTCAAATACATAATAGTAAAAGTTTTTATATCAGCACACATTCATTCATTCATGTTACTGTTATTAGTAATGTACAAACGTAATACCAGTGTCAGAGTACTAATACTACAGTGTGTCAGTATAATGAAGTGATATTCACACAACAATCCAACAGAAAAACACCTTCAAGATTTCCCAATCTGTTGCCTGATGTGTTTGACACCGGGCCTCAATGAAATTGACCCTTGCAGGTAACCGTTGTATTATACATAAAAACAGCATTCAAAAAGTGAAACATGAACGTGGGCAGTGGACATGATTCACAGAAGAACAAGTCTGAGAGAGTGAGTTTACTGCAGTACGCGATGTTTCTGACTGTGTGGGTGAGCTGCTTCTGCTTTCGTCTTATGAGAGTTCAGAGTTAGCTAGAGCTAATGAATAATTGCAAACTGATCACATTGTTGTTTTCTTCATCCTGCATCTCACAGATAGTGAGAAACAAAGACATTCCAATCATTCTGAAGAATTTGCAGCAAATGCAAAATTATTTCCTGGGTGTATGTGTATAACTGTATATATTGGTTTATTTTATTTCTTTTATTTTCTGTTATTCTGTGAATTTAATTATCTTTTTCTACGTGTGTAGCAGGAAGGAACTGCAAACTCTCATTTTGTTATTGGTTAATCAGCGGTGTAAGAAAATATAGAAAGATTGCGCATTGTGATTGACTAACTGATGGCTAGGATGATGGGTGACTGTGATAAATGCAGATCCAGCTGTTCTGCTTGTATGAAAAAACACATTAGATACAAAAATAAAATCATAATATATTGCCTTGCTTACAGTATCGCAATATATTGAATCGTAACCCCTGTATCGTGATTAACAGCCCCAGCACACATAAATATGCTGTCTTTAAGTATCAACGACAGACTTATAATTGAGAAATTTTTGTTTTGTTCGCGTGGGGTCTTCTTTGTAGTTTCATTTATAAGAGAAGCCAACTCATTTGCAATCCCCAAAAGCAAGAAAAAGTAAAGTATAATAAATCCCTCATTAAATTGCCCCAAATGTTTCCAACAATGTTCAAAGAATAGAAAGAGAAATTCATAATTTGATTCAGGTAACGCTGCATTTCCTGGCTTGCCTCTAGTTGCTATTACTCCCAGGTAAACACTGGATACTTAGGATATGTCAGAGAGTGAGGAAGCAAGTTGGCGAACGTGGTGAATAAAACTTTAATACATTACCTCCTGGTTATGCTGGTAATGGTAATGGTAATGGTAATGGTAATGGTAACAGTGAAGACAACAACTCCAATGATCCCACACTACTTCACAAAATCATTTATTGTTCATTTTTTTTACTTGAGCGACCCACTAGTGGCAGAAACGACATTCTGTCAGTTAACTGTTTTTTCCCTGTGTTGCTGCTGTTTGTTGCAGAAGCCTGGGTTGTTGCAGAGAGTGTGTCGACTGGCTCTTCCCCTGTGGCTCCTCTTCCTGGCTTTGCTCCTCCTCGCCTTCCTGCTGCCCCTCATGGACGAAGGCAACAGCTGCTCACTCACCAACAACTTTGCCCGTTCCTTCAACATCATGCTCCGTTACGACGGACCGCCACCTACATAGGAAACCTCTGGACAGCGCAGGATAGAGTAAGGTCCCACATTACCCTGCCCTTTGAAGTGTGACCGTAACAGACCACAAACAGGACCACCAGGCTGTGCAGCCGCAAAGTCTATGTTGCCTTGAAACAAATCTTATAGTCATCTCACTAGTAGACACATTTTCCTCCTTACTGTCATCTCTACCAGGACGCACCATAATCTATGAAGGAAACTGCAAGCTACAGTAGCATGCACATCTACAAATGGCAAATCCCACATCCTCTCAGTCCTTCTAGATCCTTCTCCGCTCTGCTTCTACGCATTCTGGACTACAGTGTGGGCTCTACCAAACCTCACATCCCACGGCCCATGCATCTTTGCAGCTTAAAACTCATGATCAGTCAAACCACCTATTTATCGTGAAGGAGCTACAAGACTCCAATAGGACTACAAATCCCATGCTCATTCTGAGAATTTCAAATAGACTATAGAACCTTTAATATCTGTAAACCAAAGTCATTTTTTGCATGCCTTCCTAACAGTTATATATATATATATATATATATATATATATATATATATATATTAAAAAAATATATATATATATATAGGTTGTCAGCTTTTGTCTAATGAAGACTCAATTCTGATCATTTCAACTTTGAATAAGTTTAGTAATAATCACCAAGAGACCAAAATCCTCTAATCAGTGCTTGATAGAAGTCCCGAAACAGCAGTCTGCTTTTTGTCTTGTTCTAATGAGACATTTTTCATGTGTAATGATTTTTACTGCCAAATTATTCCGTTTTAACAAGAAATGATTGCGGTTATGATAAAACACATGATATAACTGAAAAGTTCTCATTAGTACACAAAACCAACGATTCTCGTTAAAAGGAGAGCATTTTTCATTATAATGATAATTCAACTTGTCATTAGACAAGAAACTCTTGGGTAATATATGTTTTACACCATGATAACTTGGTATGTTGTTATGACATGAAACTTCCATTTGTTGTTAAAACAAGAAAATCATCCACTCAAGGCTACTGATGCTCCTTTTCCTCCAACAGAGAACCGGCTCCGTTCTGGTTCAAGCATCTACTTTTGAACTGTTTGGAGCACTTTGACCAAAACTAAATTGGTTTGGAACACAGAAATTTGGTTCCCAGTTAGAACCAATAAATGGTTTTCCTTGGGAACCAAAGTGGGCGTGTCATATTCAGCAGGTCATTGTTAGAAAACAGAGACAGTGTCTCAGCGTTTTTAACAACATATGGAAGTTTCCTGTTATAACAAGATATAATGGGAAGGACAAGAAAGGGTTTGTGATAACAGATAAAATGACACGTTAGAAAAAAGAAATTTTTTGATAAGTAAATTATTGTAGCGTGAAAATATCCTAATCATTATAATGAGAAGTTCAGTAGATACCATACTATGCATGGGGTGAGAGATGATAAGCCAAAGTCAATAGGTCCATGAATACGAATGTGGAACATGTACCAGAAGATCCAAATCAAAGCCTGCAGCACCAGCAGTGGATACCTGGCAGTATATATCACACCCTCCATGTGTTCTAGTGGTCTGGATCGAAAACCAGGATAGGAACATCGACTCCAGTTAGACTTCCTCTGCCCTAGATAAAGCAGCTCTTCAGCTAATGTTGTGCATGGGATATGTAGCAATGTTAAATAGTTAGTTTGTAAAGTACTGCACAGTGTAGCCTAATATTTGAAATCATGTTTAATCTTTTTAAAGATTTTAAGGGCAAAAGGTTGATATTGTGTGTTTTTAGTATTACAGCCTCAAAAGGACTGCCACTGTATGATCACACTGAGAGCACCTTGGCTAATGCTAATCCTTCTCTTCTGACTGAGCAGTGAGACAGAAGCTGCAGTTAGCATCATTTTCAGCATCATGATGTTGACTTCAATCATTTTACTGATTTAATGCGTCAACATAGCTAGCAGTCAGTTCGCAATCAGGTTACGCCACCTCCATGCTGCTGTTCTGCTAGTAGCCGTGTTTCCATCATCGACGTATAAAAGATGTCTCCTCTTCCTCCCACTGTACAAAAAGGAAGCCCAAAATATCCCGGATACAGCCACTGCCATCTTCCGCTGGTTGGTTCATCAAGATTAGCAGAATTTTGCTGTTCCATGGAACTAATGCCATACTTCAAAATGTACAGGAATGTGTTGATGGAGTTACAGCTACAGAGGGTTTCTGTCATCGGTCTTACTGAAAGTGAAACCTGTTGCTGGGTTTACTGTACATATTCTACACTATGAAAATATATATAGCTTTTTTAAAACTGCAGGTGCCATGAAGTAGCGTATCAGCACAGGTATCATCCTCCAAAGTAACAGTTTCTCCCTTATCCATCATATCTAGCATCTTCTTCATTCTCACATATCCCTATTTGACTGTCATTAGTCTGTCAAGCTGGCGATGCTTAACCCACGGCGGCCTCTGGAAAATGGTGTTTTATAAAGGAGAAATATGAAATCAACAATATAACATTCTTTTTTTAAATGTATTTAACCTGTCTTACCTTACCTATAACCTTATGTACCCAGTTTTCCTTTGTACTTTCTGTGTACAACCATCTCATGAGAGCTAGATTTCTTTTCTGGAGGTGCTATTTTGGCTCAAACACAGCGATCTCTCTTTTTCACAGCCTAAACCACCAGTGAAAACGGTTAGAAAACTGTCTACCATGGCCCCTGACATTTTCTTGGACCACAGTGCGCTCTTGATGCCAATGCCCAAGCTGTAAACTTTAGCAATCACCTCTTTTTTTTGTACAAACCCAATATAACTTCCAATTGCTTTTTTCTATCCTGCATTCTCGCTCTTTTCACACCACGCACACCCCTTAAAATACCCAAACACCTCCAAACACCTCCAAACACCCTCACGTACACAGTTACTTTCCCCATTTTTGGCTGAGTTTGTGTATTATTGAACTGTCATGTTGCCGCGGCAACAGTGTCCAAATCAGGTTCATCTGTTATGTCTTCTTATACAGCGAGAGTGTTTGTTTGCTGCAACTACAAAAGTACTCCAGTGTGTTTCTAATACAATTGTAAATTCAGCTTCTGTTTGGGAATGAAGGAGCTTGAGGATTTGAAAGATGTTACATTTCAGCACTAAATCATCAGCTGGTAGTTTATATCATCAGAATCAACACAAAATGAAAGGTCCATTGTTTTGGCTTCAACTACTTGAAATGTGCCACCAGATAAGATTAGAACACGCACACTGACGGAAATCCCACTGGTGTGTTTGGCAAAACATTATTTATTTTGATGATTACTTCTTTGTGTATATTTGCTACATGTAGCATCACATGTTATTGAAGAGTTATCATGGCCTTAAAGCTTTATGTGTACTTGTACGTGTAATGCCATACCCACATGTATTTAGTCAGTGTGTAGTTTTGTAAGGCACTTAAAGCCAATGTACTGTATAACAGCTATATAACCAAGTTAAATATAAGGTTTAGTCCTGTCATGTGGTAATGCTGCATTGTATGTTGAATGAATTATTGGTACTGCTGCTTACTGCACTGTTCTCGTATTATGCATGTGTCCCCTTAGAGAAGCCTATGCAATGCCTGACTCAAACCTGCATTATCGTGTGCCCATTGATACCTTATGCAACATATGAAACGACTTGAATCTCCTGAGCACAACTGGTTCTTCAGCTGCAGTGTGTCAGAATAGTTTGAGTACAATTGTTATGCAAAAATGTCCTAAATGCCAGTGTCAGCTCTCAGATCGAGGTATTCAGTATGAAAATGCACAGGTAATGATTGATAAGTGAGAGCTTTTTTTTTCTAAAAGGATACAATTCTATTTTATTAACGTTTTGAAAGCTTCATATTATTCAAGAGAGCTTGTATTTAACCAATGTTTTTTTATTCTGATGAAATAAAAATGCAATTGAAATAGTAAGTGGTTGAGTCTATTGTTTTTGTGTGATTTGGTTCAGGATGGAAATATGAAAGAATTGAGAGACAAAACGCATTGGTGATTTTTTTATGGGATTTGATAACAATGCGAAAAATGTACAATAACACCAGCCTTATCCTTTAACATCAAAATATAGAGATCATCCATCACCTCTTGTTTACTTGCTGCCTCATATATCCCACCCACTGACAGGTGCCATGATAACCAGATAATCAGTGTTATTCACTTTATCTGTGCTCATGATGTAATAGCTGTTATGCTTATTAATGCTGATTTTGCTAATTGCTCAACATATGCAAGTTAGCATCTGGCAGTATCTAAATGCTGCCATACTGTACATTTCTTACATAAAACTTTGGTACTCAACATCTCTGGGTTCACAATGGGGAAATACTGGTTGGCAAATACTCTCTCCCTCCCTACACTCATATCCTAATTCATTGCTAAAAAAAGAGACAAAACACACAATAAAAGCTTCTTTTTTATTTTATTTTTTATTTTCTACATATATCGCAATAATATTGTTATCATGAATTCTTTTGTCCACTATAAGCTTGGTGCTTCTATTCTGCTGTAGCAGGAACACCATTTAGACCACAGACATTCTTTTAGAACAGTCTGTTGCTTGAGTCAGATGGTCAATATTTATTGCCTCAATATAAATCAGGAAGCTGATAAATCAGTCAAACCCCAGTGTACTGCAGAAAGCCCTGATTTCCTTCATGTGTCATTTGATGTATCCTGTTACTACCTCCTGCTACTATAGTCCACTTTCTCCAGAGACATCATTACATTTTCATCATCTAATCTACATGCCTGTGTAAGTGACTGTTTGTGCTTCCATTCCATGTGGGTGCATGTGTGTGTGTGTGTGTGTTTGCAGCCTCCTACGCTGCTCTCACCTCGGCCTCCCAGCCAGGCCCACCGAGCTGTGCTGCAATCTGGAACTCACACTCTGCCAAATACATGGGACAAAAAATATCAGAGCAGCCTCTCTCCCAAAGAAGGTTCCAGTCCTCGTCAATCTGCAAGATATTAGCAGAGAAATCTTTTTTTAATAAAGCAATAAACACTGTAAAGCATAGTCATAAAAAAGAAACACGAAAAACATCGGATTAGGTGGAAGGCAGCACTAATCTCAACATTATGACCGTAGTCCAACAAAATAATTATCAATATAAATTTCTCACTATTCTCACAACTTAATTACATTAACTTTTTTTGGTAGATACTTAAAGTAATAGTTCAAGATTTGAGAAAT